GTGTGTGTACACGTGTTTGTGTGTGTATAAAATGCATTCAGCCACTTGGCTATTCCAAAAAACAAGTGAGGGGAGAAATATGTGTGAAAAAGGGGGGACGGTTGTGGTGCAACATGAAACCACACTGCCCTCCAGTGGTTTTCAGTTGCTTCACCATTACAGACATGTTGTGACACTCTGGTAGCAGAGGCTGACTGTTGATTAAGTAACACAACACCAACGCTAGTTCTCTGTGGAGATCTGAAAATTGGAGTGTCATGTAAAATATTGTTCTATAACCACAACTAACATGTAAACGGTACATCCAATAGAGAGGTTGCTTAAATACAGCTTGACACCATAGCAGTGTGCAATGGTGACACTGTGCAGTAAAGAGTGCAGACAGGAAGGAAAAAGAGGAAGTGTAAAAGAGTTTGCTGTGAAACCTCCTCTGATACATACATAATAATAAGTTGCATGTCTCCATTTAGTTTAACTAAAGAATCTTGTATAGCAGAGATTAAAAGCGTGTGTGTTGATGATTATGTATGTTACAGTGGATACGTTTGACTTATGAGAGAAAAATCACTTTCTACATTTTTATCATTGAAGTGTGAGCCGTGTTTTAATAGCTGTACTGGGATGGTACTGTTCTTGTTAACTTCAAACGGTGGTTGTTACTGTTGTTTCTTTTGGTAATCAGTAAGAGTGCAGCCTTTAAGCTGCCACTCAGAGCCACATTTATATTTCTAATACACTTATGTTTCTTTATATTTCTGTGGCTAAATGTTTAACAAAAACACAGCACTTTGAAACTGTCAAGTGCAACTTTTATGATCTTTGACTCAACTTTAATATCATTTTTCCTGTCTGTACTTCCTGAAGACTTGAGATTGAAACTTTTGATAAAAAAAATGTATCTCTCTTTTTCAAGTTTACTCAAAATTAGTTTTCTTTGTAAAAAGAAGGTTTTATTACAAAATGTTGTCTACAAGTAAAACACAGCAGGATTGCCCTTCAATAAATTGTTCATGTTTTGCATACACACCTTTATAATGCCCTTAAAAGCGCCTTTAAACAATACTTAAGTTGGTTAAAACTTCTGTTAAGAGATCAACAGGCACATGTTGAAAAGGGTGAAAAGCAGAATGGTGATATCCGAAACCTGTAACCCACATACAAGTGTAGGTGCATCGTGCAAAAAGTGGAGGGAAACTTGCGTGCATTTGGGTGTAGTGCCCACACGGGCCTACACGCGCTTTGCAATCCATTTTTATCACACCTCCGTGTGGTCACAGCTGTGACTGCACAGAGCAACTAACAGCACAAACCTGAACAGATAGTCTGGGACCTCCCTCCTCCGCTGTCCTCGCTGGTATTTGTGAGGAGCTTTAGACATTTACAATAATTAGGAGGGGAGAGGAGACGACACGACAGAGAGAGGCAGGAGAGGAAGCTAAAAAACTTTTGAGCAACGAGATTGTAGAAATTGAAGAGAGGAAAAAAGAAATTGGGGAAGCTGTTTCTCATCAAAGACCACACCCCCTTCCTCAACCCCTATATAAACATCCAGAGCTTAAAATAGAGGCCAGAGATGCTTTTACTGTTATCGCTAACAATTAATTCTCATCGCACAGTTGCTGGATATCAATGAAAACTCCCTCATTTGGTTTACATGTGATGTTTACATTAGCTGAGGACGTTTCCATACTTATAGACTGATACTTTTCAGTTCATTACCCACTTGTAATAGCATCAGGAATGCACCTAATCTAAGGTAAAATCAGTATTTCCCACTGAAATCTTACCAACCAAAGCAAGTTGTGGAAGGAAAGTCTAGTTTCCCTTCACCTCACAGGTTTCACTCTGATGGATGTGAAACAGGGAACCGCTAAAAAAGAGCTCATCTAAGGCTAGTCCAGTCAAGGGCAAATAGAAAATGAAAATAGTCTTAGTTTAAGAGCTTGTTTCGTCTGATGTGGAGGCTGTGATTCCCTCTGTGTATCATGATGTACAATGAAATCATTGGTTTTCATCTACCCCCACATTAAAACCAAAATATAGTGTAGTTTTAGGACTGTTATGGAAATATTGTACAATGTAGATGTAAGATTTTTACATTTCGGCAGAGCCAGACTAGCTTTCTCCTCCATCTTCCAGCATGGTACATGGGCCCATAGAGCAAGCGCACTAGCGTTTCCTTTAACCACGCCTCCCAACCACTCTGCCTCTGCTCAAACAAATGAACGGCAGCTCATCATAACTCTGCTATACTCTATTAATAACACTTAATTCATGATATTTGACAACATTCAGCACTTGCTATTTAAGTTTTTCTACTAAAAAGTTGATTTAAGTACCCGCTGATTTACAGATCCAGCAAACATACGTATGCTTTAGGTGGACTTTTAGTGAAGCAGGAAACATCTTGTGTGTAGCAGTTCAACTTTTAAAATAATATTTTTGTATATTCATAGATACTGGATTTTTCAATGAGGGAGAAGTAGAAGATTTTAAGAATTTGTAACTAGGACTTTCAACATCTCTGTGGAAAAACAATGTCAGGCACAAATTGTGATCCAGAGAAAAGTGTTTTATATGTCTTAAAAGATGTCTGTAGGGGAGCTTTAGATGAATCCAAACAGAGACAGCTGGTCCCTATAGCTGGGCAATGTGTGTTCAAACTTGTGAGGAAGGCCACTAAACTAAAAGGCAACTAAAGCCACTCTGTAAAAATTAGGAAAACAACCTTTCTGTGATCATGGAAAATTGTCGTCATTAAAAAGTCAAAAGTGACTAATAAAGTGAGACTGAATGTAAACCTAAGCCACAAGTGTTGAATCCAAATGCTAAGACACCCATGCACAACACCTAACTCCACATCTGTGTATGAACACCACACATCAATTGGCTCCGAACACAGTAATTCAATGTAAACTGCAAATACAGGAATAATACAGTTTTATTTTCAGCTTAATGGTATTAATAACTTGTGCTAACATGATGCAAAGAGACCAAAGAGATTAGATACTGATGTGATGTTGAGTCTCAAGCTTATGCAACATATAGGGACCACGGTGTCCTCCATCACTACCAAGAACATGCATGAGTTTCTGTCAGGTTCAGTTCAGGGCCTACTAGATTGTGTCAGTCTGTCTCTAGCAGCTTTTCTTTTGTATCTTTTGTATTTGTAAAACTTGTATTAAACTATTTCTAAAGCAAAATGTTCATAGTTGCAGTTTAACCTCAAACTACATAATATGCATAGAGATATAGTGGTTAGCTGACACTGTCCAGTGATTGAGTCATTTGTCAGGCCATGTGACTTCTGTTTGCAATTTGTGGTTGGTTTGTGAAAGAGCGAGAGGCTGAAATAGGCAACAGTGTGTTTACGCAGACGTACTCTTAGTAAACCATGTGTAAAATATTCATTTTCTGTCGTATTGTTATCAAATTTGAACTTGTACTAGGTACTATGACTTCATGCTATGGTACCATTGTGTTTTCCAGCTAATAAGTCCAGCTATAGTTAACTGCAGGCATCTGTTGGCCAAAAAAAAATCCAGGCAGAAATAAAAACCTTCTGTTTCAGTGTGTTGTAAACTCTATAGCTCAATGCCAGTAGCACTTACAATGGTTCAATAAGAGCTGTCAGTTTACCTTGGGTACGCCTTGGATAGGCGTTTTAGGCAAATTTTACAGGAGTGATAAGAGGTTTTAAGAGCCACTTCCTGATTACAAGAATCTATACTCTCAGACTTGGAAATAACCAAATACCATGTGTTTCAGTGGTGTAGGAGGAAATCCATATTTAGATCTTCATACTAAAAATGTGGGCTCATTGTTGGAAACTCAAGACATGCCTATTTGGTTTCAGGTTCACACTTATTTCCACAGAAATATGCCATGACAAAAGCAACTGTTGTGTAAACACTTGAATCTCTTCAGAATAAACACAAATATTATTCAGAGGTTTGACACGATCTATTGTGTTCTGGTCTTTACTTTGTAGTCTGTATATACGATAGAGATTCATATCATCCTCGCTGAGCTTCATCCACTGTATAACTGCAGGTTCAAGTGAAAGCCTCTACCAGCTCAGCATCTAACTGTCTAAACTCAAAAATGGGTCTGCTTGGTTGCATGTATTATTTTCATATACTGCATGAAATAGCTGACTGTGTTTCATCCAGATTCATATCAACTCACCACCCAGTGTGTGAGTCTCGCTCCCCGGAGAGTTTCTCTACTCCTCTCCTTCCTCTTTTATCCCCTATTTTCTTGTGTATGTAAACAGAAGTAAGCATTTTGGGCTCCAAGGCAGAGCATGATGATCAAACACCATGCACGATCAATGACTTTGAAGAGATCTAACATCCCTTATAAATGTATTTCACACAGAAGGAACAGCAGAAATGAGGAAATTCACTTCTGGAGCCAATGGCCACATGTTTTCTCTGTTTGGACTGAGAGAGGAAAAAGAAAAAAAACGGAGCGCAAAGTTGAAGAAAGGAAAGACGCCATCTTTTTCCTTGCACATTGCAGTGCTAGCTCCTCTTGAGTTTTTGATTACATGGCTGAGCGACTGTAGGCCTGTAAGCTTAAGATAAGGGAGGAGTCAGCGAGAAAGAAGAGGAGCTCAGAGAAGTTTCACTAGTGTACGTCTCGTGTCTCAGAAGTAAAATGTTCTCATCAAGTCCGATTTCAAACAGTCAAATAAACTGTAACCTGAAAGCCTCAGTGTGTGTTAACATCAACATTTCCTTTCATTTCTCTGTCTGTTGATCGGGAGTTAAACTGTGAATTTAATAACAGCCATGTATTAAGCATGAAGCTAAAAGCCTAATATGTCAAAAACACAATATTTGAGTAAAAGAAAGGCTTTAACATAAAGCTAAACTTCACTCTGTCTTTTCATAAGTCAGAGGGATTTCACATGAGCAGAAGCAAGTGAAGATTAGATGAGAGAAGACTTCCTGTTCTTGGTGGCGTAGCTGAAATGAGACTTCCTGCCACCAAACGTTAAGGTAAAAGCAGGCTCTTTTGGTGTGACATCACTTCGTCTTGCTTGACTGGAAACCAGAGGCGAGGTTTAGGGTTTGGGGAACAAGTCCAGGAAGCTGCGTCCACTGATAACACAGAAAACGTATGTAGCTTTAAACTAACGTAATTTTGCTTATTTTCTGTTAGAATTTACCTAAGAAGTGGAAATAGGGCTTCGGTTTGGCTTGTGAATATCTGTTGGTCCCCTCTAGGACTGTACTGTATGGTGTCAAGCCATACACGCCCTAAGTCCTGGACATGGCAGGTCTCTGTGGTCTCAAGATCCTGCTGCTCTGGGCTGGGATCATCAGTTTAGCCAACTGTAAGTATCCGTCTTCATCTTCTTCACGAAGGAAAGGAAAAGCATTGGTGTTTTAATATGTTGTGTCCTTGTGTCTGTCATCTGAAAGTCTTCTGGAAGAATACAAAATCCAGCTTTAGGTGATGAGGGCTCTTATTCTAAACTCCTAATTTAGTTGCTTTTGAAATTGTAGCATATTGTTGATTGTGTTCATGAGAAAAGGTGAAACACTTTCCATGCCTCAGATAGAGAGATGAATCAGTCAGCGCAAACGCTTGACAATTTGCTCTTTCTTTTTTTTAAACTGGAAAACATCCCTGCACAAAATGTAATCATTTTAAGTAAAAACCGAGGGCGGAAATGACAAGCTACAGTATATCATCTCTTTGAGTTGCGCCTCCGTTTGTGCTACTTCACGTTTCTTTAACTTTCCAAACCCAGGAACACAAGACATCACAGCACACAGTTGTGATGTGAGAAGCTGATAAGTGACAGCTTTGTGAGCCCCTTTGGCAAAAGAATAAACAGTTATGTTCATTCAAAGAGAGCTGTTAATAAGAAGACTCTTTAAAACGTGTTCTTTCATTTGGTACAAAGCTGTGGGAATTTTTGCAATCATGTTTCTGTTCTGCTTTGACAGTGTGTGTGCGTATGTGTTAATGTGTTTGCGTGCGCGCATATGTGTGTGTGTGTGTGTGTGTGTGTGTGTGTGTGTGTGTGTGTCAGAGATGAGAGGATTTTTTTTCTGGGTGTGTCCCTGCAAGCTCTTCACTTCAACCCTAGTGGCTGTAGGTGTTGTATATGATACATATCTGTGTGCGTGTGTGCGTGTGCATATATGCGTGTGTTAAGTCAGACCCACCTTGCTGCCTCTTGCATCACTCAGAGTTCTGCTACTTTTCAGCACATCAAATAATTTCTGCTATCTTCAGCGGAGACGTCTGTATTCATGAGCTGAATGAACCCTTCAATTTATTTGTTTCACTCTGCTGTCTTTAATGTCAATCAGGGTCAGCATGTGTCGTTTATGTCTAACATACAGTATTTCTCAGCTATAGTTAGCAAGGTGAGTCATCATGGTACACCGCATCAACAGACATTTTTATTTATATATGTCTTCTCTTTTCCATTGATCGAGCATCTTTTTTTAAATAATTAAAACACTGTACAGTGAAGTAGCAATATTTTATAATAGCAATGACACTGTTTTATTCATTTTGTTTCAATTTAGTTATCCGAACATGAATATCATACTGTATAAGTATTGGGTAATATTAACTTAGTATTACTCAAATACTGTACATCAGTATGATGTAGTTTTCTTTGTGGTATTTTATACTATATGCTGCTACATTTCAGAGGGGAAATTTGCACATTTTCTATGGTTTGAGAATGAGAATATGCAAAAATAACAATGCATAGATATACAGTAAATACAACATGTATTACCAGTAAATAAAAAAAACTAGAATCAGCTCCAACGGTGTGATATATTGCATAACAATATATCTCTTAAAGATATATAGATACTTAAATAGAAAATACATCTACAGTTTTGAATGTAAGGCTTTTAAGTATAATGGTGTTTTTACAAAGTGGTAATGCAACTTGTATGCAACGCTTTACTTAAGTAAAACCGGACATGCCTCCGTGTGAAAATACTTTATTACAAGTCCTACATTCTAAATCCTACTTAATTAAAAGTATAGAAGTATTATCAGGTAAATCTACTTAAAAGTATCAAAATCAGGTCATACTGTTTTTGAAGAAAAGTTCCCCTGTGAAGGGAGATAATTATTAAACAGTAAATGCTTCTGTCATGCAATGTGTACATGTATCACAAGTATGCATATTATGGTGTTTTACCATGATGTTAAAATATGAGAAGCGCTTTCTCTGTTCACAGAAACTGGTTTAGATGCAAAATAGCTGCACGTTGTATTTAGCAGGACAGAGTTGTCAAAATGTTGACCACTTCCGTGTTCCATTCTGAGTTTTCTTAATTTCCTGGCAGAGCAGAGCAGAGCAGCAAGCAGGCTGAGACAGAGCGCAAGAAAATTACTTGAGAATTTGTGAAAAAAAGGGAACTGCAGTGCATAAAATGAAGAAGTGAGGTCAGAAATGTTAAACATGTGCATGCTTGTTAATGCAAAATATGAGAAGAAAGTGGAGGCAGATAAAAAGTACCTGATGGTGGTAACTGATAGGGAGAAAACTGAAGCATGACAGACAGATCCAGACATCCTTTGCTAAATGTCAAGCAAATCAGCCATTTGGTCTTTTACTGTCACTAAATTGTAATTATTGAATACCTTCTCCATGGTCGCCCTGTCTCCCTTTGTCTACTTCTGCTTCTTTCTCAAACTTGGACAAAACCGCTCAGGACCTTGAACAGGCTGAAGTTACAGTATCGCAGTTTTGTTTCACACTTGACCATAAAGACACTGAACGAGAAACATTGGACCAAGTAGGCTTCACTTAAAACTATTTTTAAGAACTCAGTTATGATAAAAATGCATGTTTGGATAGCTTGAAATATTCATAAAGCACGAGTGCGTCTCTCAAACCTTTCACTGAAACAATTCAAATGAGTCACTACAAAGTATGAAGTGGGAAATGTCACTGCAGAGAGCAAGCATCTCTGCTCGATATAGTGGAACAAGAGCGCACAAACCACATCCTGAGACTCATTGTTTAACTGACACCTCACACTCATTGCGATTATTATAAAGAACAAATGGACCAAACAGCCAAGAAGTGTTTACAGTAAATCTAGTCTTAAAATCAGGGATGTATTGAGAAAACAGCCAAAGTATATTTATAAGCCATTTTTATTCCATGTTATAATACTTATTCAACACAAATGTAATATCAGAATACAGAGTTTGATAAAAATGCAGAAATATTATGAGAAATAATATCAGGTGACGCTGTCATTTCTAATAACTAAGAACGAGGATACAAGAGAGAAAGTCCATTTGTGCTTTAAGCTTTGAGCTTGTGGTCTGTGCAAACTGAAAGCAATTGTACAAGTATGGAGAGGTTCTAGGTTTCAGTGCAAAAGCAGGAAATTGTGGTTTGCTTCTTTTTTTTTTTCGAAATAGCAAGTGTGGCTCCTTGCAGCATTGTTATAGCAACCTCATGCAGAACTTCAGAGGAAAATGGTTGCTTTCCTCTGTTAGACCTGACAATGCTTTTGGCCCTGCAGGAAGAGTTTTATCCGTCTGATAAAGTGGACACTTTAATAAGACTCAACATAAAGAACAAATCACACTTTTTGATGTTATTTGTCTCTTTCATTTTCTGCATATTCTATGCACTACACTCTACTCTTTCACGACAAAAAAGCTCTTATCATTTACATTTTTTCTCTTTGCAGGTGAAAATACAACAACATCAACAGGTGAGAGGGGAACACAAAAATATATAACATTCAATTATTATTATAATTCATAAAAATGTTTAATTCTAATTATGCCAACAGCTGTGCTTTACCTTGTGCGAGACCTTCACCTCACACTCTATTTGGTCCGTCTTGTCTCTTCAGCACAATAATGTGCTCTATGCATAATGTGTGGCCGAAATATATCTTCTCACTCTTTTTAAGTAGTTTGCTTGACATTCGCCTCAGTTTAAGTGACCTGACTCACCCAAGGTTTCAATGGCAGACACCAATAAACAGTTCCAAAGTAAAGTATCAGTATCAGAGAGCAACCTCTTATTGGAGGAATGCGAGGCCACAGTTACCGAGACAGTTATTTATGTACAAAACATGTAAATATCTTCCAGTTTGTGTTTGTCTGAGAACATTTTGCTTTGCCAAAAGCAGTATGAAACGCTTATGTTAATACAGTGTGCAACTAATCTGCAATGGCGATTTTCGATTAAACCCAGTGCAGGAAGTAGTGTGACATTCAGAATGCTTACAGTGGTGCACTGGAAAGAAAAGTCTCTCTTCAGGTCTCATTTGTCTTAAGGTGTCCTTCACATTGTATTTTATGCACTCTTTAATTTTTACATTCTGGGCTATATTGCTTTCATGTTCTCTTTCAGACTAGTGGAAAGAAAACAGCCAAAATACACATTGAGGTGTTTATTTTACTACAATTTGTCTATTTTTGTCTGTAGATGTCTTCTACATTTATCCAAATGTATCATTCGATAATGCCCCATTGCATAATTTTAGAAAACTTGATATGGGGTGATAAAAAGATATATCCAAAATTCCCCTTGTAAAAACTTTTGACTCTAACATGTTGAAAGAATGAAACAAGAATATTTAGCCTGGCTTTATTCAATGTTCAGATCACTGTTCTGGAAATGTATGCAAATTATCATATAATTTAATAACACAATGCAGCATTTGCATATTCAAACGTAACATTTCAGAAAAGCTGTATTACAAAATAATTGTCTTAGTGTAAGTAATCAAATAGAGAAATTCCAAGGTGGTATCTAGTAGTTCATTATTTTTAGCCTTCTCACCTGCTGTGTCTCTTTAACTGGCCTGCTTTTAACTGTGCTAAAGCAAACTAACAATGACTGACTACAACGTATATATATATATATAGAAGAGTGTACATTTAGACCCTTATTATGGAAAAGTACTCCAGTGAGGGTACATAGTGTTTGTGCTTATTATGTTGATTAAGTTATATACAGTAATGATCCCATGCTTGCTCACCCAATTAAATGCATTTATGGTTTTTGCTTCCCTGTCTAAAGTGCCTGCAAAGTGAGTCTACTGTAATATAAGAAAAAGCCAGATTGCTTCTGAAACAGGAATAGGAAAATAAATCTGTATGAATATGACATTTTCTGGAAAATTCGAAAAACTTCCATCTTATCCACTGATCCTCTTTATGGAAATATACTTAGAGTTTATTCTACAGTTTCTCTGAGAAAAAGTTGACGTCAAACTTGTCTTTTAAATCAGGCTGAGTCTCATCATGTCTGGTTTAATACTAGTATGTTTATTGACTCTGAAAATAAGCTTATTTAGGTAGCTATTGATGCAACGTTATGCCATCACTGTACCTCTGTTAACACAATTCTGTTGAGGTTGGCAACTTTTAGGCAACCTGGCGAGTGTTTTATCAAAGAAAGACAGCATTAAGTCCAAAAACAGGAAGTATTTGATCTCACAGCTACAGCTACAGCCATGCCGATTCCATTTCTGCAATTCTAACCGAGCACATCCAGCTGAACACTGCCTTTCCTTCTCTGAATATAAATTTGCTCTTGCCCAGTGCTATTATGTTTGTTTGTTTCACCTCTTCTCTTCATGTTAAAACAAATGTGAGTAAAGGATAGACACGTAGCAACACCATATTTGTAACAAGTGGCAACAGGATTTATGTGGTCATCATCATTGGAGGGGAAATTGTAGCACCTTCTGATGAATGTAGGAGCGAGCATTAAGATACTGTGTTTGACCTGATCTTGGTTTTCTTGGAACACAGATGTTTCAACCCTCTTACCTCCACGCACCACCACAAATTCCACTTTATCTACAATGAAGAGCTTATCTGTCAACACCTCAACTCCACGCACCACCACAAATTCCACTTTATCTACAATGAAGAGCTTATCTGTCAACACCTCAACTCCACGCACCGTGACAACAGCTACTGTCACGCCTTCAGACACCTCAACTACTGCCCACAAACCTCCACTCACCTCACCAGCCATCACCTCAAACTCCTCAAGTCCAACGCCCAATTTAACCCACACGACCGGTAATGTATTCCCCCTCAGTTTTATTGGGAAAATGTGTGTTGCGTTCAGCATGATATTGCTGGTATCTGCATTATATCAGGTGAGACTGTTGGACTGTTAGTATTTCTACTTGAAGGTGACCTCCAGCATGCTCTCCATCTTACAGCCATTGCTTCTCCTGCAAGCACCAGTCCCTCACCCAAACCAAGCACGCAAACAAACTCTCAGACAAACGCCACTCAAAACCAGACTTCACCTGCAATCACCACGCCCAACACCACAGTCACTTCCACAACCAAAGGTTGGATTTTTCTCCTTTCATGCCCTCCATTTGTCTTGTCGAGGACTGTGATAAGACAGTTATTTATATAAGTATAGACAACAGTTACTAACACTAGCACTGCTAAGGAATGGATTACTAGAAGTTCATGAAATAGTTAAACTTGCTTCACTTGAAAGTTGCTTCAGAGGTTTCAAAGTTTTATAATCATATATTAAAATTAGTTTCCTTTTCTAATCTCTTTTGAATGCGTTCTCCAGCCCCCACACAAGACAATTCAACTCAACACTGTGAGTATCAGTATTATTTTTCATCTTTACACTCATTTTAACAAACACACTTAACAAACCACTAATTATATCGTTTTTCCAACATCGACATGAGGAAGCGGTCTGAGATTAAAAGGTGTCATCAGGTGGTTTGTATTAACCACAGTAGGAGATTTTATAACTCTGTTGATTTTTGTGTTCAGGTTCTTACACAGTCAAACCCGTGGAGTTTGGCTTCCAGGTTAACATGTCAATGAACTCTACCACTGCCACCTACACCATCAACTTTAAAGAAGAGGGCACATCGGGCATACCTATCTATCAGTCCTTCAGCCAAAGCCCTCATGAAATCAAACACCTGAAGCCCTGTACTGAATATAAGCATAATGTGGCGTTTACCAATAGCGCTGGCAAACAAACAACTTGTGAATCTGAAAATATAACTAAAACAATGAATATGAGTGAGTAAAAATAATTCATATGGCTGAATTTGATTGTATCTTCTTTTAATCTATGAAATGAGACGAACAGACGGATGTGTGCAGATCATTTCACTTGTGTATTTCAGGTCTAAATGACGTTAAAGAATACAACTCGAAGTCTGGATATGTTTGTTACTGGAGTAACTGGGACATCGGTTCTTCACTGTCAACATCATATAATACTTCATTTGATCCATGGCAAAGTGTCAATAACACCTACTGCTTGAAACCTCGTTACAATGACACATGCACAAATTTAACCTTCACTATAGCAAAGTGTGGGAAGCCCTTTCAATTCATCAAAAGCATCACTGTTGGTATGTACAGTAGAGTCCTCGTGTGTTTTGAATTGCATGTGGTGTAGACCTTGTGTCATCATGTTTAGTGTGCTGTTTCCTTTTTTTTTCTACAGATTTCTTAGATCCAAGTAAAATAAATCACACGGTTCCAACTAAACTTCCTGGAAAAATAGAACCACAATTACCTCCAAACTGCAAAACTCTCACCATTGATTACACCTGTCAGGGTAAGTGGAAAGACTGGAGGTAATGAGACTTTGTCTGTCAGCAACATTATCAATGGATTCATATGGAAATAAATAGAGACCATTTGCCACAGTAGATGCTCACACTGTAGTAACAGTTTCACTTAAAACAGAGTCTAAATTGTCTTTTGGGGTAAGAGAGAGTCGAGGTATTGCTTTGTGCACTCTGTAAATAGAATATTTATTCATTTGCTGTGAATGTGTTCACATTTGAGTCCAAGCGCTCATTGGCACCAAGATACAAATACCAGCAGTTGAAGAAAAGCCGTCATCCTTGTGTCTCCACAGGTGGACTCAATAAGACAAAGGAATGGTCCGAACTGAAGCCCTTCACAAACTACAGCTGTACTGGTCAGATTAAGGACAACAATGTTACCATAAAAAACACGACTATTGTCAAGTTCAGGATTGACTGTGGTATGTTAATATTCACTTCTCCTCCATGCAATGATAAGAACTTGTATCCTAAGATGACTTTGGGGTAAAGAACCACTCCAAATGTTCAGTTCAGTGTTACAGATGTCTGATGTGTTCCAACAGATCTCAACATAGGCGATGACTTCCCAAAGGAAGTCATCACCAATACCTCCATTGAGTTGACTTGGAAGACAACCAGTGTGAAGTGTGGAGATATCCTTCATGATCTTAAGAATCTTTCTTATGACTGCAGTTGTCATGAACAATCTTCCGTCAATCGGAAACACAGTAGTAAGTCAAAGTATTTAGAGTAACTATATTATCATTTGATTAATTTTACAGGAATGCACTTTTGGAAGTCTTTGGAGATCACTTTACTTGTCACCTTAATAGTGAAACATACTGTGGACATTTGAATCAGTGCTTCGTGCTAACACTTCAGCATGCTGAGTGATCGTAGTGAAATAACCTGAGATGATAAAACAAATCACAGTTTGGTGAAGATTCACAGATGGACATGGATTTTGATACAGAAATAACATTGACACATAAAAAAAACAACTTAGCTCAATGTTGTTTTCTAATAGTACTAAATGTATACTCAAATGTAACTTGACCAACAAAACAATCTGCTGTTGTATTTTTCTGTTATTCTGTTTTTGTCGCCTTGTTGTTAAGTCAAACACAAAGAAACTAATGATACTATGTTGCAGTTTCAGTTAACGCAAATCCATCAGGAGGAACGTGTACTATTCCAGGACTGGATCCATACACCGACTATTCCTGTGAAGTCCAACCCAAATACAACAACAAGACCGTTACCAACCCAACTAGAGTTTATCACAAAACTAAGGCTGGAAGTAAGTGTCTTAAAAAAGACTGACAATTTATTTATTATGGTTTTAGTAATAATATTTCTGAAAGCAAATTGTTCTATCCATTATTATAAATGACTTTATGTAATTTATCTGATTCCTTATCCTGTCTGTCTTTTTAAACATGTGGCATTAAATGATGATAACCAGACAGCAAATCAATCCCTGATACCGATACACATAACAGTATGTAGGCCTAGAGTATAAGAATACCACGCTTCCATTATAATGAACATAACAATGCAGCTCCAATCATTAGTGAAGTGCAGCGGTTACTCTGCATGTTATTCTCTGTTACTGGACTAGAAATCTACCAGCTTCAGTCAGTCCTGACCTGTTTATTTATCACAGGTGGTGAGTAGAGTCTGGAGTCGGGTACCGGAGTAATTATTGACTAGAATTATAGATACATTCCAATTAATTAGTACAAATATAACAAACTAAAAACATTAACATTACTTCATTACATTTGCATTCACTGTAAATCCTGTCTTTAAGTAATACATTTTTAAACAAACTACAACTTTGAAGTGGAATCCATCTTCTTTTATGTAATGTATGTGTCTGCCAATCATATACCATCTCTTAATGTATTTGTTTCCTGCTTTAACATCTACAGTTTACATTTCAGCACAGCTTTATTTAAAAAATACGACGCATGTAAAGTCAGACCTACAGATCCTTCACACAACTTCCTGAACAGCTGTGAGGGACGAAAGGTTTAGAAGCCATCATCGCTCATCATTTAGAGACAAGAATACAGAATAAGAACTAAATAATAATACATTTTCTAATTAGTATTTTTTTACTTTGCGTTTATGATTATTGTTTTTAAAGTAAATTGGATTATCTTTCTTTGCAATTTTTGTCTTTATATCACTACTGTCAACCATGACAACCAATACAGCGACACATAATGATGCTTATCAGTGTTGAAACGGATGTTAAAGCTCACTGTGAGTAAGTGTTGTAGCTAAAGGAAAATATCTTGTTTTTCTTCTCTTAGTACCAGCAGGAATTACTCAACTGAAGGTGGTACTTCCAGAGCATAACGTGATAAGAGTAACTTGTGCTGATGAAAAACCATTGAATGGGCCTGAGAAGGAGCAACTCTTCATGGCACGTCTTCATGGTGACTGGTTGTCCAAGACGGAGTGTGACTTTAATTTCGAAGACCTATATTACTCAACGGAATATATAGTGGAGGTTTGCATAATCCTAATTTTTGGTTTCACAAGATTATTATATCTTTATTCATCGTTTTGTTCAAATGCTATAATTCCTGATTGAGGGATTTTTTTTGTGTTTCCAGGTGAAGGTTTGCAATGGAGTATTTTGCAGCGTGCCCAGGGCAACATCTGCTCGCACTTCCTGTATGCGCTGTTCTAATTAATGCCAAAAATTGTCTCACATTGTTCAGTTGAAACATGTTTTGCTTTGACAGACGGTACACACATCCATTTCTATACATTGCACCTTTATGCCACCACTTTGACATTAGTTCTCCATCATTTTACAGATAATGACAAAGCTGTCATTGGGTTTCTGGTCTTCCTCATCATCCTTACGTCTGTGGCTCTGCTTCTGGTCATCTACAAGATTTACATTCTGAAGCGCAGAAAGTCCCAGTAAGGGTTATTCTCTCAGTTTGACTGTGATTGTTTGGTTTTACACATATACACATATCCAATTCATTTGTTTTCCTTTACAGTACACAAAGACAACTATCATTGCATTGCAGACATAAACAGCATCACTGTTATAAAGCTCTTTATGTATGCCTTCTTTTTCCATTCTCTATATATAATGCCTGTATAATTACAATTATTTGGGGCCAATCATCACTATTTTTTTTTGTAATTTGCAGTGACCTGGGTGAAAACATGATGCTTATTTCTACAGCAAGTGAGTGGATTTTAGATTTGTTTCAGGATCCTGGATTTTCTCTTGAACCAGATGATTGAAGCGGATAAATGGCACTCATGTGTAGCAGCTACTGTTTTCAGATGATTTATGATGTTTGTAAAAATCGGAGTATACAGAAGTGTTCCTTTATTCCTTGTTAGAAAGTATAGAAGCATGTTTCAAGAGAAATAATTCATAGAAACACAGAAATATATTCAAATAGTTACTGTACTGTAATTTAGAGTAATGGCTCGTAATACATTACTTTTAGCACTACGTTGTTACTGTATCTTATCTGCTGGCTGGTTTGCTGTTGTAGATGACGAGGAGAACCTAATGCCTGTCGAGCCAATTGCAGCCGAGGTCCTGCTGGAAGCTTACAAGAGGAAGCTCGCTGATGAGGGCAGACTTTTCCTGGCAGAGTTTCAGGTTCATTTTATATCTTTGTTATTTTTGGAGCATTGCTTTTGGTATTTATTGGTCTTTATTGGATGTAACAGAGTGGCAAAGAGGGAGATGGTCAGTTGCCTAGTAAAAGTCCAAGGCTGGACTTGAACTAATGAAGTTGTGCATGCTAAGGGCCTTGCCCACTCATAGATTAGAAGTGTGGATGGTACTTTAGAATTGCTGCTTGGTGTTGACGTAACTTGTTTCTGCTTTCAGAGCATCCCCAGAATCTTCTCGAGGTACATCGTGAAAGAGGCCAAGAAACCCTGTAATGTCTCCAAGAACCGCTACGTGGACATCCTGCCATGTGAGTCTGTCACATGCCACAACACCTGAGGCTTTTTAGATAAAAGAGATGAATGCACCCGCCAGATGTGTAATGTGTTTTATTATTCGCTGTTTTTAAACTTCACCAACAAAACAGTAAATCACACCATCGGTTGCAGCTAGGATTGTCTACACTCATAGATTTTGCTTAATGTATATAATGTGGCAGCTATTTCTTATGTGAATTCAACTATTTTGGGAAATGTTTCAAATAAGTGAGCAGGTTGTTTTTTTTCCAATATTTGAATCAATGTGAGATATACCTATTACATTTCATGTTATGTCTCCATAAACAGCTTCTTCATTTACAGAAAATGTACACATACACTCCTCGTTCATTAAGGGTTGTTAAGGTGTCTTCTGTGATAAAAAAAAAAAAAGATCTATTTATTCATTTCCTGTTTTGAACCAGATGACTATAACCGTGTCCAGCTGACCACCGGAAATGGAGAGACAGGATGTGACTACATCAATGCCAGCTTCATTGATGTATGAAAAACACCCACATCTCACTACTACAGCTTTTACAACCACTGCTGCAGTCATAAGAATGATCAAACAACATACACATTTAAACATAGAAAAATAATAGCCAGAATAGCCATGGACAAGGTCAAGGACTACCTTTTGGCCTAACGGCACAGCTTTAGGGAGCTAAATAGACACTTTTCTGATATTACACACCTTATTAAGCATCATTTGTTTTCCTCCTGCAGGGGTACAAGGAATCCAAAAAGTACATTGCAGCTCAAGGTAAAGTAAAGTTCTCATATTCTTCACACACTCAGTCAGCGCTATGTTTCTGGATGAGACTCTGAAGATATTCTGTATGTGCCGCAGGGCCGAAGGATGAGACTGTGAGTGACTTCTGGAGGATGGTCTGGGAGCAGCAGTCCTCCATCATTGTCATGGTAACACGCTGTGAAGAGGGAAACAGGGTAAGAACAGGAGTTTCAACTTTTTGTTGACTTTGAATATTGTCCTGCCTCCTCCTCTCATCCTCCTCCTCTTGTCCCCGCGCTCACACTTCCTCCATGTTTCAAAAGTTACCAAAAAGAGGTGAGCTTATCAAAGGTCTGTTTGTACTGGTCCACTAAAAGACCTCAGGTAAGCTCACCTATATTGTATGGCTCAGACAGTTGTGTTCAATTAGTATGTTCGTGTGTGTGTGTGTGTGTGTGTGTGTGTGTGTGTGTGTGTGTGTTGCCAGTTCCAGTTTTGCATTTTTGTATCTAATGTATGAAACAGTGTATAGAGTTTTGTAAGACGTGTGTTGCAGAATTGCAAACACAGTGCAAAGCAAAGTGTGTATTTGTAGTGCCTTTGTTTAAGGCATGGTTACAAAAGTTAATGTGTTGATGCTTAGGTATTCACTTTTAGTGTGGAGGCAATCACTAAAAAAGTATGATTTTCCTCTAACTGACTGACTTGAGTCTGCTTGTAACACACTCACACCATAGCTCCTCGGCCACATGTAGGCTACTGTATCAGATATAGACAAGCCCAAAATTCACACTCATGCGCACATTGTTCTTATTTCTTGGAGACTGTTTGTACTTATCTGCTTTTAACATGCATCAACTGCATATTTGACTTTTGGGTTAAAGTGCAACAGTGTTACTGATGTGTAAAATTAGTTGGTCACTCTCTTTCTCACCTCTCACATGTTGTGCTGCAGGTCAAGTGTGCGCAGTACTGGCCGTCTCCAAACCGGGAGACAGAGATCTTTGAGGAGTTTATCGTGAAGCTGAACTCAGAGGACCATTGTCCGGATTACACCATTCGCCATCTCAGCCTATCTAATGTGAGTCTCCATCAAACGTTTAATATGGAAATGTATGTTCTCGCTTTTTCAATTGTGTGTGTACGCATGTGAGTGTGTGTAGAAGAAAAGGCCAGTATTTCTGTCCATCTTTATCTTAGTACACTTGATTGAATATTTATTATTCAGTGTTATCATATGTCTTTGTGCATATTTGCATAACCGCGTGTGTCTGCAGAGGAGGGAGAAGAACTCAGAGAGGGAGGTGACCCACATCCAGTTCATGAGCTGGCCGGACCACGGCGTCCCCGGGGAGCCACATCTCCTCCTGAAACTGAGAAGGCGTGTCAATGCTTTCAAGAATTTCTTCAGCGGTCCCATCATCGTTCACTGCAGGTAAGTTCAAGCTTCCATTCTAGATCAGCTAACATTCACTTCTGTTTGTTCCAAATATTGACACGAGCAACATTTTATTTGCTAATCGTAGCTGTGCTTTTGCTACGCTGGATTTTTCCAGTTTTTAGTGCATTACTGACTCAGCTGCACTCATTTGTACATTACATTCTGTATCGTCTTTTGTTCAATTTGTATATATCACAGTCATATACCTTCCTATTGTCACCCCCTTATAGAGTTATTGTTTATCTTTATATACAGTATAAGTCTTTATAAACGTGTGCTGCTGTTAAACTGCATTTAGTAGTACCTATACTGACTGAGTGAAAGTCCGTGTTCATAGCCAAGTAATTACAAACTGGACTCCTAATTCACCTTCTCTGTACTAATGACCAGTCCTTAGACAGTGTTTTGCACACGGTAGATATCTTCAAGAGTCTTTTCAGGCACACCGCTGAACTTGCTTCATTGCATATAAATAGCTGTCATTGGGTTTCAGGGGGTCTCATCAGGCCGTTTCCCGTCTATTTGCTTTCAAACTGATGCTTGACTTCATCTTTACTTGCCACTGATAGACATGTGTACCAACATGTATTAACACGATGCTATTCATGTGTAGCGCGGGAGTCGGCAGGACAGGCACCTACATTGGCATCGATGCCATGATGGAGGGTCTGGAGGCGGAGGGCAGAGTGGACATCTACGGCTACGTAGTTAGACTCCGCAGACAGAGATGTCTCATGGTTCAAGTCGAGGTGAGATATCAATTTAGCTCATATTTTAGGCACAGCGTGTGTCTCATTAGAGTTGCGTTAATTGGCTGAGTTTGTTGACGCATATAAAGAATGTGACTCCAGGTCTCAGTGTATGTACTCACAGATCAAAGACCAAACGTACAGGAAGTAAAGCCACATGAACAAACAGCTAAACAAAGATAATTAAGCAAAAAGGTATACACAAGCATAGATACAGCTGTTATGTACAAACAAACATACACTGTATGCATAGAGGTTAATACAGTGTTACTTTACACTGCTGTACAAGATTATGGTCTGGTTAGTAACTACACTATCCAGAGCTTTTTATTCTGAGTATATTAATGCATTATTTAAAAGCAGGTATATATCATTAATTAATTTTCAATACCTTTTATTTATTCTTTGTTTATAATGGCACACTGTTGAAAGTCTATAATAATTGTTCACTTCAGGATCTCGGCTTTATCTTTTGTCAATGTACAGTTTGAATGTGTAACACTATGCATGCCTGATGAGTGTGATGGTGGAGTGAAACAGTGCTCTCTAGCGCCCACCAGTGGGCAGAAGCTAAAAGATAGTTGTGCACAGTAATTAAATTAAGTACGTAAAATAATTTTTTTGTTGCACCTTTCAAAACTTATGTTAACAGAAGAATATAGCACAATAACAGCAAAACAATTGAAGCATCACAAATAAGGTACATGAGTCAAGAACTGCAGCAAAAAAGATCTTCATCTGTGACCCGGCACGTTTTCAGTCTTAAACTAGCAGGTGTTGTTCAGAGGACTTGAGTGGCCGAGCAGAGGTATGCAGCATTAGTAGTTTATTGTACTCTGGAGCAAGACTATTCAAAGCCTTGTAGATGAGGAGGAGGGTCTGTTTATTAAATCTAAATCGTCACAGAGAAGGAGGCATGGGTAACAAGTTGTTAGATAGTGATTTGTAACCGTGTGGTTATACAGATGGGGGATCGTGTAGCTCAATAGCAGTTTGTGACCCCAAAGTGTATGTCCTTTGTTTTTTAAATACATTTGTCCGCACGCAGGCCCAGTACATCCTGATTCACCAGGCGCTGCTGGAGCACAATCAGTTTGGAGAGACTGAGATCACTGTGTCTGAGCTCCACAGCACAGTGAGCACGCTAAAACAAAGCAGCTCAGGAAATGAACCCACCTTAATGGAGGACGAGTTTGAGGTATGGCACTCCACAACATTAGTGTTTCTGATCCCTTTAAAAACTATGCAAAAATGTAGTCCTACCCTTTCTTATTATTTAATATGGAAGAAATTACAGACCTTCATATATCACTGGTGAATATCTTTGTCTTTGTCTTGTAATTCAGAGACTCCCCGTCTATAAAAACTGGAGGACAATCAACACAGGGACCACAGAAGAGAACAAGAAGAAGAATCGCTCTTCATCTGTCATCCCATGTAAGTATCAGCTCAACACAGGGAGAAATGACAAGTTAAACTACAGAATAACAACCGTAACATATCTGTGTATATGCACTATGTTTATAATGTGCATTACCGTGTACATGCAATCATATACCAGAGTAATTATCTTCAATTTCACCTTCACTCAGATGACTACAACCGAGTGCTGCTGAAGCAAGATGAAGGACGCAGTCATGATAGTGACCCCAGTGAGCAAGATGAAGAAGACTCATCAGATGAGGAGAATGAGGAGTCCACTATATACATCAATGCCTCCCACATAGATGTATGTCTTTTTACTTGCACTTTCAGATTATTGTTTCGGCACACTGTACCTCCGACATGGACCTGGATGCCAGGACAAAACAATAACAGCGTTTTGTTTAACTGCAGCAAGACAAACTGTTCTCCTGTTACCATCTTTCCTGTTGTAGCAGGTGTTATCTCATTAACTCTGAATGAATTCCCATCTTACATGCAGCCAGTTCAATTTCAAGACAAATCTAATTGAATTTCCCACATCCTATTTGTCATGAGTGCGTACAACAATAGATGTGTGATGTGTTTTCTTGCCCATACAGGGATACTGGGGTCCACGCGCCTTCCTCACAGCGCAGACTCCCCTGCCAGACACCATGGCTGACTTCTGGTCGATGGTTTACCAGAAGAAAGCATCTACTATTGTCATGTTCTCAGACTGCAGTGAGGGAGATAAGGTATAGTATCATGCACATATCATGATATATAATGTTGTATGTACCTTGAATACGGAATACTCTATGCTCTTGGTGCATATACTGTATTGGAGGTACAATTGTTTTCTTATGCGTCTTCTTGTTTACAGGAGTCGGACTGTGCCTACTGGAATAAAGACAAGAAAATATTCGGGGACATTGAGGTGGAACTGGCAAGCACGGACACCTACCCAGCTTTCATCAGCCGCAACATGCTGATACGTCACGTCAAGGTAACACACAACAGCAACCTACTAACAAGGTCTGCCCGGCCGTATTCCCATATTTATCAGCATCAGCCTGTGATCCGACCGGTCATTTCAATGTAACAAGCTGTTTTAAACCCCACACTTCTGTCAACAGAGGAAAGAGAGTCAGCCAGTGAAACAGTTCCAGTTGCTGAAGTGGGCGAGCGGCGAGCTGCCGGAGAAAGCTCAAGATCTCACGGACATGATCAAGGAGATCAAGCACAGCTGTGGCGGCAGCAAATCACAGAGGAGCATGCCCATTGTGGTCCACTGCAAGTAAGACAACCTCACAGAAAATGTCCCCTGGAATCTTAAAGGGGCAGTGTGTGTATATAGCCACAACTTTTATAAGGAGCTTTCAAAGCTCAATTTCAGGCCTTTAATCTCTTTTGGAAGACACATCCTCCCCACCGACTTTAGCTTCTGGCCAGATCCAAGTTGTGACTTCTACGAAGTCAGCTTATAGAGCTTGATAAAGGTCACAGATCATTTGACACCAAATTAAAGTATACAGTTACAGACCTTAGGTATTTGTAGAACAATATCAGCAGATTCTAATTTTAGCACCTAAAATTTGTCAGAACATTTTCGGGGACACTAGGTTTGTTACATTTTAACAAATCACCAATCATTTAAGAATCGTTTTCTTTATAAATGAATGGTGTATATCATACTAGAATGTGTTTAATCAGAGAGGCAGTTAATCAGAGTTGGAGTGTCACCTTATTACAAAGAAGACGTGTTTATAATTCTCTTCTCTGTGGAGTTTCTCGTCTCCAGTTGAAATAGACTAGAGAAATTAAATCAGCCATAGGTTTGAACATGATCGTATAATTGGGCCCATATTTCTCAAGCTTCTAATAATTACAATTAAGGATGCTCTAAAGAGACAGTTTAGCAGTCTGCCGTGAAAAATATATTTTCATGAAGCTACGTACAATATAATGGAAGAGCAACATTTATGGACAGCTCCCATGATTAATCACATGTATAAACAGAACAGGAATAACAATCAGTTATGTGTTTTTCTACAAAAACATTGTTTATTCAAGTCTAGTTTATTTGTCTGAAATCCTTAACATAACCATTAGCAATTAACAACAGCAATCTACATGCTATATATTTGCTGCAGCCCGCTACAACCTGGAAAAGGTAAAGTTAAGGGGATTAATAGGAACAAATAATATAATAGAGGCGAAAATGTGATCTAAACATTCTGTGTTTGTGTGTGTGTGTGTGTGTGTGTGTGTGTGTGTGTGTGTCAGTGATGGCTCATCCCGTTCAGGGATTTTCTGCGCTCTGTGGAACCTGCTGGACAGCGCTGAGACTGAGAAGCTGGTGGATGTTTTCCAGGTGGTCAAAACCCTACGCAAGGAGAGACAAGGCATGCTCTCCCACCTGGTAAGGAAGAGGAACCCAATAACTGTCAGCACACAGTGTCACAGCTTTAACTTCAAACAGTGTAGAGAGTGTAAAGTATTACAGCACTTGGCTGGTCAGTGACTCAATAATGTCAATAATTAACAGATGATGTTCTGCCAAGGTAGATGATTTTTTGTGTACCTCTTACATACTGTGGTAGGTTTTACTAAAGGTTTAATGTATTGTTTATGTATTTAACTTCACCAGAAAACCAAATAATCTCTCCCCTTCAGTTTCTTTGCTTTTAATTTCATTTAAAGAAGAAGAATTATAGGAAATGTGAGCTTTAGTGAGTATTTACGGCAGCAGGACGGTGTGTGATTGACTCACAATAAACTACGGTGCCCATGTTCATGTTCAACAATAAAGGTTTACAGCTCAGAGGATTCAGATACACTTGTTAGAAGGATAAATGAATTGTTGGTTTTGGTCTTTTCTGGCATTTTTTTGACAATAACAAAAAGATATAGAATATCGCAAGATGAGTCATACAAAGCTGTTTTCTGGTGCTCTTATTTGTGTATTGTAAAGAAAAGTAAAAAAGGTTTACTTTTCAGCACAGCACTGCATGATTATGCTTCTGCTAAACTCCGTCTGCGTCTCTTACAGGAGCAGTACCAGTTCTTGTACGAGGCCCTGGAGGGGGTCTTCCCTCTCCAGAACGGGGAAGTGAAAGCAGTACAGCCCTCTGCAGGCGACTCCGTCCAGGTTGTCAATGAAACCAAAGCAGCAGAGCCGCCAGCGGAGGAGAAGGTTGAGCAGCCAACCAGCACTACCAGCAACAGCCAGCATGCGGCAGCAGAGAGCACTCCTCTTGTGGCTGATGGAGAACCTGAAACAGAGACAGTACCACTAGAGGACCCCAGCAACGCTGCCACTGTCACTGTGGAGGTCTGAGAGGGCTGGCTGGTGGTTGTGCCTTTTACTTTTGGGAATAAGCGCTTTAGTTGAATGCTTTCTTTTAATTACTTAACAGTATGAATGTATAAACATTGTAAAGCTTGTTGTGTTGACATTTGTTAAAGAATTTGATCAAAATTATGTCAATTTCCAAAAATATGATTTTTCTAAGTTATAAATATTTTTAGCAGAAAAGTGTTAAGGATGCAAATAATAACTTCTGTGAGCAACGTTAACCAGAAATGCTGTCATCAAACTAGGGGCCTTCGTGGGAGATTTTAAATTATACCTACAATATAAGTGCATGTTGAGTTTGAGTTAGTGTCTGTATTTTTTTCCTCCCTGAATAAACAGATTTTAACATCTACAGTTATAAACACACACACACACACACACACACACACACACACACATATAGTCATTCAGTTCAAAATTTGTCATATGACACTGTGTCATTTCATAAAAAAGACACAAAAAAGTGCTTTTTATGTTGAATATATGCATATTAACAATAAAGTTTCATTTTTTCTGCATAGATTAACTTTATTTTGTTGGTTCCCCCCCCAAGTAAATCAGCTTCTTACTATAATCAATCATCTACATGAACAGTTTTGATGATCTCACGTGGGAGATGTCAGCGCTCTTCTCACGTTGGCAGGGCTCGGTTGGAAAGACAATGTCACATATTTACGTTCACCAATCATGATGAAGCAATATTGACATCAAAATCTGATGACAGTTGTGGAGTTGTTAGCTAGCTAGTGCTCATCAAAAGACGTGACGGGTGGAAACAGTGCCCTGAAGAGTAAAAGGGAGGGCTTCTGACTGAAAGTTTATCAGTAAATAACGCTCCCAAAAACTCACCGCTGGGTTGCCTTTGAGCAAGGCACTTAACACCCAACTGCTTAATAGACTGTGGATCAACTGGTAACCAAGTGTTCAGTTCTTTAGTTAAGTTACAACATAAAGGGCACAAAAGTCACTAAAATACAAGTTGAAAGATTATAAAATATAATATAAAAGACAGAGGATAAAACTGGAAAACTCACAATACTTTACCTTGATACAATTTTAAATCAGCTGTTTGTGTAATCATTTTCAAAGGCAATCAGTTACAAAATTTTAAGACGCACAAGATACAAAATGAACAGTTTCCTCAAATTCAGCACAATCATATAAACAAAGTATCCGTATATTCCACATGGAAATGATGATCTTTTGTTGGGTCGAGTCTAAATACAAATCTGTCACATTTCTCTGACATAAGAAATACATTTCAATTGATTCATTGGAATCCCTACAATGTCTTTTAAATCTCTAAATACCAAACATGAATAGAAATACAATGTATAAAAATAATAATCTAAATAAAAACCATCAACACTGTTGAATCAGAAAGAAGATCTTTGCTTCATTCACACTTTTTCCAAATGAAACATCTGATTCTCTGTTAGAGTCTCAGAAGTTCGTGAACATTATAAATTCTACAACTACCGCAGCACTGAGAACATTTCGGCTAATGTTAAGACATACACACATTATTGCAGTGGTCACGAAACAGTCATAGAGGATTTAATAGCTGTCTGCCCTGTGGAGTTCAATGTACATCAGACTCAACAATAAAACTGTTTTTGCATTCATTTAATTCTAATTTATTAGAGCTTAACTTTATTTCTCCAAGTAACAAAAAAAAACGAAATTGTAGAATATTAGTTTTGGCGAGAAATAAATGCTTAATATTTATTTATAACAATAAATTAATTAATTCAAATCTTCTAGCACTGACAGGCCGTTACGTTTTTGCAGGAAATAGAGGAACCATCTTATACCACATAGAAGTTGATAATTATGTATAGCAACTTTGGTTCACTTATTTTTACAGTGTATTAATGATCAAAGATCAGTACAGATACAGTAACAGCACATGGCTACATAATTTAATATTTTGAACAAACTGTAGTGTGCTACAGTTTGTTGTCTGTTAAACCCTGCTGTCTCACTTCCCCTGATGCCTCCCAAGTCTTCTGATACAGGAGATTTGTGTTAAATCTTCTGGCCCATTCTGTGCATATGATGTTATGATTCATTGCTGAGCCTCAACTGTTGCTACATTAAGCAGGAAACACTTGACTGAACACACATTTCTCAGAATTATTGGAAGCATCAAATTTACTTTCACTTCTGTCTTTATCATTCTTCATTTGTTCAGCTTCACACGTCACAATTTAGTCACACAAAATAGAACCAGAGGCAGCTGAATCCCATACGTCGTGTGAGTATGTAGGTAAGGCTACTTCTAATCTTTGACCTTCTATTGTGTTGTGCACACATATTATTCTGGTTCACCTCTTAGATGCCGAATAACAAAAACAAATTCCCAAAATAGAGAATGAGAATTGCCTTACAATTTATTTTCAGTGCCATTTTGTGTAAAACACTGTGTCCACTTAAAACTCTCATCTCTACAGGAAGTTAGGTTCGAAATCTATCATTTTATGTGATGGAATAATTGAGCTACACGCACACACACACACACACACACACACACACACACACACACACACACACTCAAAGACATTTAACAGCTAGCTCAACATGTCACGATTTGATATTACACGTTAAGTAGGCAAATACATGAGGCTAGTTTAGCGTCCAACTTTTCCATAAGGTTTATGGCTTTGCTGCAGCTTTGGAGTGGCAGCGTAACATGTAGTCAACCAGGAGCACGTTTCATACAAATCCTTGATTTTGCTTTACTTAGTCAGACCCGCCATCAAGTGTTATCCTCTCTAAAATGTAGCTGTCAGTGTGGCAGGGGACACTTTTTGATTTGTCCAAAAAAAGTCAAATTGTATCACTTTTGCCGCTTGACAACTGTTAATTTCCAACCTCGGCCTCATGGCAGTATGTTAGGCTACTGTTTCTGTCTCTAATTACCCTGGCGTCATCACCACCCTCCACTTCAAGGCACAGCTCCATCTTCCCTGATGTATGTCGAGGATAGACAGCTGTCAGCTGAAGAATGGACCACCAGCATCCTCTTTCCTTCAGCTCAGCAGCTGACATAACTGGACCCAAACTCGAATTCCCTGCATTGTGTCGCATACAGCTGGACCTTTTCAGATAAACTGACTCTTTTGGCTCAGCATCAGGTTCACCAGCTAAAACCAGCTCAGATTTATCGGGACCTGCAAAGAGCCATGATATGGTGTAACAACCGTTTGAAGATTCAGCTTTAATCTTTAATCATTTCTTGGCCTTGCTGTTTGGCTTCTCCTCTGTGTTGATGTTTGATGAGGTCTGCCTTGCAGTCGCAGGTCGGACCTCGGAAGGGTCAGTCTTGATGTTGTCAGATTGTGCTTTGGCAGTTTCTGGACGTGTTTTGGACTCTTTCTTCTGTGGTGGAGGGGTGGTCGGCTCCCACAGGATGAACTCATGCAGCAGTGTGTTGACAGCCTCAGGACACTCCATCATGATCATGTGACTGCCGTCCTCCAGGACTTTCAGGAAGGCCATTAGGAGGATCTGACAGACAGTTTAAAGCAAAAGAACAGGTCAGATTTTTAGAATCATCAAGATGTTTTGTGGCGCTGTCCTGCTTCCAGACCTCTGAATCACAGCTGGTTTTTCACTCATTAAAATAGTATAACAAAATGAAACAAAAGGACAGTTCAGTGTAATTATCAGAATGCCAAAAACAAATACATTTTTAATTATTGTGATCCGGACGAAAGACATGACTAATTTAGTTCTCTCAGTTCACTCTAACTAAACATTTGGTTCACAATATGACAGCAGTGTCTTTAGTAGCATCGGTATCCCTGCAGTTTGAATCTCGGGCTTTGGGGGTTGAAGAAGTGCATTCACCTCCGCCATGCGCTGGTCCTCTTCAATGGGGACAAACTTGTCATGCATGCCGTGAACCAGCAGGATGGGCACCGTGAGTTCAGCGTGGTAGACCTCATCCCCCTCAGGCCAGTACTGCCCACTCATCATGGCGCGCAGCACAAAAGACGACACGTTAAAGGCATTGTTGTCTTTCAGCAGCTGCTTCTCCTTGGCACCCTGCCGAGCAAAGCCAGCCCTGTCGGGGGAAGAGCGGAGGAGATTTACCTGAATTACAAATGGCTTAAAAGACAAAAATCAGGATTCTGACGACAATAAACTGTGGGTGAAATAAATAATATGGCACTTGCCCGTAGCCAGCAACATCAATGTTTGGGTATCTCAGTTGGAACAGTTGTTGTTCACTTGATTACAGCTTTTACAAGTTTTGGTGATTAAAGATCAGATCTTTGGACTGATGGACAGGAAGAGATGCTGTCAGCCTGCGACCTCTGCTCATTAGATGAGCTTTCTCATATTTTACCTTGACATGATTACAATCGAGAATGTTTTTCGATGCTCATTGTTTTTGTTTATTTTTGTCGTCCAAATGTGATTAGTAATTTTCATTACTTCTAAACAAATGTTAATCAATTTGAGCTACCTGCTGCAGCTTTAAGCCTCATTTTATTCACAATACCTAATAACAATCAGTTATAGGAGAGCGATTATATGTTGATGCATGGTAACCGTTTTGGCTGGTAAAATTGTTACTGTTACTGTTGCTGTTGCGTTGCTGTGTGTCTTACTTGAGAAAGCTCCACGCTAGCAGCGGCGAGAGGCAGTGAAGCACACAGGTGGGCAGGTTGAAGATGGAGCAGAGGCTTGGCTCCAGAGCTGTGGGACCACCTCCGTTGATCATCACCATCTTGTGGATCTGCTCCGGATACTCGTGGGCCAGGAAGGTACAGAACGATACTCTAGGAGAGCAAAGCAGAAGACTGGTTACAGGACAGCATAGAAGAATCAAGGTAACCATGCTTTTCCTTTTGTGGTAGTTACCTTTTTTGATTGTGCATGTGTTTGGATTTAAGTATTTGGAGAATATGAAGCAAATACTGAATAAGAAATGAAAGCTCTGTAACATTATAATATTGGATAGCTGCAGCAGTAAAATAAACAGTGAGTAATGTAGTAAGGGACAGTGTCAGTTACTGATCACAATTTTGTCAGAACATAGTGGAAAATACACTATCTCCCAGAGCCCAAAGCAACTTCTCCAAATTCCTTGTTTTATGTGACCAACTGTCCAAAACCTAAAGCAATTCTGTAATTTCTGCTAAATTATAATCAATGTGGCTGCAAGTGGCACTTACAACACAGCGTAGTGTATCTGTTACACTGCAATATCTATCTAAAGTTTTCTAACACACGCTAATATTAACCACCATAAGGTACCAAGTGCAGCTGCACGTAACGAATTGCGCAATGGTGCATCTTATGCTTATGAATTCAAAATTTTCTTTTGTAAGAGGGAGATTTAGTTATTTCTCCTTCAAAACCGTGATCTGATTTTAAGAAAGAGAAGCTGGAACTGGCAAATGTGTGACATTTTTCAGAAATTAATGAAGTGATTAAGCAATTATAAAAGTGTAAACTCAAACTATGTCAATGTTGATATAATTATAAAATATGTAAATGAGAAACATTCTTACATTGCCTGTTTGGGCTTAATATTAATGGCAACAAAACCAATAAATATGCAGTTAAGTGTCTTTCGCTTTCTCACTTTAATTGTGATGTTTAACTATTTTTCGGCATATCCTGAAGTCTTCCAAATCCTCTCTGTCAATACTATGTGCTCTATATTATATTATACTATATTCATGTGCTCCATGAATTTTGTGATCTTAAATTTACCCGTAAGAATGTCCTATGAGAATATTCCTCTTGCGTGCATATCTCTTGAAGATAAGTCTCATATCCTCAGCTAGGGCATAGAAAGTGTATGCAGCAGCTATCTGCGGTGCTGAGCTGGCTCCGTGACCTGCCAGGTCCGGCGAGATCACCTCATAGCCCAGCCTGGAAAAGAAGTCCACTTGGCTTTTCCAGATGTCGAGTGAGCCTCCCACTCCATGGATGAAGAACAGAGCCACGTCTGCATGTGTCCCTTTACAGGCCGATATCTTCCTCTCACAGTCGATCACCACAGTGCGCTTGGGCTTCCTCCTGCGCTTCCTGGGTTGCTGCGACTGGTCAGTCTGCCCAGCAGCAGGTGCCTCTCCTCCTCCTGCTGCTGTTTCAGCTGTCCCATCTTTTCCAGCTGTGACAGGCTCAGACTCGGCCTCAGGGATGCTGACGGGTGCCGAGGACTTACCGCAGTCAGTCAGTTCAATCTCTACAGTGTTGTTTGGTTCTGCCTCTCCATTCTGGCAGTTTTTCAGCTCTGCACTCGCCCTGTCACCCAAGTTCTCAATGAAAAGCTGTCCATTACGATATACTGTGATCTTTCGTTTGCAGCTGACAGTCCCACCGGGCCCAGTGGGCTCCTCCACCACCGGCCGGTCGGGGATGGTATGTCGAACCCGCAGGACGCGGCCTGGTTTCACCTCCACAAACTCATAGCCATCCGTGGATTCTGAGATTTCTGCAGGAACCACAACGTTAGCCGACTTTGAGGTGAGGCAGCAGAGAAGACCCTCCATAAAGCTGGTCAGCATGGCTGCCAGTCTGTAGGGAACACAGTCATGTAAAAACACACATAAATCAACACACGTAAATGAAACAGGAATATCACAGAAAATCTAAGGCACATGAATTATTATAAATGAACCATGTTTATATCTCTATCTAAGCTCTAGAAATTGCACATTTATGTGTACTAAACATCATTCATCATATCATTACAATAATATGCTCTACTTACTCCCAAACATCAGTCTAAGCATCTGCCCCAATATCGCTCTATTACTACTGTTTTGCATTGTTTTCTCGTGCCATTTTTAATAAATGAGCATTTGGAAACCTTAAATGTACCATTCAACAAAGCAAACAAGTTATTTTGCCTTTACAATCTAGCATCTAACTACAACTCACACCCTTGAGACTTTCTGTCAGACGTAACTGAGCAGCATCTTCCCTCAGCGCAGACTTTCAGGGTATAAATAGATGGGACCAGTAATAGCTCCTTGAATTAAAGCTGTCCGCCATGTGATCACTCTGCAGTGGCACATATTGTCTGTCAAAACCACCAAACAACCAATCGTAACTAATGGTACTTTAATATGGCTTAGTAAGTCAATCACACTAGAAAATAAAGGAGAGTTAGATTACTTAAATGTGTAAAATTAGGCTCATATAGAGAACACACAAATTTGAAGAATCACACGCACATTCAGTTGATCTAAATCGTGGCAGTCTTCACATGATGATTTGGAAAAACTGTAGGCTCACGTTGAAGATAAGGATTTCATATTTACTTGTTACACCCACTCACAATATCAGATTGGCTTCTTGATGAGCTCCAAACTGCTAATTTTGAAAAAACGTGAACGTAAAGAGAGGTAAATATCTGAAGAATGGATGAGACTGTATAATACATACTCATACACACTTCAGGTACAGTATACAGTATCTGTTAGGTTGTCAGTTGATTATCAACCATGGCAACAGTACAGCAGCCGAGCAGGGTCTGCAAGTCTCTCTGCTGGTGTCATTATCCTACCTTCCTGTCACTCCCCTCCCTGCTAGAGGGGATTATACGCTCTGTCTAAGTCCACAATCTGTCTATCTCCTCTCTCGATGAAAACAGTGACACTGTGCGACAACAGTTTTACCTTCTGCGGGATTTGTTGCATCTTTTTCTGCACTTGCAACCCCATCAGCCACTTTCATTTGGGGATTATGGACACAATGTAATACAGCATTCCTGCTTCACTGGCGATTCTTAGACCCTTTCTGCTTACTCTTGCACATACTTTTTATCCAAACAGCAGTGTTGTACAGTGCTGTGTGCAAACTGACTGAGCAGGCCAGTTTGATATCACTGTGGGTGACACGTTTACCTCGAATATTATTCTCATATCAAAAGGCATCCATTATCCAGACACAAGGTGTGATGCTTTTTTCTGTTCTGCAACCTCTGTTCTGTTTCTAAGTGTCCATTCAACATTGACACTAGAATAGACATATCTTTTACAGTCCTTTTCTACCCTTACAGACATAACAAACTCCCATTTATCCTCCATGCCCTAATTGTTCCACTCATCCAACTCAGATATTAGAATCGCAACTTTAAAACAGACTGCTGCTTTGAGGTAGAAACCAAATATAGAGGGGCTGTTGTGTGGTAAAATCCTGTCCTTCCATGTATTCCCTAGACTCTTTTTCATCGCAGTCACTGTGATCTAGTCAAAACTTATTAATCAATGGGTAGAGCATAGATTATTTCACAAGGCAACCCCAGGACTGACACCAACATAAGAAGGGATTGCAGGGGTCCAATCTTTCTCCTAATTGATGCTGTGAGAATATCCTGCATGGTGCATGAGGCAAGTGCATGTTGATTCAACTCTCACATGTATTGCTTATCTTGATTAATTCTTTTAAATATATCCGTGATGCAAATGATTAGCCCTCACCATTTCAAACCAGAGGACAGGAGAACACTGCTTCTGTGCTCCTTTTTTAAGCAGAATCAGACCTGCAAATACCTGCCCAGTACTACCACTGTAGTGAAGCATGTCAGGTGTTAACTGCTTTAATAAAGGGCAAATGATGACGGACGGTAATGTGGTAAAGGCAAGGACCACAATTTCAATTTTTACACGCCAATTATCAAGCTGGTCCAAGGATTGAACTGTCCACCTCACAGTCACAACACTGCTTCCCTAACTGAATGTTCTCTTCAATAATATCCCAGTGCTGTGTCTCATTATTGTGTGAGTCTGCTTCCTTGTGCTTGATGTTTTTACATTTGGACATTGTGCTGAAGCACTGCAGTAAGTTTGATTCGTCTTGTGGTTACAACTGTAACGTTATAGCTTCTGTTGACAGTGACTGCAAGAGGCTGTTATATAACGATTCCCGCAGGTCAGACACAATCACAGTGGGGACTGATGCCCAGAAAAGAGTAGACGCTGTCATGGGGATTAAAAACAACTACAGTAACTAGGTTTACTGGCGTGCTAAATAATGTGTCACTAAACATTGAATCCTGATCGTGTATTGCACTTGCTTGCTGTTGTACGCCACAATTTAAATCAAATAAATGAATAATGCTGCTTATCTTTGAAATATATCTTTTGTTATGGACTGCATTATAGTTTTCTGAAATGCCCTTAAGACAAATATACCATCACTATCTGCATGCTGCTTTGTATGTAGACAAATGCTCCAAACACAACCGTTGAGAAACTCATTTACAATGTTCAGCAAAAAGGAATTTATTCAAAAATAAACAGATTTTGAGTCATTTGTGCATTTTCAAATTGGACAGTTATTGTGGCCCTTAAACAAAAACGTTAAGCAGATTCATATAATAAGTAGATGCCAATTCGAGCAAAAAGAAAAAGATCTGTTTACACAGGAAACAACGTGAGGGTTTCATTGCATACTAAATAAAGTTTGTTGCTGATTTTAGTAGAATACAACTTGTTGATCTGGTGAAGCTAGTGGTCCACATCTATTCACTGATAACAATAAAGCCAGTTAGAATGCCACTCACTGCCGTCTGATGCAGAACATGAGGCAGGTGCTAGAATGTTTTCCCTTTAAGTCTACTCTGTTGATACAGTCAATTGAATTTCACATTTTTATATCACTCAATAACCCGTCTGTCTCCTTCAACTGCAACGCAACTTGATATGTAGCGACCTCTTATCTGTTGCCAATAATCTACAGGATAGCCTACTATAACAAAACAAAACAACACAAGGCAAGTAAAAAGAGGTGGCATGAAAGAAAAAATGCTTACCTGTATATTTCCAACAACTCAGATTAATATGGTTTTCTTACGAAGCATCGAGGAAGTAGACGAGCTATAATCTGTTGCAGGCAATCCAATAATCTAATTTATCTGGATTCTGTTGTCCTGTAGGTAGCCTCCACATGGCTGCCAGCACTAGCCTACTGACAGCAGATCTCTCTGTGCGGTTCAGAGGTAGATCCAAAATATATGCGTGTGCCAGCACCCCACTTCCATGTTGGAATGCTTGTGAATGCGCTTGGAGACGCGCCGGAGCTCCGCCGGTTTGATGGCTTCGCGTTTATTTAATCCATCAAAGTGAAACATCCGTGATCAGTTAAAGGATGTGAAGAGCTGCCCCCTGCTGCTATCTGACGCCAGACAACTAATGGATATTTTTTTGAAACATAAAAACGTCTCTATATAGTATAGAAAGTAAATACAAGTATTATTACAAAATAATAGCCTCATTGAATTTTTAATTAATTGATTTTTTCAAATACGTAAACAACGTGAAAGCAACAACAAGCCACATGTAAAAAGATCATCTTTCTCTATAGAGGCATTATTGTGACGTTAATATTCATATTCATATTATTGTGTACTTTTTAATTTTAATGCAACATTGTTTTTCCTGAAACGTTCATGCAAATAAAGCCACATTATTTGCACACCTCTTGCCATCATAACTGTTACTTGAGGTGGCGAACAGTAAGTCATATCTCCCTTTAAAATGTGTTGGTTTGTTAATTAAATAACAAATTTCATTACTTGAATGCTTCAAAGTTCCTTCAACTGTACATTTACAAATGTTGCTGTTTTGAGTTTCCTCTCCTAGTAATATGTCACTATTTTAAATGTTAATTTTGTACATGTTGTCATATCTGTTACACACATTTCCTTAAGATACCATTGAAATATATATTCCACAGTAGCTGCTCCATCTCATCAGCATCCCATTCTCCAGCACCATAAGGAGCTTGTGCTGTGGCAGTTGCCATGGCAGTTGTTGCTAAGTAACTATTTGTAAAAAGTCCAGTTGCAGGTGCCAGTGAGGTGTGAGGAAGAGCACAGAAATGAAGACGTAGCAAACCCACTGAGATAGTTAAAGCTCTCCCTCCAGCTGTAACACATTAAGGTTAATTCAAAGTGTATCTCTTTATACAGATATGAACATAACACAGGATATGTTGGTATTGATAAGTATCATAGAGAGTGAGATAGCTGAAAATAGCATACACCTATACCTGGGTATAAAAAAAGATTATAATAAACGTTTTAAATATCAGTAAATATTTGGGTTCAAGTAATATCAAGCTTTTGATTCTTCCACAACTCCCTCAGAGGATGTCCAGCACCAATTCACAGTTAAAACATCTCTTAATTGGGTGAACTTTGTGTGGCGAGTAGCTGGTGATGCTGTTTTTATTTTTTCATAATGATGCTCATCATGTGGGAGAGCAAGATTCCCCAGTCAATATTTATGATGATATAATGATATGTCGTGTTTAATGATTGGCTGTCGGGTGAAGCTACTAGCACGTAGGAGCAAGTCTAGACCAATGGGGGCTTTCGGGGCGTGGTCAGTGTAGCACCGCTACCTTTCAGCCATCATGCTAGCTGAAGAAGTCCTGGGCAACTAGCTTTGCTAACTCATGCAATGACATACTGGGTCCATTTCTCTGCGTGTACATCATTTTTTTTCATGGACACTGGGATATAGAATGGAAACAGCTACTCGTGTGTGAAGATCCTTGTTTTCTTTGACAAGAGGGTCCGATAGGACAGTTGTTTCGGTTAACTAGCTTGTAAGCTAGCGCGACTAACCTTAACATATTGCCTGCCATCACGACCAGGACATCGGACACCAAGCCAAGTCGGAGTTGCGACGTTGGGAATTTCTACCATCATCATGGAGAAGGTATGTAGTCCACATACACCAGGCGTGTAACGTTAGCTTAATCCCACAGTACACCGAGGGCATATGGTAATACTGAGCTAGCCGACTGGGGGTAACAGATAGCTGCTAGCCACACCTGCTTCTCCTGTCGGCAATCACTCACCGAGGCCAAGCCGGGGCATCGGTTTGTGCTCTGAGCTGCTCAGCTTTGACTTGCTGATTTGAAACCACGTTGTGTACACTGTATCTGATATCATGTCCAGTTGGGGGGTTACTGGGGACGTTACAGGGAGAGTAGCAGGCCCGGTAGCGTGCATGGGCTGCTAGAAGAGGGAACGCCCAGCACTGACTCAGTGACTGGTATGTTATTGTCTGTAACGTTAGTCATTTGCATGGAATCCTCAACTGTGTCTTTATCTAACATGAGCTGTAGTAGAAAACTATTGATCCGGATGCCAAGCGATAATTTGGACTGCTGTTATAAAATGCCACGGGAGAATTGGCATGTTTGCTGAAGTAGTATAATATTTGTGTAGAGCAGATAGACGGATGATTTGGGATGGAATTTGTAGTTTTTAGGGTCAGATTAAATGCTAAATGAAAGAAACCAGCGCTGGGTTGTATATTAATCCCCCTCCCCCCTCTTCCTACAGGCGGATTTCTTGAAAGGACTTCCTGTCTACAATAAGAGCAACTTCAGCAGATTTCATGCAGACTCTGTTTGTAAAGCATCTGTAAGTAGCCTCTGATAATATTTATATCACCAGACTGTCATTTTTAATCCTAAAGAACATTTGCTATGGATAAAATGCTTGACTATTGTCTAAGATATTTGCTCATTCTCAAGATAAATCAATTAGAAACAATCAAGAAGCTTAATTGCACACAAAACATCATATAATCTGTAATTTGTAACCTTTTTCTGTCCTGTTTTTCAGAATCGGAGACCCTCTGTGTACCTTCCAACACGCGATTACCCCTCTGAACAGAGTAAGTACTAAACTCATAGCAAAACAGGAGGAAAAATACTTTAAACTATTACTTATTTTAAGTAAGGCTGTATTAACAGAAGCTTTTTGTACAGTAGTTAGTCAATGATTTGTTTTCACTAAGAGCATAGTTTTGTTTTTTTTGTAATATATTTTCAACATATTTTTTCCAGTAATGTGCTGACTGTGTTTGTTCTACAGTTATTGTAACAGAGAAAACCAACATCCTCCTGCGTTACCTCCATCAGCAGTGGGACAAAAAGGTGAGCGTGTGCATTCCTTTGGAGATAGTTTTATTAATCTGGCTTCTCTTATTGATTCATCTTTGGTCGTTGGATTGTTAATTATAAACTGTGTGATTTAATCATTTGTGTCTCACAGAATGCAGCAAAGAAAAGGGAACAGGAGCAAGGTGAGGGTGACAGTCCGGCACCCCCAAGGAAGATCGCCAGGACAGATAGCCAAGAGATGAACGAGGACTCATAAGTGTGTGTGTGTGTGTGTGTGTGTGTGTGCGTGCATGAGAGAGAGAGAGAGAGAGAGAGAGAGAGTGTGTGTGTATGCATGCAGAGTATAGCCAGTCCAAACTAACGATAACAAAGGATAATCCCACCAGTGTAAATATTTCTGCACTATGGCAGGATGCCTTTACTGGTATTAAGTTAAGAGTCACTCTCAGAGAATTGGGGAAAATTCAAGTCAACAAAGCAGCCATTCATAGTGTAAAGAGTGTGTGAGTGAAAACAATGTAACCAGAAAAGATCTGAAAGTCACTGTGGGTCACTGACAGGACAGTGCCGCTGTTAGGGAGGGAACTTTATACTGATGTTTTTTTGTTTAAATCTTTGCTGGCTATTCTCTAGTAGTACATGTTTGTATGCATGCTGAGCTGTGAGTGTGTATTGTACTGTGTGTGTGATGTGAATGAACAGTTGAAACAAATGTCAGAGTAGATTTTAAGATCAGAGAGGGACTTGACAGGAGTCAGACACTATCCTTAAAAACAGTCTCATTACTGGCACATGACTTGTAGCCATCTGTCACCTGGAGAGTCTGTCCTTATTTGTGCAAAGATAACTTTTTGTTACTGTTTTAATTTTATTATTACTATTATTGTTTATGTATGGCAGTGAGCTTCCTGCCAGCCACAGTGCCCACCCTCTCGGTTTCACTGCCCACTCTGCGGCCACACGGGGGCAATTCGACATTTCTTCACACTGTTTGAATCAACAGAACCAAGACTGCACTGTGAACAGAACAGCACCAAGTAGAAGCAACTCTTCCAGAATCCCCCGTAGATGTGTGTTTATGGTGAATATGCATATCTTCATTCTAGTCTGGGACTTGTGCTCGTAGGATAAATGTCGTGTTGGTGTTTCTGAGAAATGTTTCACATCCAGCACCACCTTCTGGCTAATTGAGGCTAGTAAGAATGGGACTTTCTGTGAGTTTTAGCTGTTCTTTCATCAAAAGATTTGAAGGAAAAAGTAGAGCTCAAATATGGATTCGTGACATTGGATTTTCAGTTGTGCAACACGGTAACAGCAAAGATATTGGAGAGAAAAAAAAAATCTCAAATGTCTGGAAAAGGGAGAAAAGAATACATTATGTGTGTAAATAATTTCCAGGACCAGAATTAGTTTATCTAATTGAGTATCTTTGTGTCTGCCATTTTTTTTTTTTTTTGTAAAATAATACATGCTTATGGATACAATAGAAAGGAAGAAAAGAGCCCCGGTGCCCAGTAGAAGTTACCTTCCCTTGCATGTTGATGTTTTCACAGCTGGGTATTGTACTTCTGTAATACAGTAATACAACTCGAGGGGTGTTGAGGTTGTGGCGTTCTCTTGTGTGACTGTGGAAGGTATCAGCCTAGAGGCCTTACAACCTGTCATCATGGTTCGGACCTTTTAGCGCCCCCAGCTCGGGGCCCGGGATAGCTGTGCAGTTGGTCCTGTCCTTGTGACAGCCCTGGATGGGTTTTGTCTGAGAGCTGGCTTAGATGTACACAGGGCGGTTGAAAGAGGTGTTATATTTTCAGCCATAGAATGCACAAAATAAGCATGCACAGCAAAGTGCAGTCGCCATCCTGCCTTGTTCCTGAGCTTCAGTTTGTATTGGTGTCATATACTGTACAATACTGAATAAAGCTTTTTTTTTTTTTTTTTAATATCACTGCCCAGCAGAGTCCCATCAAAGCCTCCTGTTTATCCTGTCCTTTTTTTCAGTGGATGCTGTAATGTGGGTTGACATTGTGGTCAGTCATCTTCCTACTTGCAGTGTAAATGCTGTCTGTCTGAAGTGTAAAAGCACATTATGCTTCTGCTCAGATGGACTGTTCTATAACACCCTAAGCCTTGCCCCATCTCATGTGTGTTAGATCAGACATGTTCTTTTTAGCTTTGCTGAAATAAAACTGGATTGAAACTGGGGTTTTGTCATGTGGTACTTCTAATAGATTATTTTACCTACTTGATTCTTATACCCAGTGTTGAAATCAGCATTTGAGAGTCATGAAAGAAATGTGCAGTCAGGGAGCAAGTTGGTCACAACACATGAAATGCATTTGAAATAGTTTTATTAACTATTTTTCAGGTCTTACAAAAATATGACAAAATAAATTAAAATAAATAAATAATCCCATTTCTCAGTATTTTGTACGGCTGTACATTGGAAGAGCATATGATGTTCAGTCAGTGAGGCTTCCATTAAGATGTCTTATCTTGAACTGTTGAGGTTAGGGTCAGGTTTGAATGTAGCTGTGGTGGGAACCTCAACTGTTAACATCCAGAAGAAAATGGACTAAATTCTGTCCTTTCTAGTACCGTCTAGATTAGCCCAAATCTGTTAAAGAACTGCTGTTGCTTTGATAGTGAATTACAGACGGCTGATGGGTCTGAGCTGTCTGAGCTGCTGTCCTTTAGCGAGGGACGCCTGTGCATGGCCCGGTGCTGTCTCATCTCTTGAAGCGTTCAGTGATGCCCAAGATCTGGTCATTTACTTCAACCATTACGTCTTTAAAGACCTTCATATTAACAACATGCAGACATTGCTGCAAAGAGTGCAAGGATGAAAGAAGGGATAAGTTGGCTAATGCTATCCATTTCTATCCTACAAAGTTGAAGTGTAAGTTGTCCCTGAATAAGAAGGAACTACGTACATGAAGGTTTGACCTAAACCATTGCTCTTGCCACCTCTACTTTAATACCTGGACTCTATTGCATCATGGTGTTACTCATCCCTCAAATCCGATTGCTGCAGGAATAAAGGATTCGATGAGACGATGCTCGGCTACGCTTACCATCCTGTTCTCTATCAAGTGTCCCTTTAACAATGACCAGCCTGCGATACACAAAGACACTGAAGATATTACATTTCGCTCAGCCTTGCACTTCTGTAATGGACAATGTGTTCCAAATATAAAAAAGAACATAGTTTAGATTGACAGTAAAATGATACTGTGACCATACAAATTGATGTCCTGTCTATTTCCTTATTGCATTTAATGTCACTAAGATCTTTTTGCCTGTCAGCGGAAGTACATTTTTGTTTTTCTTTAGGCATGTGACTGGACTTTACTTATTATGAAGTTGTTACAGACACATGAAAGCAGCAACAAAATTTAAAAAGCAGTTTGAAGTTCAATGCCATCGTCACTCGTCGATTAGACAATTTCTGTAAACACAAAGCGGTAGATGGATGAGATAATTGTTATATTAATTGTGAGTCAGGAGGGGATTCCTCACATTAAACATGAGACAGGTGGGAGCTGAGAGAGCTGACAACCGAAATTGAAGGGACACAAAGAAAAGATGCATAGAGTGGGTGGGGATAATGCAGTAGGACGTGTGCTGCGAGTGGGGGAGTTAGTGTAGACTTACAGTATATAGTAATACATGCAAGTCTACAACAACTCAGTGTTATTGCCAAAATCCTTGCCAAAGGTGATGGAAATGCATAGTTAATGTTTCTGACTCTCAACCTACAGTGTGATGGCCTTATCTAATGTCACCATAATACATTTTCCCTTCAAAGTATTCTCACACTGCAGCCTGACGCCCTACTGTTGCGGTCCCTGCTGCACACTGATGACTAGACACTGGTGTGATGGGTCAACATCGATTCACAACAAGCTGTTCACCGACACATTTTGCTATGCAAATATACTCTGGCGCCACCTTCTGGACACCCTGCAGAAATGAAATACCTGTTAATGTTCGATGGTGGGTTTGCTTACTAGAGTTGAGTAATGCATACCATAAACAGAGTTGATGTACATGATCAACAGAACAGAGTACACGTACATCTTGGATGAACAGTATAATCCAAAAAATACCGCTCTGGTTAAAAAAAGTAAATTCCCATCAGCAGCACTGTGATAAAGCAGTGCAGCAAATGGTGCGTATACAAAAGATATGGAGCGCAACACAGATAAGAGCAAGTATTGTAAAATGACAAAAAAAAACATTTCAATATTTAGGGAATGCCATAGTTGCTGAGAGCAGGGGCAGGTGAGTAGATAGCATGTACTGTGTGAAAGGAGAAAAGCTAAACAACCCAGCGTTTGCATAATGGTATGAGGCAGGCTGGTGTCGGTCCTCTCTCCTGCAGAGCGAGATAGGTTTCTATGCAGGGCGTAAGGGTGTAGTGCAAATGTTACTTCTTTAACTCTGCGCTCGTTTGCCAAGTCTGGTTAGAGTTTGTGAGATGAAGCACCATCTGTGTTTACAAGGTGCCCTACAGGCTTGGATGGAGGACAGCAGCCTTCCATGCTCAAAATCACCTTCATCGACTTCTGCTTATTTTTTTTTTTTGTCTGTCTTCCACTTAAACTCTTGGAAAAAATACTGGTACATGAAAGCTCAACTTACTAAGCTCTTTACTTCCTTTTCGAGCAAATCTGCTACTTTCACAGGATGGGAAGAAGGGATCAAAGCTCAGACATCACCTCTGCTTTGAAAATAAAGCTGGTGATACATCAGGGATGCTTATTAAGGGAGGGTTTGTGTGATGATTGATGAGAATAATTCAAACTGATTGATATTGCTTTTCCATTTTTTTCCACTTCAATATATAAGTGAAGGGCCCAAGAATTCCTCACAGTTAAAATTAGACAATATCTATTGATCGCTTGTGTTGTGATGGCTAAAAACATTCTCCGAAGGTATTTGATGTACAATCTGTGATCCTTTCATACTGTTTAAGCTTTTTAATCTTTTTCCTCCACAACAGGCTGTTATGTCCTAGTTGGAGACCAACGAGATGCTTACAATTTATGACTAGAAGAAATCAAGAAACAGCTCTCTGCTTTAAAGGCTTGAAAATATTAGAAACGCAGCTCATGCATTTCTTTATGTATTGCAGACAAGGAAGGATTTGTGTTTGCGTGTGTGTGTGTTTATTCGGTCATGATAAGAGGGCTTACGTCTTTCTTATGGAGCCTGTTTTTTTTTTGTCTCTCATCCAAAAAGCTAACCAACACAACTGTCACCTCTCATCAGTTTCATCTTCTCCTCTCTCTTCTTCAAGTACTTCTACACATAGCCTGTGATAGCACAGAAGGTAGGTCATGCCTCTCCTCACAGTAAACACATCACTTCCTCTGTTGAGATGTAACCAACTGCAAGTTTGTTCTTTATGGAGCTACTAGACTTTAGAGCCGGCCGGGTCCGAGTCTGTTGCGTGTCCGTTCTGTGACCCTTCCCCTCCAGGCGAGGGGATCTCGTCTGGAACACCGTTCAAGTCAGATCTGGATGGTTGTCTGTCTGACGTCTGTGATGATGATCCTTCCCCGGGTCTGGGCAGCGCAGCCCCGTTTACACACGTCCCGCCCTCAGATTTCCCAAAGTTGAATAGTTTCCCAGGGTTGAAGGCTTTGCTGGGTGACTGAGAACGCTCCTGAGAGCTGCTACCTGATGATGATGATGCTGTAGCTGTGGCGTTAGCGGCTGTGGTGGCAGCCCCAGAAGCCGCAGCACCCTCCTTCTTATTCTCAGGTGACTTGAGGAATTTGAAGCTCAGGAACCCGGGCAGCTTGGGCTCATTTCCAGTGGGAGACTGAGGGGAGCGGGCGCCACTCGAGGAGAACTTACTCTGCAGCGGGATGATCTGTTTCAGCTTCATCACGTTATTGCTGGCCAACAGAGAGCTGGGCCTCTTGGGTTTGTCCGACCCGCTGCCCCCTCCTCCTCCACCCACAGCACGTGATTTGCTGCTGTGACTTTTGTCATGGTGGTGATCCCCAGAGGAGTCGCCCTTGCTGTCGTCCCGCTCCCTTTCCCTGCGGGCCATATGCTCCGCCTGCCTCTGCCTCTCCTCCTCCTCCCTCTTCCTCCTCTGCAGCTGCTGGTAATGCTGCTGCGCCTGCCGCTCATGCTTCTGCAGAGGAAGAGAAACATTCCCACAATGTATTTACTAGAATCAGCAACCCAGCTAACCATTACAATACTGCAGTGCTACCCATCGAACAAATCCCTCGCCAAGAATCCCGCATTACCACTGCAGGGGCCACTACAACAGCCCAGTCTTTTTTCTACCTTCTACCAATTGTCTTTCTCAAAAGCATCATCACTAAAATATCACCACAAGTTTAAAATAAGCAATTTAGTTCCAAAAAGAAAGCTGCAGTGTCACAGTACAGCTTGTTTGCAGCAGAAATTTTGGCACCTCTGATAGCTACTACTATAGATTTTTCTTACAGTACAGAACTCTGCACATAATGAGGTTGTCTTTTGAAGGTTTGTTCGAACCACCTGAATAATTATTGAACTTCATCCCACTCTTAAAACGTATCCCAGGCAAATATAAATGTGTTTTTCTCTTGCTGTCCCTTTATTTACCTTAAAGGCCTCCCTGCGCTGATAATCCAGTTTAGCTATCTCCTCTCGAACCCATGTAGGAATGTCAGGGATGGCCACATGGATGACGTACTTCAGGAGGACGGCAAAGTGCTGCAGATATATACGTGCAGGTAGAAATGGAAAGTTTGGGATGAAACAAAAAAAAAAGGATTAATTGAAAGAACAATGCCGATCAGATGCACAGTGCTTCAAAATATTCTTTAAGCGTATGTTCCTCCTGATAGGCCAACTTCTTTATCAGGCCAAAACAGAGCTGCAGGCTGTTTACCCATTTCCCAATTATAGTCAGGCACAGAGTGCAGCGCTAACAAAAACCCGTATCTGAATATGTTACAAGTAAGAGGGGAAACATGACGAGAGCTCCAATTCATCTATTTGTGCTTTTCGTAAAGATTGGCACGCTGGAAACCCATTTCATACATTATCATCCATCAGTGTAAAAAGCGTTAATGTTGTGCTTCTGTCAGTCACTTGGATAGAATAAGAGATAGTTGTTGCTAGACATCTTTTTGTGAGTATACAAGGGAGAACAAAGACACGACGCAGCATGTGATTAATGATATATGCACATGACAACACCACATCTTCCTCTAAATTATTTTCCCACCCTGGGTCACTAGACGATTACAATGTGTTCTGTTATTATCAGGGAGAAACATGTCTCTGTGCAAGTTAACATCTGTAGCATTTGATGAAGCCATTTGGGTATCTTCTGCCATACAGCCCTGCCTTACAAGTCTCTGCAGGTAGAACAATACAGACAGTTGTAAACTTGTTTGTAGCCTAAATACCTGGCACATTTTCTGACTACTAAACATTTTGTTCTGGGTCACAAAATGCTGGCGCCCTGAGAAAAAGTTTGAAAAAGCACTGCTCTAAGCACTTCAGACAGACTCTGAAGACGCAGACGCAGGAAGGAGCTGCGGTACCTCAAGGATGACGATGGAGATGATGGCCATCTCGGGGCTGAGCCACGGGAAGAGACGCTGTAGCTGACCACACTGACCAATCAGGTAACAATTCACTATGATAGCAATCAAGCCCATGGCTTCCATCGCAGTCTGTGAAGGAGAAAAAGGAGGAAGCTTAACATGGCAGATCATTTGTGCTATACAATTCAATCAATTTAATGTGAATGCTACACAGTTGCACTTGCATGACTTTCAAAATAGAGCCAGAGTTTGTCACGTATGAAATGGTGAAAGTGAATTGACTCAATTTACAACAATGGCAGAAAACTCTCATGAGCCTTTTTCAACATTCACAGAGTGTCTTTCTGACCTGCCACTGGCCGATGCTCTCCACTCTCATTCCAAAGGGCCTCTGCAGACCGGTGCAGAGCTTAAAGGCATCACTGCGGATCTCAATGATGTTGTTGATGAGAGCGCACATGGCAGCCAGAGGGAAGGCCGAGGAGAAGAGCACCACGTAGCCAAACTGGACAAACATCTCTTGGTAGTCCTGGAAGGTGTCCTGAGAGGGGCAGAGTGGACGATTAGACCACAACTCTACCAAGTAAGTAAACTCTCAATGCAACTAGACACCTAGACTGTAGACTAAACCAGTGCGCCATGGTACCAAATATAAAAAGGCATTGTTTGCTTTGAAACCATGTGAGTGACTATAGCTGTCATATAGTCATAAGGTCATAAATGATGATAGTGTAGGAGCGCTATCAGGTTATGTTATGCGGCAGATTCCATGGAGGAAATCTTAGTTCCATGGTTTCATGGAAAACCATGGAAGTTTGTTATTCTCATTGTAACGATAACCTTCTACTCAACCATTGTAGAGATTTGGGGGAAAAAAGTATTCCTGCAATAACTGTATCAGTCGGGGGAAGGAGCATGAGTCACCTGGAGCTTTCCACATCACAGAAATCATCTCAAATACGTTTTTGAATCCAACCATCATTAATCACCGTAAGTAGTCCCCTGGAAATCCCTCCAGCTGTTACTGTGAGCTTCATGCACAAGCGCTAGTTTTTCTTACAGCAGTGCAAGGTTGTTGCTCACTTTCAGTGTAGCTTTTGTGCACATAAGAGCGGTAGTAGTTATTGAATTGCTGAATTAAAATGATACGGTACACATGCAGGTTTCTTTGCCTGCTGCCACTGTACTGCTACTATTCAGGATAAGGATCTTGGTTTAACTTTTAACGTTTTTGGTCACAATATGAGAATAATAACACCCAGAGTGATACATTCTAAAATTTGCCTTTAAATATTTCAAAGGATACAAATTGTCATCCTTTAACACTCTGTGCAGAGTTTATAGAATAAGTATATGGTATATAGTATATATATTCAGTATATAGTCCTTCTTACAGCATAAGTCTGCATGCAGCTCTCCATCTCAGCCTGAGCGAGCGCGTTGTTCTCTCTCACATCAGGGGGGTCAATCCATGATTCCCTTTTTGTCTTCGGCTCAAGTCTCTCTGTGCTCTTGCCTCTTCTTCTGTGGCGCAGTGATGTGCTGTTCTCAGACCCAGAAGGCAGCGGTGCAGCGCTGGCAGCAGCAGCATTAATTCCCTCAGCCACACCTGTTGCTCCCCCACCTGACTCCTTCACATCATGGATGCCATTATCGTCGTCGTCGTCACACATCTCAAATACAGAGGCAGGGTCCATTCCTTTTTCCACCATAGTGGGGCTCCCTTCCTCCAGGAAAGTGGTGTCCATGTGGGGCCCACTGCAGACTGGTCTTCTGTCCACCTTAACAACAACAACAGATTAGCAACACCAAACAACACTATTAATGCAAATACAAACTGTTGTTACTATATTTGCATTAAACATGAAAGTGCCACAGCACAAGCATAGTAACACTTCATAAATGTGTGTTACCACACAGCTTATACCTTCTCTATGAAGCTGACTTTCCTCAGCTTCAAACCGCAATCAATCTGACTTTCCTCCTCCGTCTCTCCTTCACTGAACCTCCCGCTGTCAGCCTCGTCCTTCTCGCCTCCCTCCTCCTCATCAGGCACCCCGCATCCTCCGTTCAAGCACTTCTTTTCCCTGAGAGAAGTTGAAAGAACAGATAGACATCAGACAACGTGTGCATGTGTGTTAACCGCTCACAGCGGTGTTCTGTCCATTTCCTCAGGTGTCCGACTGGCATTAATCATAACTGCACACAGCGTGCAGACAATGTCAAGTGCAGATGAAGTGGCTCTATATTTGAATGTTGCCTTTTTCACATCTGTTATCAAAATGTGAAAACCCTACATTGTATTGAAGTGTATGTTTACTGCATATAATAATTGAATGAGAGTTAAAATAACGAGTTTGACCTTCTATCTAGCTGCCCCAATCCAGGCCTGGTTCCCCTCAGTCCAGGTCCTGGCATGGCCTGATCGGTGGGAGAGGCCTGAGCTTTTCCAGCTGCCAGCCGGCCGTATTTCAGCAGCACTGAGACCAGGAGGTCCCACACAGCTCTCAGCGTGAGCTCGCCCAGCTTGTGACGCTCATACAGGTAAGGCTGCAGCACCTCCTTCACATTTTGAAGGAACTGGCGTATAATAAGTAGAGTGGCCAGCATCTGACAAGGACAGAGAGAGAAACATTCTGACAAAATTAGCTGCTACACTAAGTGAACATACTGTCTAACTAATCAGAGCATTTAAAAGAGACGCGTAGGATGCAGGGTTTAGGAAATGTGTGGTTAGAGAAAAAGAGGACAGAAGAGAGGACATGATAACCGGCTGATAAAGCAGTAGGATAAACATGGAACAAATTCGACAAATCAATCAAAACACAATTTTGTATGCAGACTCAATCCACAAAAAAATCATATAAGGCAGAAAACTGCTGCTGGACGGTTCCCTATAAATTAGAAATGTCATCTGTCACTAATTGGGGCCCAGAAGTGCCATATGTTTGAAAGAACCAAAAGGGAGCAGTGCAGCCGCAGTTTTCTGGACAATGTGATTGACTGTGGAGGTGCCTTTTAACACCACTGAAACAACATTTCAATGGCTGATGATGTATTGAGGCGTATCACTGATGAACATGGACACTCAAGGCCTTTCAGTAATACTCATAGCTTGCTGAACAAATCCAAATCACACACAACAGGAAATACAAATAAGCTTAGCCTCAAGGATAATTCAGGTTTATTACAACTTGAGTATATTTCCTGGTTTGGAGCTTCATTACTATGTACAGTATACTAACAGTGTACTCAACAAGTTAATTGCAGAGATATGAGATCAAAGCGACATCACAAAAGAGAAGTCTGACAAGAGAAGTAACCTAACCAGTCAGACCTTCATACAGGTCTTAAACAAACCCCCAGGATGGCAAAACTTACTTTATTTAGAAAGAAATTGGTATAATTATTGTAACCCAAACTGACAGAAAGTTACTTTCAGTCAATGATGGGAGACCTCAGAGAAAAGGAGACACTGGTCTCCCACTGTTACCTACTGGAACAGTCGGCACAGAGTCGGACATTGGCTCACTCAAGCTGACAACACCAGATGGTTTTCATTTCAGACACTTAAAGGACTACACCAGTGTTTTTTTCAGTGCATGCTTTGCCAGGTTTTCTTACCTTTGAGGCAACTATTGGTTTCTATTCATTTAACTTCAGAATGAAAATCAAGTAAGAAAAATTCTGTCTGCTTATATTAGAAATGTTACTTCACTCTTGTGTTGTAATGCAGTCTTAAGTGGAATGTTAAGCAGAAAAGTAAATACACTGTGACAAATATTTGCTGAAGCTGGGCTGTACTGGTTGGGAATCAGACATGGAAGTCAGGCGATGTTAACAGAATATGACAAGCTCAATGAAGCGGCACTCTGGCTGAGAGCGTAACAGAAACTGACAGACAGAGTGAGAATTGAGGTATGAGTGGTGAGAGTTGTAACAGGAAAACAATTCACACAAACTGCACGGAAGGAAAACGCCAATAAAAAATCCACATTGACACTACATCTCCATGTCAAAGGAAAAAAAATGACAAAGTCTAGTAATGTTGCTCATAAATGTGCGTGAGGAGGCACAATTTGTGACTCGATCAGTCATAAATAAAACGCAATAATTGAAATAATCAGACATCATCTTTGGACAGCTACATTTTAAATTCTCTACCGCCGTAAACCACTCCTCTATCATCTCTGTCTGGTGAAAGCCACATGTCTCTAAAATATGGCATTTTAAAGGGACAGTCCACCCCAAAATCAAAAATACATATTCTTCCTCTTACTTGCAGTACTATTATTCAATCTAGATTGTTTTGGTGGCAGTTTCATGTCGGAACTATAGTTCCTGCTTGACAACAAGGTCCGTGGATTATTTTAAGTAACCGGGTCATGATTTCTGGAAATAGATTGCTGTTGAGCTATTCAAATTTATTTTCAAAGCAAGAAAAAACTAAATATATTTGTCCTGCTGACATTTTGAAATTATCAATTTGGTTTTGAATCATTTTCAAGTTGTAAGGTTTTCACTAGACAAATACGATCAAAACACACACAATCATTTTAAACAAAGTAGGTTGGTAGTTCAAGTTCATGTCATGAGGTTAAGAACGAGGTGGTCAGAAATTAACCTTAGACCTCTCGCCCAGACGGTCATGCACGGGTCATGCACGGGTCATGCACGGGGAGCATACTTTGGACCTGAGTAAAGCCCTGAAGAACCAGGGAACAGAGACCACATGCATCTGAATCTTGAGGAAGAGGTAAGGCAGCACATTGACCCGGACCTGCCGCTGCAGACTCCTTAACAGAGACAACACCAGCAGCATCTTCCACGGATGGACAAATGGATGAGATGTGCGGATGGATGGTTATGGAAATCAGTGCATGAAAGCAGAGAGAGCAAAGCATTTAAGGATGGCAGAACGACAGATGTTTTTCACAGACAGAGGCCAAATGAATTACTGAAGCTAATGTGTGACAGAGGAACATTACAACTGGAATGTTTCTTACCTCTTTCAGACGCTCCATGTCTTTGAGGTAGAATCCAATGTAAAAAAGGCTGAGATAAGAATTTACAAACTGAAACTGAAAGAAAGAAATGCCAGGTGTCATTAAGAAGAAAGGTGTGTGAAAGGGACTGTTTTAAAACGTTTCCAAATCACATGGGTACTTAAGATATTATGAAGGAAAGCCACTCACAAGAACCATTTTGATGATGAGATTTTTCTCATAGGCACTCTGGAGTCTATAGTTTTCTGTGGAAAAACAAAATAAATCATCACTTACCACTCATAAATGTAATATACGGTACAATTTAAACTAATCACTGATTAGTGTTTACAAGAGATTACTGAAGATCTCTGATGAAGCCAACCTTATTAAAATTATTTTTATTATCTTATTTATGTGGATCTGAATCTGGAAGCTTGAGTCTCACCCATGTCGTTGAGCCAGCAGGCGATTTTCCTGTACACCTCGTCACATGCAGTCACAGTGATAGCTAGCATGATTTTCGGGATGAAGCGAGCCAGCCGAGGCATTTCCTTGATCCCCATCACAAACTCCTGCAGAGACACAATCACAGGTTTGTACTTGTCACAAAACATCAAGGGGCGTTTAAAACACTTGTGTTCACTCTTGGACCAACATTCTGAAGGAGAAGGTATTTACTCCTGCTTTATTCGTATGAAGCTCTACCCATAGCATGTAAAACTTTGATGTTTAACAGGCTTGCTGCATCAGTACATCCACCCTTAAAATAAGTTTGATGAAACTAAAGAAGGACAGATGCAGGGTTAGAAGATTTTTTACCATTGAAACTATTATTGCTGAATTTATACAAGCAGGGCACGTAGAAAACCGATGTTGACAGCTGACTGACCTGCAGCTCAAAGCAGATGAGCATGACCAGGAAGACAAAGCAGAGACAGAGGATACAGATGGGCAGGCTGACCAGCCACCTGAATACACGCCGCCGCCACAGAGGATAGTGGAATTCCTCACAACCTGTTATGGGACTGCAGCGCTTCACTCCCTACCGAGAGAGAGAGAAAATATGAAAGGGCCTGAAAGAGAAGAGAAGATATGCAGATAGGAGTCAGAGTTGTAGTTTCTCTCACCCGGAACTGAGGCCGTGGTTCCTCCAGGGATTCAGATGGCGTATCCAGCGTTCCCCACTTGAATGCCAGCTCAGCCCCCCTCCTCTTCCACCGCTCCAGAAACAGAGTGGCCCACACCACGTTGAACAGTGCAAACACCACACAGCAGATGTCACGGCTCGTCTGAAACAACACAAACACGCAGACTTGGACTAGGATGGTGATCATTTTTCAGTAGGGGATTTAAGTTGCTTTATGCTACGATAGCGTCTCTCCTCACCTGATCTGACTCAGTGAGCATCCACAGCACGAAGCCGATCACAGCAGGATATAACATAGAAGTGGTGTAAAATCCCAGCCAGGCAAAATACATGGCAATCTTCACACCAAAGTAGTCACAGATATCATCTGTAAACACCAGTATGACCAATTAAAAGGATGATATGACAGTTATTATAATAGTTAAAGGATAGAACAAGGAACCATGAGCGGCAAAGGTAATTCACAGTATGCCAAAAGTACTTTCTTCTGTCTTGTGGTATTACTAGAGTGTTATGTATATGTTCGTGTTCATGAGTATTTTGTTCTGCTGACCTAAAGGCTGTTTCTCACAAACAGCCTGGACCCAGGACTTCATCAGCTGACTGAGGATCCTCTGCTCATGGAGAGGAAATATCTGCTGGATCACACCTCGTGCACTCAGCTCCGGGACTGCAGATAGGAATAAAGCACAGCATCAAGTAAGTTAAAAAGATACTAAACCCGAAAATGCTTCTAAGTGTGCGTGTGAATGTGTATCACTCCTGATGAGCAGGGGGACACCTTGTATGGTTAGCCTCTGCCACCAGTGCATGAATGGGTGAATGCTGGCTTATGCTATAAAGTTTTGAGTTGTCGCTAAGACTACTAAAGCGCGAAATAAATACAGTCTGTTTGCCATTTACAGAAGAAGATTAGATATCTAAAGATAAAACTATCGGATACAGTAAACCATCAAATCCATTATAATTATGCTTCTAATAGTTTTAATACCAAACCAACTGAGGGATTATTACCAAAAGCTGCCAAAGAAGTTCCATCTGTTTAAGACAAATATCACATAGTGTAAAAGGATGCAACTTACTAATTGGCTGGCCCTCCAGGAAGTTGATATTATGAAGCACCTCCCCATGTTTGGCCCGTAGATTGTCAAGCCAGTATTTAATGATGATCTGCCTCTCCTGCAGTGAGCGAGAGGACGGGAGAGTAAATTCAGGCAATGCCTTGACAGCATATTTACTTGCATATGCGTGTGTGAGTTTGCGTGTTTTGACACTGACCTGTGAAGTAAAGAAACACAGCTCGCTCTCGATGTTCTCGTAGATGTAATCCTCCTCACAGGAGAAGTTTCGTGTTCCTCCGCCAAACTCGTGCTTCACCGCTTTCCTCAATCCCATCTCCTCAGCACCTCGCAACAAACTGGGGGACAACAATGCGAGACCGATAGTGTTATAGAGCGTCAGATGTCTTCTCCCGGTGCGATTGTTGAACACTTGTGAAAAATGGTCTTTGACTCTGACTCATTTCCTGTTTAATGTTGGCATTCATTAATAACAATTTTGATAATTGATTAAGTCATTTATTAAGCAGAAATATCAAACGTTTTCTCATTACAACTACGCAAATATGAGGATCTGCTTTTCTCTGTTTTATATCATTGTAAATGTTATCATTTTGGCCTTTGGACTGTTGGTTGGATGATACAATTTGAAGATTTCACTTTCTGCTCTTGAAAATTGTTGACAATTGATATTTTTTCCACATTAACTACTAATAAATTTGCTAAAAAAAAAAAACATCAGCTTATTAATAACAAGGAGAACAGTTGCAATCCAGTGGATAGCTGGACAAATGTCTATGAAAATCAATGCAGCAAACAATGACATTAGCAGAGAAGGATTGTCACAGTGTTAAAGTCACCTGATCTCTCCTCTAATGCTTTAACCTCATCAGTCTCTCTCATCATCTCATTTCCCATCAACCCCTCCTCCATGTCTCCTCTCATCCTCCCTCCTCCTTTCTACAGCAACCCTGTCTACTCTCCCCACCTCTCTCAATCCACCTTCCTCTCTTCATCCTTTTCTATCTCCCATGCACGGTCCTCTCCTTTGTCTCCTTTGTCTCCTTCTCCCCCTCCTCCTCCTCCTTCATCCCATCGTCCCCTCCTCCCCTTCTGTCCTTCCCAGCGGCTTTGTGCTGAAATCGCAGTAATAATGCAACACCACACCCTCTGTACCCTCCAGGCGGTCAGCTCACCTCTCTCTGTCACATGTACATATACATAATCTATATAAAGTTTATGCACACACATGCAGGATTGTAGTCACATTAACATCCATCCATCATGCAGCTCCGGGCACTTGGAGGAGCAGCACAGTGAAGTACGATCAACACCATGATGGATTACAACAGAAATGTGAGTTGTAAGCTTCTGAATACTGCTTAGTGTGCAGAACCATCACAACAAAGGTCCTTGTCTGAGAAAAAAAAACTGTCTGTATCTATTTAACCCAACTGCTTAGTAGTCTAAGCCAAAACTGCGAGGGCTTTGAGAGGTGCGCAGCTTCTGCTGCTGCCATGAATTTGGATAAGATTTCCCCTTTCTTATTTAATCTAAAACTTTGTCGCCTTTTACACTTTCACTCCCCAAATAAAAGGAGTCTTATTTTAGAGACACAGTCAAAGGGAATGTGTGGACAAAGACCTAACCTTGTAAAAGAGCAGAATACTGCCGAGGGAAAGCACTGCACGTAAGGTTTATGCTAATTTAGCAACAGACGTAATATGGAAACTCAGCAGAACAGGACGGCATGCTGTAAATTGCCTAGTCAGAGCTGAGAAATGAGTAGTGGATGGTATGTGAGCTATGAAAAGAGAAGGAGGAGGACATTAACTGTATAACACACTTAAGTATGTTAATTGCTACAATTGTACTGTCTGCTAATAGTTGTTTTCAAGGCAATAACTGGAGACTAACACACATAACAGCACTGAATCTGTGACCCCAGCTGTTTTGATCTCATACCAAGATCATCTACACTGATCTCTCTTTCAAAATAAACACTGGGAGAAAAAACAATGTCATGTCAGTTGATAGGATAATATTAAAAACAAGCCTAGAGTCCTCCGCTGGTATCCTCACACAGGAAGGCTTGAATAGAGAATTCTCACCGCTTCAGTATGCAAAAAAAAAGACTATTCAAGGTGAGTTTGGGAGGATGAAATACTTTCTGGGTTATCTCTTCGATCACATGAAATGTAGGTCAACCTATCTGACAGCAGGTTTGTGTGCGTAGAGAGAGAGAGAGAGGAGAGGGGTCTTCTAGTCACACAGCAATCATTTTACTTGAGCATTTCATCTAAAACCCACTGGCACACTTTCAGAAAGCACTCTCTCCATCCTCCTACCACGTTACCCTCCCTGTTGTCTTCTCTTTGTCTTTCTGCTTCCCTCCTTCTCTTTCTCTCTTATTCTCTCTTTGCATCTGTTTCTATCTGGCTCTCTTTCCTCGTTCCTTCGAGCCATCTGTCTATTTCTATTCCATTCATTGGTAAAAGGTTTGGTTGAGAAGCTCCGGGTTTTTCAAGAGGCCCGTTATTACATGCACAGTCAACAGATTGACTCTACATTTGACAAGAGGTGAAATGCAATATGGAACAGCAAGTGCCACCCTGATCCCCTGGATTGTATATCTCAGTATTTATACATCAAAGTCAATGCTTAGATTAAAATGACCCTGGGCTCATCTCCGATTTCCCTGGAGATGTTTTCAAAACAAGAGACTGTGTCGTGTTTGGGCAGTGTAATCAGAGCAAACGCAATCCATACTGTTTGGCCTGACTCTAACCTTTTGCAAAACTTTAAATAACCTGCAGCCAGAGCCAGAGCAGCGGTGCTGATGGAGTAAACCAGGCATCACGGCAGCCTCACTAACGATTCACTGTGTACGAGTTACTGCGCCTCCTATAACTGCAGCTAAATATAATACCACAATAAACAAAGGTACAATTTTACACCAGCAAAGAACAGACAGAACATTTAAAAATAACTAAACCTCAAACTACTACAGGAAGCAGTGATGTATACCATATTATTCATTTGCCATTTCTGTCTCTGTTCATCAAAGTTGCTGCTTTAGCTTTTTTTCCCTGTATTGTCTCTGGGGTGACAAGGTGATTAATTGGCATAGCTACAGTTCAAACAGTAGTAACACTACTGTGTGCACATGTAGCAGGTTGTGTAAGCAAGGATGAAATATTTTTCAGCTAATGCTAACAGTGTTGGGCTATCAAAAGAAAGTGTTTACAAATCTGGAAATATTTTAATCAGTTTGAAGGAATACTTTTACATTTATTGACTTTCTTGCCAAGAGTTAGATGAGAGGACTAACGTACCACTTTAAATCTGTAAGCTAGATATGAAGGTAGAGCCGGTAGACAGATAGTTTGGCATAAAGCATAAACTGGAAGCTAAACTAGAAGTTTTTGTGCAGAATACAAAAAGCGACTTAACTTTGAAGCTTCTGGTAGGCTGAGTATGTTACCTGCAGACAGAGTCAGGCTAGCTGCATCCCTCTGTTTCCAGCCTTTATGCTAAGCTAAGCTACACGAACTGTATCTTCAGATTACAAACATTAGCGTGGTATCAACTTTCTTATCTAACTCTCTGCAAGAAAGAGATTAATCACACTTCCAAAATGTCAAACTGTTCCTTTAAGGATGTTAAATCATTGAGAACAACTATATCTACTTTATCTATCTAATGATAAAACCATATGTAACTCGAGATATTGGCACTATTTTTCATACACTTACATCTTTATTGTATCATATCACATAGTTATTCTGATTTGAAAACAATAAATAACTGTAAGTACATGTCTACCTACCCTGGCTGTCAAATAGAAGTCAAATCATTTATTGATTAATCAGTCGACAGAAAATTAACTGAGACATGTTTTGATTTATTAATCATTGTTTGGAGTCATTAATCAATACAAATTACAAACATTTACTTGTTCTAACTTTCCCAATGTGAGGATTTGTTGCTTTTCTCTGTTTTATGTAATTGTTAATTGAACATCTTTGGGTTTTGAACTGTTGATCAGACAAAACAAGATATCTAAAGATGTCACTGTTATGAACACTTTCTCTATAGTTCTGACATTCAATTGACAAAAACAAATACTTGATTAATCAAAAAAACTATACTTGACAGATTCATCAACAATGAAATTACGACTCAGTTGAAGCCGTACATTCAATAATAAGCAAATATATAAATGGATGACTAAATACACCCTTGCTAAAATGTGTTTGCAACCTTTGGAGCGAGGCCTTACTTTTCATATGTAGCGGTGACGAAGAACGCGTAGACCCGCGTGTACTTGTGGTGTCGTATTTGGATGATGAGCTCTGGGATTCCCAGCCGGATGTGGTTCAGTAGCCATAGCAACGTGTGGTCATCTGTAGTGTCTGTGACAGGAAATGAAAAACAAAAATACATTTTCAACCGTACCCACGCATTACTGTACACGGGAGCTGCCGGGAGTACTCCCACAGTCTTATGCTATTTATTCCTGAGCAGCAGCTGGAGGTTAAGAGTCGTACTAACAAACACTCGAGAATGACTCTTCTTCTCTGCTTTCTTAGCTGGTTCAGAGATTCAAACCAGTCATACAATGGCTTCTCTGACCTTCAGGCTATGGCTTAGTGAAGTCAAGTGATCAATGTCATTATCAACAGTATATAACTGTATGCATAATGCAAATGTATCTGCTTGTCTTTACTTCTATATTTGTGGGGACAAATATTTAGCCTAAAGAGCGAAGACACTGGAAAGTTAGGACATTAAGACCGGTCCTCACTTTGTCAAAGGGCCTTTTTAGGTTTAAGACTCTGTTGTGAATATAGTACTTTGGGCTCAGGGAAACAATGAAAATATACGTTAATAGCACATAGGTTTAGGTGAGGGTAAAGGTTGACCTTAGACATCTTTTGTGGTGGTTAAGGTTTAGGTAAGGGTTGCATTATGTCAACGAGAGTCCTCACAAGTATACATAGAAATACAAACATGTGAGTGTGTGTAAGTGCTTGACCTGCAAATGTCATGAGGACATCACAGTTCTCCGTGGGCACCGTTTTCATCCAAGACTTATGAGACATGATGTGTCTCCCGGCCTGCAGCAGCCGCTTTCCAAACAACTTATCTGAGGAAGAGGGAGACAGAGAGACAGACAGAGAGAAAGACAGAGAGAAAGACAGAGTGGGAGAGAAAGAGAGAGAGTCACCTTTTTAAAGTGTAAGGAGCAATAACATTTCTTACGTTTTCTGCAACCCCTCCTCCAAAACTCTTACCCATGCTTCCCCGACACACACAGAAAGACACACACACACACACACACACACAGAAAGAAACACACAGACGAACACAAAATCGTCCCTCTCGACGGGACAGATTTAGATGTCACGCCCCTTCGCCTCACAACATGAGACTGACGGAGCTAATTCTGCCCTGCCAAGACCAGAGGCCACACATTGTCCACACTCTCTGAATTGTCACATCCACACACAGACACTCAACTCAACTCAACACATGCAAGTGAAGCTAATTCTCAGTGTTGTCATATGTTGTGAGTCTCAGGAACGCCCAGATATAAGCCCTGAATAGTAAAAGAACACAATACGTAGAAGGTTTGACTATAAATATGCAGCCTCCTGTGTGGAATTACCTTGTCTCCATTCCTGTGGTCAACAGTACACCAAAACCTGCTCCACTGTAGCCACCCAGCAGTGTCACATTATGACACAGTCGCCCCTTAATGCAGCAGTCTCAATGAAAATAGCGCCAAGTGATTCTGTAACCAGTTCAACACCAGACCCTGCTCAGCTGGCAGAAGACAGTTTGTGAAAACCATTTCCCGGGTCCTGAATAATAACGACAGCAGCCTGGAGAGAATGCCTGTCCCACAACAGCACTGTGATCACTGAGGCATGGAGCAGCAGAAGAGCTGGAAAGTGGGGCACTTTCCAGAGATCACACACAAACATATTAAGTATCACATAATTCATCCAATAATATACTGTTTGTTTATTCTTATGTATTTGAAAGCAGTAAAAAGAGACCAAAATATAAAATCTACATCTCGTCTTACTTTACCACGAAGTCAATGTACATCCTAGAACTGCTTCACGTTTTGCTTACATGGTTACAAAAGTGAATGCAAAGACATACACCCTCACAAAGGTCGGGGTCATGGCAGGCTGTATATGTAACCATGATATCACCGCTGCTAGCATGATGCTGTAAATCACACACACATAAACACCTGTCACATAAAAACATCATTGTGCTGCGGCTCAGTGTGTCCCTCTGCTTCTTTATCCAGGGAATATACTCTTGCCATGCTTGCTGTACTGGATGCACATAAGCACTGCACCAATACGCGGTCTACTTGCATAGTCCCCATCAATTTTTTTTGCAACTTACTAAGTATAATTAATTGAAAGGGGTCACTACTAGTATCGAAGAACCAATTATCACGCAACTCTGCAGTAGCCTTCATTCCAACAGAGCTTTTAATCCATTTCGGATCAATGATTCAGTTTTCTGGCCCGTAATCTCCACCTCATTTCCAGCCAATGTACGCAGCTGTTATCAGGTAAAAAGCTGTAATAAACCCACTGTAAGCTACCTGTCTATTACAAACCACAGACACACACATTTAGCAACTAGCTGGTGAATAAAATGAAGGATTTAGCAGCTTAGGAGTAATACATTTCCCTCAGGGGTTTGTGGAGACCAAACCAGAACTACAGTAAAAGGAGAGAAATGTTGCTCTGTGTCTGCTGATAGTCAACTGTTTGCTATTATCGTAGCTTTAACTCAGATTTTATTTATAAGCCCAGTATCATGGCTTAGCTATAATACTGTTCTAACTGTCCTATCTCTTCATCTTGATGCTCTTTTTGTTCGCCATGTCTTCTCTTAAAGCACCTTGGTTGTCAGCTAACATGTTTTATTTCCATAAAAGAAAGTAAAAAAGAAATTAAGGTCATTCGAGATACAGAGAGGATGCCATGAAAAACACATTTGGCAGAAAATGATATTTTCTGTCTAGATAAATCAAAACATGTTAGTCTTACATACTTGAACAGACCTAGACTTAAAGACAGCATTACTATTTAAAGGATCCTTCTTCAGTACTTACAAAGAGGTTGTGACAACTTAATCTGGTTCCACAACGCTCTTCCCCTCTGAAGAACATTTTCAAACATCACAACGGGTCTGAAAAGGAAACGGCGCAAGGTATTTCTGACTATTTAATCTCGAGTGGTACTCCTAGATACTGAAATCTGACTGCCCGCTCCGCTGTGCTTTAGATGAAATGCTGCAGGCAGTGGTGCGACATGACAGAAATTCTAATCGAGTCCTGTATTCATCGCTGAGGGCAACGCACACAGCAGACACACACACACACACACACACACACACACACTCCTGGTACAGCCAATAGATTGGTTTTCACCACTTCAACAATGCTTCAGTTTACAAGCCCCAATACTGAGCATGTGTTCAGATGGTTTGCATGCATTTGTGTGTTTGTATTTGGTTGAAGATAGACATTGATTCTTACACAGCCACCAAGGCTTCACTGCTCAGTCCAGGCCAGTCTGACAGATACGTGTCTGCCTGTGTAAAAGTGTGTTTTTGCACCACGCAACCAAACCACCTCTCAGCTGGCATGGAAAAGGTTGTTGTCACACATAAAACGATGGCCAGTTGAGCAGAGCATTAGGCTGTTTATTAGCAAGATCAGAAAGGGTTTTCAGGGTCACTGTTAAGTAAAACTTTGGCAATCAATGATGTGTTTGTGGCCACCTGATTAATAAAAGTGAGATATTCACTCTGCTTTTTAGCTCTGTTTTGGTCTCCACCAGCTCCTGAGGGAAATGTATTTCTTCTGTCAGTTTGGTTCTGAGCAGGAAGCTGAAAATGATGCTGATGAGAATAGAAGGACTGAACCAAAACAGTAATGTAAACTGTGGGCCCGGAAACCAAAACAATGAGCTGAAAGAAGCTATATAGCTTTGTAGTGCTGAGGGAAACTGCAGTCAGGTGATAATATGTAGTTAGTAACTGCGAGAGACCCCTTTCACATAAATATAGTGATGCGATACATTGTCGATAATAAAATATTGATTTAACTACATGCAGTTCACTGAATACACAAAATATCCTCACCGTCTTGATTTGAAAATCTCATTTTACTCATTTTGAAAAAATGAGTAAAAATACCTCCAGTACATCAAGTACACGTTACCCCAGTGAAAACGCATGTTTCATGGGTAAAGTACCTCCTTAATCGTTTTTTTTGCAACTCATTTGCTTCTCATTATCCCCATCTCCCCCTTCAATGATTGATTTAACGCAGGTAATCAATTAGCATTGATGGCTGTTACCCTAGTTTTACCTCATCAGTGTTCTGGAATAGACTGAGTGCTACAGATAATGTGCACGTGCAGATTTTACACTGAAAAACATTTGCATTCCAATGGTTAGAGTTAATGCTGAGTACAAAGTTTAAAATCATTAAAAATTGCACCAAGTTTTCTAAATATTTTTATTACAGCCGAGTAGGGGAATCTGTATATAATATAGCAGTTACGCAAAATGAAATAATTTCTGAGTTTGAAAACCCCTTTTGGCCCCGTAACAGAAACCAGGGCAGGGCACCGTTGAGCACGTTGGCCCAGAACGAGCAGTGATACATATAAAGCTTGTATTACTCACGGCCTTCACCGCACGACGACTGTTACGGGGCTGGCACTTATCAGACAGCAGCCAGGCAGTAATAACAAGCAGGGTGTCTTTCTGTGGTCTGCGTTGCTCTCGGAAGCATTTCTGTGGGGTGTTTATCTGTTAGTGTGTGCACACAGGTATTTGTCGATTTGCATGTGTGTGAGCCGGAGATATAAAGTGCTAGATTATTAGAAACTCAGGTGAAGCACTAAGAAGTGAAGGTCACAGACACTAAAGGAAAGACTTTATGATGCACAGTCTGTCCTCGCTACTTTTGTGACTTTTCTGATAACTCTCAGCGGCTGGTAGCACAAAACACCTTAAGTTTTATCCATAAATGTGATGCTAAAGGCTTAATTTCTTACTTAAGGGTGTTGCACAGAACCCCTTAAAAGATTTCCTTAGTTAAGGAATTCACTGCATTGAGATTTTATAGCGATAATAGTCAACAGTTTCCATGGATACCATTTTACTATAGATAGTTTTAAAAAAAAAATGGCATGAGGAAAGAAAACAAGAAAACCAAATTGGTCAGATTAAGGAAATATGATCCTTCTGGAGGAATACAATAAATTAAAGCATATATCAAAGAGTTAGTTTGATCCACAAATAAACAGAAAACAACGAATGTGGGGCCATTATCTCATCCTCCTCTTGTTTTGATGGAAACTGTTGTTCAGCAGACGGTTACGGGCGTTTGCAACTAGCTGAATGACGCGGCACACCGTTGACATGAAATGCCAGCCTACTGACTGGAAAGACGCCCTAGCATAGAAACATAGTAGAGCAATCATTAATTGCAAACGGGCAGGAAGAGCACAGCTGTGGAATAGCTGAGTGATCCAAGACGGCCGAAAAAACCCTGAATTAACTGTAAATCAAATCTGTGGTGTGAAGTCAACATTGTTAAGCGTATCTATTGGGTTCTACCGGCCGTGAAACACTCTTCTTGGGATGCGTTCATTTTTTTTCATGTATCACCATGAATCATATTTCGTTTAGATTTTCAGATTTAGGCCTACCTTAAGATTTGTATTTCTTATTTTGGTTTCTACGGTTTTTTGTGCAACAATTTAACAAAGTTTAAGCCACTCCTTACGTATAAGACATTAATTACTTCAATACTTAGACATTTTAAGGGAATCTTAAGGCAAAAACCTAAGGGTGTTTTGTTCAACGATTTAAAATCAAGGAAACTCAGACTTTAAGGAAAATCTTAATTATAGGTGTTTTGTGCAACGAGGTCAACATGGAAGATTTTACTCACTCAATGGGGGTTAAGTTAGGGGGTCAATCTTTAAGCAGCTGGAACAAATCTTTGGGTCGGGTCAAAAGAATGTTATAGTTTATTAGATAGATTATTTATGAAGTAATTTCAGTCAACATGCTTTGTCCCACTGTATTAGCTTCAATAAAATGGTGAACTGTATGTGGCCTTGACTGTGGGGATATAGATAAAGCATCAGGTGTTTGAGCAATAACTTGAATATCAAAATAAATTTGACTTTTTGATAAAGGTACGAAGAAGATGATGCATTTATTTGTAAACATGATCATATAAATATTTTATATAAAACTTCATATAGAAAAAGCAGCGATGCTCTGGGAGGAGCAGCAGACATATAGACCTGCAAGCTTCTTGTTTTTTCTGAAAATCACTTCAGCGATAAGCAGTAATTGCTTTAGTGTTTTGCATAGGGGCCACTCATATATTACTGCAGCTTCTTCACACTGTACATTTGTTCCTAACACGCTGTTGTAGATGTAAAACACATGACTTTCAACAGATTAGAGGATTTTTTCCCCCGGGAACCACACATGGTATTAGCAGTAATAGGATAATAACAGTAAGATATTGGAATTTATCATTATGCATCTAGTTCTTTATGAAATATTATACTTGAGAGCCACTCTATTATCACTGTCTGGATTTAGACTGAGCATCACTTGTTTGTTTAACTAAGTATGCAAGATATTTGCTGAGTCACCACCGATGGTGTATAATTACAGGAGTAATCAGGTGATCACTTTACCTGAGAAATGCCTTTCTTAGTAATTGTACACATAGCATTAACGTGAAACAAAAAAAGAGAACACAAAAGCAGTGTGTGGAATAGATTTGTACTTTAATTTGGGTTGACATCATATAAAAATAAACTAAAATACTTTCGCTTTGCTGCCTATCATGGGCCAGCTGTTAACAGTGGCACCTTATTGCATACAAACAGCTGGAATCATTTAAGAGACAAAATGTTCCCCCTTTCTCAGTTTCTGAGGCCTGCAGTGTAAATTTACCGCACTGACGTGATGCTGAGGATTTGTACTTTCAAATGCACCTCTAGAAACAAATGCCTCTTCTAAATATGCCTGGCAACAGTGTGTATTTCCTGGAAGGCTGGAGACTAGAACAGGATTTCTATCTTTTCAGCAGCGAGTCATTTGGACTCTTATCGAGCCAGTCTAACAGAGAGGCAGATAGAGAGACGCAAACAGATGTAATGTAATAAAAGCCAGACATACTGACTGAACTCCGCAGACAAGGAGGGAATGTAGCTGGAAAAAACAAGTCGGCAAGAAAACATTTCCATTATCACAACTACTGAGTGTGTGAATGCAACAAATGACCCTATTAGAACGATTACATCAGTAAGTGGGACAGAGAGCCTAATCAAGTTCAATCACCCAACAATTTCCCTAATTAGAATAATTTCCAGCCTTGACTCTGTATATCGCCATCCTGTACAGAGTCCACACCCAGTCATACAGCCACCGACAGACGACAGAGAGTGCCCTTTTAAACCGGTTCCTAACTCCCAAAACACACACACAGCACACAGAGAGGAAAATACAGACGGTAAAACACACACACACACACAAAAAACAAACAGAAAACATCACATCACTGTACATATAAAGGTTCAACGACGACATGCATACTGAGTCATCAAATCATGCAGCTAAAATGTGTGAAATAAATATCAAATCAGACCATTCCACCTGTGAAGATTATGGGAATCAAGCTGTGGATTCTGCAACTGCAGCCGACATGTCTTGAGAGAAAAAAAAGCAAACCATAACCCACCTTTCCCTTTATCTGTCCCTGTCTCCTTCTCCCACTTTTCGCTCCCTCCCGCTTTCTCCAACTTCCAAACACTGAATCGCTCTCCAGCTTGTCGCAACGGCCACCTGCACCCTCCCAATGCAAGGTACACAGTCTGCATACATTTTGGCACCAAATAGACAAACACTTCCAATTCCACATTGCATCTCTCATTTTCACTGGCAGCTGCACACACAGATGTGTTTTAGAATATATGAAAGCCCCCTCTTCCCTTTGCAGCAGAGCACTCCACATGGCTTTTTTTTGCTTTCTTTCACCTAAGTCTGCTCCCCTCTTCTACACCGTGGACCTCTCACTCTCTCTCCCTACTCTCTATATCTTTTTGTTGCTATCATCCCTGCCTCTTTCTCTCATCCAAATCCTCTTGCTTAGCCCCACTGGGCAGAATCTCTCAGTCCCTCCTTCTCTCCATGCTTTCTTTTTATCTCTCTCTCAGCTCTCCTGCCTTTCCTCTCACCCAGGCTGTCTCAAGAGGTATTTGACATCATCGTGGACATGTAGCTCCTGTGGATGATGCCTTCAAACTGGGCAGAGGGAAAGAAGATGGGCGATGCTTGATGGTGATAGAAATAAACCTGAGTTAACGAAGTGCAGATGCCTCAGTGGCAAAGCACCAACACAACAGTGTTTTTTACAAAAGCTTAATTTCTGTTAACAAGTGAAACCAAATACAAAACGGTCTTTAGCTCTTATTAGCTGAATGATCTTATTAGATATAACGATTATGGGGGCTTTGTAGCTATGTTGCCAGTGGTTTATTAATGATTCTGTAGTTCTATAGTCACCAAGTAGGAGATATCATAGCTGTCCTTATATCTCCGACTCAGAAAGACAAGACGGAGGATGGTGTAATGATTTTTTACCACTCGGATGCTCAGATGCATAAACACAAATTATAGCTGAGCTCGACCAAAGTATTGGAGAAATTAAAAGTGATGTTGGCATTAGATGAAAAGTCAAAGGGATCATCAAATTATTACAATTAATCCTGAGAACATAAATGTCTTGTGCCAAATAATAGTTGTCGAGACATTTCACTAAAAAACTAAAATGTTAATCTTATGGTTTATGAAAAGACAAAAGGTCAGTAGGCCTCATGAATGGCAATCCATTCATTGATGAGATAATTTCAGTCATTCCCAGAACCACGCTGCTACCATCACCAGAGAAACCTGCTCTTAGACAAAATAACTTGTATATGATGTAATTGAGATTAGGGCCGTCTTTCTTCAGAGGGCGATAGGAGGTGTCTGTTCCACCTTTGTGACAAATGGGATGAAGATGTCAATGCTGGTGGATGTCAGAACTCTGGTTTCCTCATTAACAGGCGCATGGAGGATAATAGGGACTCGTCCTTGGCCTCAAAATAACAATGATTACATGTGATACTGGAGCCGCCCGTGGCTGCAGGCCAAGAGAAGGACAAGAGAAGACCAGGAAAGAGCCACAGTGCTCACACAGCAGAATAGTTGAAGTATCACTTTTCCCCCATCCCATCTTCTTTCTCTCTTTCTCTTAATTTGCTGCCTTCATTTCCTACTCTCTGTGGTGGGTCTTTCTGGGTTAGCTGGTTAATTTGGGTGAGCTACAGCACCTCAGTGAAGAAGCAGGGAACGAGCTGTCATATCTGCTGTGAAGGTAGTGTTAAATGAGCAAATTGATGTAGTCTACTATTCAGTCGGTTAACAATCATGAACAGAAGCCAGTGTTGAATAGGGATTCAACACTGCCCAGTTGATGCAGACTTCTCCCTCAGACAACCACAGGCTGGTTATCTAACTGGCTGAATTGAGCATTGTCAAGGGGGGGGATTACGAATTATGAATAAGCGAGTGGTGATGATGAATATAGTTGGGGTGAATAGCAGCCTTTGTGGAGCAAAAAGACCTCCTTGTTGAGTAGTGGACAACTGCCAAAGTGAAGGAAGGATTTTCTGATTAACACACAGAATGAAGGGACAAGGATTACACACACAGCAACAATGCAAACATGTGCTAGTGGTCATTTCTGTGTTGTGTGGAGCGGGTTAAGGATCCCTGCAGCACAACAACATGGCCAAATACCTGGAAAAAAAATACAATTAAGATGGAATTGATATTATAGTCCTTAAGAAATTGTTGTTTTCTTGCAGAGAGTTAGATGTGAAGATCAATAATGCTCTCATATCTGTGGGTTCAATATAGAGCTGGAGCCATCAGCTGGTTGGCTTAGCTTAAGATAAAGATGGGAAACAGGGGTTTTTACATTTTTAAGGAGCTTTAACAATGGGCATTAGCGTCTGATGTAGCCCTGTTACTGTGCATCTCACTAACTGTAGCGGACTCATACCTAGCAACCTGTTGTCTAGGAAAGTTGTAGTACGTCTATCTTGTGAAAGTTAATTGAATTATGGGAAATAAATATATAAATTAGATTGCTTTCTTTAAAATTGAGGGGATCTAGTTTTCAGGAGGTCATTCATAATTACAAACGTTAGATAATCAGCCACTGATCCAATCAAGCATCAGGCAAACTATTTCTAGTCATGCCAGAAATGATGCTGGGTACTATGGCAATAGAAGAGGAAAGGATAATAACGAGTGAATTTAGAGAAAAGATACTGTCGGAGTGAGTCAGTCAGTCGGATGGCTGTGGATTAACTGATCTTTATGATGGTACGATATTCTATTCCTGGACAGGAAAGATGGGAGGGAGGCTCCGAGTCCAATCAATACCCAGAGGAACCAGTGATTATTGTACATTAAACCATTCCTCCCATTTCCTTTCCCTCTCAATGACAAGCAGAGGAAGATATCTTGAATGATGCTTTGACTTCTTGTGCCTTTCAAAAAAAGAGCTTGAGGAAGATCGAGGCAGCATTTCATTCTAATTTATTTAGCGCTGGAGGAATGTAACACGAGTAGTGCTGTTGAAGGAGCAGCATAGGAAGTGTAACATGGTTGTTTTATTAAAATCTACAATAACTGGTTCATCAAAAACTAGTGCGGGATTGAGCACGTTCAACTAATCTTACAGTTTTTAAAATTCGCTACATCTTTAAGGCGAAGCCGGACCAGTTTTTCTTTAAAGAGAGGCAAATGAATTACTCTTCTCTATGTGAATGGAGACAGTTATACTCAGAAACCTTCATACAAACAACAAACAAACAACGAGCTGTTGACTCGTATGCTTCCATAAAAATACTGGAGAAAAGTGAAAAACTAGAGATATTACGTTCTCAAATGCAAATAAGGATGTGGCAATGCTGTCGATGTTCCTTGACAACCAATTTGTTCATCAACACTGCACAATCTCAGCCTTCTCATAGCAATTCTCTAAGTGAAATGACAGGAGTAAAAGCTGCAGCAAGCACATGAGGTATGTAGCCAACAAAACAGGCGTGTTGCTGCAGACGGCACATAAAGTACATGTTTACTTTATATGGTGTGGACTGAACAGTAAACAAAAAGATAAGGAGAAAGGAGTGGTAAAGGCAGAGGGAAGCTAAATGAAAGTCTGTACTTTACTATTGAAGTCATCAGTCAACATTGACAGTGTGCAAACATATGAGCAGGAACAGCATGTTGGTTGTGAAAAGGCTTTTACCACATTCAAATTCTTAGAATCTGACTGGACTTTTCAGATGAGGAACAAATAATGCAAATTCATACTAAACAAAAAGGAGAAGAGTGAAAACTACCTCCGTACTAATAATCACACACTCCAACTTCTTCTACCCTACTGACACGTCATTGGACCAGTGTGTGCAAACTCAATCTGAGCAGGAAAGCTTTGATTGAACCGACAGAACTTTATTTATTAAATTCTAGTGACAACCCCAAAACTCCCGAAGATGTCAGGGTGAATAATGGGAAACATAAAATGATGCACAAGTTTATATTTCCACTCTCCACGTCATTAAAACATGGAGTCTTGTGTTTAAATACTTAATTCAGTGTAAATATGAAGAGGCTTCAATGAAGAGCTGATACAGAATATATACTGTATGTCATACTGTTTCATAACTTCATACCTTTTCCAACCTGAAAGTTAATGTTTAGCTTTTTTATGATGATTTTAATGTTTGTAAAGTGTCTTTGAGAATTTTGAAAAGCGCTATATAAATAAAATGTATTATTGTAATATTATTATTCAAGTAAAAGCTGTAGTTTAGGGATAATCCTAAATCTAACGGACTCATTTCATCATTTAGCAACATCACTTATTAATGTAGGTTTAAAATGTGTGTTTTCAACAATAGATATTTTCATATAACAATCAAATGACATTGTGAAAACAACTTGACAATATGCCAGGGTTCGCTCATAATGATGAACTTACAGAGAACTTTCACCTAAATCTGTTTGGGTTCACTGTCACTGCTGAAAAAGCTCTAAAAGCTCACTGTACTCTAACTGCTCTTGAAACATTTAGCATCTGAATAGTTGGTAGAGACCAAAACAGAGCTAAAAGAGAAGAAACCGAAGGATATACAGAAGATATACATTTTACATGGGCTTTATATGATATTGTTACTTGATGTAATTGTTCAAACTATAGGATGCTTGGTCCCTGGCTCAATGCAGTGCCTTGGTGACAGATGTTGCCTCTGGCAAGAATACAAATGAAATGATTCTCTTAAATATATCTTCCAACATCAACAAGGAAAACTGATTAAAAGGAAGGACAGAAAAAGGGCAATATTGAGGTGAGAACCCTCTGCTAAGCTCTTATCTGTCATCTACAGCTGTGGGCTCTATGCTAATATATGAGCAGAAAGTGTTGTTTCTGCCATTGCAGAGCAGCGCATGAGTTACTCTCTCTGAACACTTCAGTCGGAGATTAACGGTAGAGGCCGATGAGCACTGGTTCTGTTCCTCATATGCCTTGAACAAGCTCCCTACCTGCCCCTCACCCTTTACTAAACAAGGTAAACATACAGAGCCACACAGGAAAAAAAGGTAAACCAATGTAGAAATATAGCTGGTAAATAAAACAAGTCCCAGAAGAGAGTTAAGAGAGAAACAAGAACGATAGAGATGATGAAGAGCTGCATTACAGACTGAGCGTGATTAAAGATTCCCTTGCTTCTCATTGACTGGCTCTGACCTGAACATGGACTGCAGGAGAAAGAGCTTTTCTCCCCCGTGTGTTGTATGTTACACTTTCATGGCCCTTTAGCATTGTCTAGAGGCTGCAAAGTGGCTAATGTGGAGCAACTACTACAACCGAGGCTAAAATCAGCATTCTTCACCATGGTCATTGTATTTCTCATAACTTTGCTTAGCAACTACCAAAAAAATAAATAAATAATCAAATCCAGTCCTTGTCAGTATAGTCAGAGAGGATAAAGGACAGGGTGACCAAAGGCACTATTTTTCCCTTCAGGAATGCAATATCAGTTACTCTCAGGAGGAGGCTGGTTATTGACTGTGCTTTGATCCCAGAGATTGGAGCCTAAACTCCCCGATAAGGTGTCTCTCTCTCTCTCTCTCTCTCTCTCTCTCTCTCTCTCTCTCTCTCTCTCTCTCTCTCAGTCTCTCTCTCTCAGTCTCTCTCTCTCAGTCTCTCTCTCTCTCTCTCTCTCTCTCTCTCTCTCTCTGCTTACAGTTTGATAATCTTCACGGCTATAAATGGAAAAAGTGTAAATTTTCAGAGAGCATGGATGGGGATTTAGAAGTTGGTTGGCTAGAGGCAGAGATGCATTATGGCTGATATGATTAAGCCACTGAAAACCTGAGAATCTAGGGCAAGTGAATCACCACTGGCAAGACTGAGTCTTTATCACAACTCTGGGACAGGGACTTCCTAAAACATACCTATGGCTCTGGATACAGGTATCTACACAGCAGTTACAGGGGGATACTGTAACCTGAAGGTGTCTCATAGTGCAGGTGGTAGGCTACATGTGTGGGATCATCTCTACATTTGGAGAACCAAGCAAACAACATTCAGAAGGAAAAAGCACACTGAGCTGTTGGTCGGATGGTGCGGCCACATTGATCTGTCACTAAACGGATGGAAATCAACGGATCGTGCTGCTCTCAGTTTGTTTAAGAATTTATTTGATGCAAGAAACACTCTTTAAACGCATAATGGCAAATCTGAAGCATATTGATCATCTCCAGAACTGGCCAATAAGCACATGGCCCTGTGCAACAAACATACCCTCCTCAGTGAAAAAACAGACGGACACAAAAAGATCAACCAACTGGCTTTTCAAGACGGCCTTTCTGGAAAAAAAATACGAATTGTTTTCTCCAGATACCGATTTCGATGCCTCGACTCAGGGTACCAGCAGAGTGGGGAACTAATTTGTAATATGAAGGCAGGGATTCCTGTGACAACAAAAAACGGAGTCAACTGCCCACCATGGCGGAATTACTTGATGAAGATATGGATCGGTCACATCATGGCCAATTCATGACCTGCTTAATAAGGTCAGTATCGGATTGATGCATCCTTAATCCTCACAGAAACATGAAGTGATGGGTTTTCACTGCTGCAGAAAGATGAGTTTGGGTAGTTTGCTTGAGCAGAAGCAGCCACTATGCTTTGAAATAGACCATGAAACGAATTTAGTTTATTTAGTCACACAAACTAACATCTATTAAAATGACTGAAGCACAGATGTTTACCTTCATCTGACCAGCAGCTACTTCACTGCAATGATCTTTCTAAGGCAAGCCCATAGTAAATATAAAGTGTTATCACAGTAAGGAGCCAGTCACTTAGTTTTATAGTTAGCCTGATGGTCTGCTTCGTTCTATCATAAAATGTCTTCCCCATTAAGAGCTGCTTCACCAGAGTAAGGTAAGGTTAATAAAGCTCCAACATTGCAAGCAGCAAGGTCACCCCACATAGAGGTGGTTTTCCTCTCTCGCTGATGCAGCTAATGTGCAGCTCAGTACTTATTCTATCGTGGGAGAGGAGAAGATATTTCTGTGGAGCATGCAATGAGCACGAGTGAGACGGGCAAAGAGATGCAGCGATAGAGGCATTACGTTTAGAGTCATTAGGTACAACACACTGCTGTCATTATATCATACTGCATTACAATCATCACTAATGAAACTGTGGGAGGGCACAAAACCGATGGCTCAGTCTGTCTGCTGCTGTGAAAAACAGCTCTTCTTTCGAGGAGTTCAGTGCGACGCTTTTTCCTCCCAACACTGCTGTATTTCAAGCAACCTGTGTGACACCGAACCTGACTAAATCTGTCTGAAGCAAAGCTGAGGTATTCCACCGACTTACGAGGCAGTGAGAGCGAGAGAGCAAGAGCCCTGGCTAAAGGTCTATACATGAGTGCAGATCCCTGCTTAATACATTCTTCTCAAGCATCTTGCAGACTTTAAAGTGCAAATAAATCGTGCCAAGCATCAAGGATGGAGTTAAACAAGCGAACATTCAGCCCTTCAGATCTCCCGACTGCCTCAGAAAAGACCTTCACTATCGGATATATAGTTTAGAAGTTGTAGCATAGCTTAGATATACAATTAGAACATGATGCAGACTGCAATAATGAGACAAAAATGTGAATGTCCATGCATGTGGCTATGACATTAATTACTGAAGTATTTTAGACACCGTCCTGATGAGAGAAACTACTTAGTTGTCATCTCCACACCATCTCATTAAGCCTCAAGTTTCAGCAGCCCACAACAAAAAACTTAAACCTGATTAAAAACAGAATTCAAGTAAAAATGTAATTTATAGTACAATAGAGAGAGTTCAAATCACAAAGCTTTTTTGGGAACATATTCAGAGACACTGAATATTTCCATATTGAGAATCTCACCTTATATCCTAACAAATGTCCTAAATCCTAAAGCACTGCGCTGGCTGATTTGGCAACCGCAAATTACATGACCTGATTTCCATAACACAGAATCTTATCAACACTGGCCTCAAAGGGAACACAAACTAATTGGTGCGACTTTTACGTCGCGTTTTCTAATGATGGGCGCTTGATTAATCTTTGAAACGCTGGCTATTGAGTGTTGGGAGTTACAAAGGAAGATGGCTGAGAGGATCAAAGTCATTCCAGTCTACTGAGGGGGGGGGATTAGGAAAATGTGGTGGAGGCATGGAGACAATCGAGCATCCAAGCCTCCAGCGAGGAAAATCCTTTCAGGCTGGAACCAAAATCTCAACTGGAGAAATCATCCTGACTTGCAGCTGTGCTCGCTGAGTGCTGACTGACACTGACACGTGTGAGGGCGGTTATGTGATATCACGGTAATCCCACTGAAGTCCCAAAACCCAATCCTTCTGCCTCATGACCAATGTGAGGAAATATACAGGCAAGTGGGGGCAGGAGGTTCCAAGAGGGCAAAACCCTCCAGTCCAACCTTTGATAATTTTCATAACTGTAAAGTATTTTTTTTATTGTCTGAGATGCATTTTGTCTGAGACCTTTTTCCCTACGGCTGTTGTTCATGCATTCACTGTCAGACATAATATTCTCACCAAACAAAAGCAAAAACAGGCAGGCTTTGACAGCAATTTAACACAAAGCAGGTGGTCTTGGTGCATGGGGAGGCAAATTCTGTCCACAAAAAAAGGAAATATAGTGGCTACAAGACTTGTTTTTGTTTTCTTTATTATGTACCCATTTTTATACAAATTGTGCTTTTTGGTTGGGGTTCTTTTACTTGTACTAGTAAGTTTTACTAGTTAAGTACCCTTTTAAGAAAACCTAAATGCGTTCTTTACTGTCATCTTTGTGACAGTGTTCATTCATTGAATGATTACAGGCATAATAATAAATTCTCACATGAGTGACTGAAGCTTGTACACTATTCCCTTGTTTGTGCGTGAGATTGTTCGACCCTGCAGTCAAAGTGCATTGGTCTTGTTTGTAATAATGTGGCCACTATAATAAGAGTTTTTTCAACTGTTGTAGGATACTTTAACAAAGCAGCCATGCCTTGATTTTTCAGGGGGGGATTCATTACCTCTCTTGCGGATATAATATTCCCCAACTTTAGTGGTGGGCTAAAACACAGTCTCAAACCTACTGCTGTCAAATAAACCCAAGAAGAAACATGTATGTAGGGCTGACTAAGCTATCATTTGAAATTCTACAATGAAACAATCCCTGACTTTTCGGAACTGATACCCAAACAATATCTTACTGATACTTTAAGACATTTAAATAAGTCTCTTTTTTATAAACCCTTTTCCTCCTTAAACAGAATAGGTGTATTCAAATGTCTAAATGAATAACGCGCGGACCATTGTCTAAATACAATTGGCAAACTTTTGATTTTGGATCAGAAACTATCTGATCAAAGATTAAGGAAACAAGATTAGCATTCGATGCAGCTTTCAGTACTTGACAGTTTTGATGCTACAGATACATTTTGGTTACTATCAATAACGCATCAAGTTTTGATACTAAACCCTACACATTTTAGACCACTGACCCCCATTTATTAAGGGTTTGGAACCTTACGTGAGAGTAGATGTTTGCTATCTGCCTCTACCCTTACAGGTTTAGACTCCCAGTCCTCCTCTTTACCTCCAGTATTGCCACGAGCTGATGAAGTAGCTGTAAAATTGAACACGTTTTCACTTTGCTGACCCTCCTGAAACCTATTCGGGACCCGAGGAGGCACCGCTGGGTGCATCAGGCTGCTCTTCCAGTCGGCAGCTCAAGTTACCTTGACCAAGTGTGGAAAGGGGCGCTCATCGGCTGACAGCCCACTGCTCCACTGCATCACTCTGCAGCAGTACACGCAGGGAGCTGAGGTAGTCTGCACCCCACACACGAAACAACCCTGGCTCGGCAGCTGAGGCTCTCTCTACACCGGCTAATACTGTGTTATGTTCCAAATATAGCCTCACTTGCAATTCTCGCAACTAGACAACTATGATTTGTTCTATTCTGACACACTATCAGGGTCATGGAGAGTACACAGAAAGCATGTTTGTTATTCTTACACTGTTAAAAGGTAGATGATACTACAATTTTAGAAGTCCCTAAAGAAAAATACAGGAATGACACTGGGGTATAAACCACACATACAACGGCACCAAGTTATGACAATATCATTGGGAGAGCCTTCATGGCTCAACCCCCAAATGACAAAACATGCACCTGCCCCATCCAATAGCATGGCAACTGACAGTGAGGCAATAACGGGGAAATAGACAGCGACCGTCTAGTCAGGCTACAGTTTAGAAATCACTGGATGACATCATGAAGTTCAAAAACATTTGGTTACCTGGCAGATCTCATAATACAGAACTAAACGGAAGACGCATACACCACATAAATAAAAACAACTAGCAGCCAATGGTAGCCTGCAAGCAGCCAATAAAGGTGCAGTGGGAAAAAAATATATAGCAGAAATAACTACAAGTAGCCTAGGCTACCGATATACTGTGGGAATAGGCATGTCACGACAGGAGGTAACCGAGAATAAGGTCAAAACCAGACACTAGGATGTGACAAAATGTAGCCATTTTCCTGGAGAGAGGATATAATATCATTGGCTAATTTTAAAAGCCACTTCCATACAGACATGACATGCAATACAAGTCAAAACCATTATTTACAGGCCTGTAGTCTAATAAAGTGGTACTTTTGGGACGCCCTCGTGGAGACAAAAGAACGGTGCCGCGAGGTGTATGGTGCGGTACTCGTCTCGTTCCCCATCACGGCCACCTGTCCTCTCTTCCTTTATGCGCTTTCCTAAACCGCATCGTCCAAAGCGAAATAAGCAATACTCGACTCACCCAGCACACCAGAGGAGCCTTGTGACGGGGCAGCGCCCGGCTCCGGCCTCTCCGCTTCTCCCTGCTGTGCTCGGTGTCGGTGTCGGGAGCTCTCGGTGCCGTCGCCGGCGGCGGTCGCACCACCGACGGCCGCCGCGGCTGCAGCGCCTGTCGCTGCCGACCCCGTGCCGGGCATGCTCTCTATCAGCGAGGAGCAACGGAAGATGAAGATATTCTCCGGGAAATTGTACAATAGTATCGCATCTCAGGAGGAGGGCAACGCATGGGTGTAGCGCAGCGACCGGCGGGTGTCCGAGTGAAGGGGTTAAATGAGTGCGAAAGTGAAGTGAAGGTTGTCGGTGCAGCGGCGGGGGTACTCTGAAGCAGGATGCGCGGCTAGATGGAGAGCTCTCCTCCGACGACTATGGAGGAGGGACAAAGAGAGGGAGGGCGGAGGGGAGGGGGGCTGGGCGACACAGACACATGCACACACAATTTACAACAATTCACCATAGCAGCTTTATGATTATATGAGTAATGTCCCAGATTGTCTCAGCAGGCAAATTTTAAGAGATTTCGTCATGAGAAATTCCAATATAAAGTCAGGTTAAGCAATCTGGATATTATTACAAAATCACTTCATGCACAGCTCACGTTAAGACTTTAAAATCCCACAGAAATATTTTAAGAACATAACTTATTATAAGGTAATGTTTTCTTTCATACATGCATGACCTTGCAGTCTCGCCTTGCCGTTCTCCAGGATAAATGTATAGTTATTGCCCTACAGTGACCTCTGTCTTCCAGCAGCTATAGGCCTGAAATTGGGGCGAGAAATATAATCTGCTTGGTCCGTTAAGGCAAAACCCAGACAAACAAAATGCATGGCTTATATTGACAACGTTTATGTGAAATCCAAAATGCTGTTGAGTTGTCATGCTCTTTAAGAAATTGTACCTGCCACCTTTAATTTCAATACAACAATCCTCTCAGTAGCAGGTCTATCAGGCAGGTGGTTCCTGCTGTCCAGCAGGTTGCTGTCTTGTGAGAATGCACTATACCCTGTCCTGGAAGATTTGATAGACTATGACTTATTCATGAATGCAAAAAATATCTTCATAGATTAAATTTTTAGTGACACTCAGGTTGGGGCAAGTATGTCTCTTCACTTTAATCCACTGGATACTCTCTATCAGCAGCTGTAAAATCCATCATTTAATCTCTACACCATTCACATAAACAAACAATAAGTTTACTTTACAAAGCAAATAGTGTTGTCATGTGTGCTCACATTTGCCTCATGTGTTGTATAATGGGCAAACAATAGTCACCCTATGTCAAAGCGAGCCTACGCCCAAACACATCCTCCAAAACAAACTGATGGCACAGACTCAGTTGGTGGATCCTCTGTACTGGTAAAATATACAGTATGTTTCTATCATAAACGGTCATGTGCAGTTTTACAACCAGTGGAAGGGTTATTAAACCGCATGTGTCAGGAGAGGAAATATGTTCCTAAGAAAATTTCTCCTTTTGTTCAGAAGAGACAAGGATGTTTGTCCATTGATGGTGCACAACAGCTGTAAGGTGGCAGTTGTCACGCTTTGTGCACACAGAGCAGCCTATAAATTATTGCGTTCTCAGGTGAAAGATTAAAGACGGTGCCTCAGGCCATGTCTCTTCAGCATATACACAATCTACTTCCTTGGCCAGCCCTCCTGGATACCATGTTTCATTGTACAGACGGCAGGCAGGCAGCCTTCCCCCTTGTAGCTACGGCTCACAGCTCAGAAGTACCTCCTCTTCGAGCATAAATTCTGCTTACTCACCACCCTCTGGGCTGACAGCTGCAAGGAGCTACAGTGGAACACACGTACACACACACACACACACACACACACATAGCCTTTACTCTGTGTTTATATTTTTTGATATGGACGATGAAGGACTAGACCACACCACTAATATCTTTTAATATAAGACACAAAAAATCCTTCTTACCAAATACAGAAAAACGTGGTAATTCAACCATGTGAAAATGATCACGATGACAGAGAATATGAGTTACACTGTACAGTTTATTAGTTACATCCAGCCAGAACTAAAGCAACCTTTTACAACAGCCCTGCAATAACTGCTATTCCTTCCTGCTTTGAGGTTACAATTAATGCTCAGTTTTAGTTTAGGTTTAAGAGAGGTGCTGGTTAAACTTTAGGTCATTTCAGAGACTGTTGTGCTGTTGAATTGTTCAGAGGTGTTTTCTAATATTCTCTATATAGTAAACCTTAAACCTACCTTTCTTTATGTTATGCAGTCAGAAACACCTACCAGTTGTATTTACTGAAGATGGGTTTCAATAACAAAAATAAATCAAACTAAAAAGTAACCATTTTATGAAAGAAACATATTGCTGTGTGGAGATTATCAATTTTGTATTTGAAGAAACATATTTTTTCCCATGCTTGTGCCTTTTTCCACCTAAAATACTAATCCTTAATCCAAATGGATTTGCCTGTTATTTGTCAGTTTCAGAAAGCGCCACAACTCTCATCACTGTTTCCCCAGAGAGTCAGTTGAGAGTCATGATCTGTCACAGGATTTTTCCCATTTTTCATTTTTTAATGATTTGACAACAAAATGAACAGATCTCCAACTATGTTAAGGAACTATTTCTTGTTTGTAATTTAAATACATGTTTGCATAAGTAAAGATATATGAAGGGAAGTTGCTTTATGTTTATGTCTATTCAGATAGATAGATAGATAGATAGATAGTCAGCGGTGAAGAGCACCCGTAGAGGGCAATGGTAGCTACACGGACCGAATTAAATGGCGCACAGTAGGCGGGACTTACTGCAGATTGACAGGTCTTGAACAAATGGGATTTTAGAACTGTCGATGCTGTGGAAAACGTCGTCCAATCACAATCGACAAAGGGAGCGACAGACATCGTGGTAAATGTAAACGTAGTAGCAGTAGAATCCTGTTAATGTAGCTTTAGTTGAAAGCAGTTACTGTTCATGAAATGGGTCCATTTGCCAGTTAACGTTACATTCACAGGTCTCTCCGACATTAGCCAAGAGTGGAATAAGGTAAACACAATGAGTTCGTCAAAGATAGAACATGTTTTGCAACGTCAGTCTCTAAAATCAGCCACACATGAAATGTTTGTTGTCAGAATAATGTGACCATGCTTCCGTCAATGGTTCGTGGGATATGGAGAGCTGCTGTCAACAATCTTAGGATAAGGTTTGTTAACAAAGTTCAACCTCGGTTTCTGTATTTTACTCATTCAGGCAGAAACTGCCACTCTGTAACCTGCGTCTTTTCCTTGAATCTTGCTATGTAAATTATTGAAAAAGGGATTTATTTATTGTATGTTACAATACATGTTGTGAAACCAACAAAAGGCAATGAAAGATTTTCAGATGAGGCAAAAATGTAACTGAACACATAAATATATTCTAATGAATATAAAGCTTTATACCTTTTAATCAGTTGGTTTAAAAAAAGCGAAACGATTTGTATTTTTCCTTTACCACTTGATTAAATACATGAAAACCTAATTAATTTTTCTCTCCTGTTTATATTTTATTAGCTAATTTTGACTCTCTGGTTTTTAATTTTTCTTTGTCATGGCACACATTTACAAATGTATTTATTCCCTTTCCCCATGCAAGTATAAAGCGTTCTCTTTCCCTTTAATTAAGTGTTATTTACTGACAATTTCAGTTTACTGCACTTGTGTAACGACCTTGTATAACTTTTTGTCAGTTTTGGTGCTCCAGAATATAGGCTATAAGTTTCTCTTGATGTAAAATAATATATAGCATGTCTGTTTGGAGAAAATTAAATGGATTATTAGACTTCATTAGTCTACTAAAGTCAGATGATACTGGTGTCTTACAATTCACTAATCTCCTGCAGAGGAACTCCAGCTTGCAGATTAGTGTCCACCTGTGATGGAGTCCCAGTTGGACTGGCTGATGCTGAGACCATCTTTGCATTATCATCGGGCCACGGCAGGTGTGGAGTGGCTGTGGTACGAGCCAGTGGTCCAGCCTCGGCCACAGCTCTGAGGTGTATGACCGGGCTCACACACAGCCGGCCCCCTCCACGCAAGGCCCTGTTACGCAGCATCAAAGACCCCCAATCCAAAGAAGTGCTGGACCACGGACTTGTCCTCTGGTTCCCAGGTCTGTTCCCTTTGAACGCATGCACGCACATGCACACACACACACACACACACATCTTCACGGTTCTGTGATTTGTAATGTGGATGTAGTCTTTTTTTACACACTATGTGCAGGTTCCCTTCTCCTGTCAAAGGTTGTATCAACAAATGACAATATGATATAGTAGAAGGAAAGAAAATGCTAATACAGAGGTCAAAAATACATGTCAAATATTAGAATTAGTCTTGCATCAGATATTTATGTGTTAAGGGAAACGATGTTAAAGTGTCTGCAGGTTGTATACCACTCTTAATGTAACAGTAATATAAAGCATCTTTGATTATCTTTGAATGAATTCCCCCAGAACGTGCGCTATGGTACTTTAGGAGCAAAATACAAACCCAATCCCACTAACAGCACTGATGAGTGCCTGTTTCAGTCAAATCTCTGCAGTCTTTTTTCTGTCATGTCTTACATTTTGTATCTTTTGGTGTAAAGCGATGACAAACCAGCTTGGTTGCTAGATTATTTTTATTTTCATTGACATTTTATTGGATTTTGGAAAGACCTAGGAATATACACAAACATAAAACAAGGATTAAAGGATGTTATATACATAATTTAAAACAGAGGACTAAGACATTAATTGTGGCTGTCTTGTAGTTTACATGGAAGGGACCTAAGCCATGGGTTTGTCTTTAAGGGCCATTAATGTAGTGAAGAGACACATTACAAACAATACCTTTCTATACTGCCCATCAGAGAGAATGACACCTGTTCATATTGAGCCACCCTGGCAAGCAGATTATGCCAGTCGGTGATTGATAGTGCATGAGCTGACTTTGATTGTTGGTCAAGCAGTCTCCTTGCCAACATACTAGAGGTCTGGACCCATTCAGTATCGATGGAGGGGATTGTGTCTTTCAGGGTGGACGGATTCCCCAACAGAGATAAGCGACTGCAAAAGGGACTTCCCTAGAAGTGTGTGACGGTGTTTTTTATCTACACTACCCTCTGCCTGTGTTTTCTCTTTTCTTTTCTTTTCATTTTGCTGTGTTTGGGATATTTCTGGGCGTCACCCTTTGGGGACTGGGTGTGTAGCCCACACGCATGTACAAGCACGCATCCAAGAAGACGCTACGGAAAAATGGGGGATACAGCGCTGAAAACGCGTCTCCACGCGTCTTTACTATTTCCCCTATGTATTTCAGTCACTGTGTTATGTTTATTCATACAAACATCCAACACACTAGGAGAAGCAACAACAACTGCAAATGTAACACAAAGCACACCCAGGTAGGCTACAGGCGAGGCGACCCCCTCCCAAGGTTTCCCCCCTAACCCGTGTCTTGCACTCTCATTGGCTGTTGCTCCCTGAAAGACTCCCCCAACAGGTCCAGATATTTAGCATGCCAGGTATCTGGAGTACTTCTGTGAGGCACCAACGAGACTCTCGGCTCGCATCTTTGGACAGTTCACACATGGTGCTCAAGGGCCGATGTGTGAGCGCCAAAACATTGAGATTTGCCTCTGATGTGTGGATTTTGTCTGGGAGCTCCAAAAAACTGTCTGGGAGTGGGAAATATGGGCAAAAGTCGTGTTGTGTGAATTAGGCATTAAGCTTCAATTCCTGCGTCGTATGCATTTAAACAATTTTCTCTTGCTGCCATTTGGAGTCATTTACCTACAAGCTAGAGCAGAGCAGTTTTTTTTTTTTTTTGTTTTTTTTTTAACTCATCACAGTATTTAGTCTTATGAATATCTGAAGTTCTATCAAAATCAGCCACTTGTACTAGCCCAAGTTTAATGAAGTGTTCCTTGACATATTGGTCCTGTGCATATTAATTGACGAACTGACATTGAGTTGTTGTCTCTTGTGTTCATGTCCTTAGCTCCACACAGTTTCACAGGAGAGGACAGTGTGGAGTTCCACATCCACGGCGGTCCTGCTGTCATTACTGCTGTCTTACATGCTCTAGGTAAAATACAGATATCCTTCTGAGTATCAATATCATACAACTTCATATAATGCAGTATACACACACACATGCATACAGTGTCATGTGGTGCACCGTCACTTTGCAGGATGTTTGGTATGTGTGTCTCCATAGCTTTGACTTCCAAAGCTGTAAGCCTGCAACACAGTAACTAGTTGAGTCATGTGACTGCCCATCACTGTGACTTAAAAGGGAAAATATTCTTATTTCTAAGATACTTATGAAATGTGCCTTGGCAAGCGTGGCAAGGCACATTCCCTCTGGGACTGACAAGTAATATTACAATATTACTTGCAGTTCTCTTACTGTTCTACTAGGGGGCAGTATTGTATAAATTAAAAATGTTAATGAAAGCTTGTCACCAATTATGTAAGATTATCATTAATCAGGAATAGTAAGAGAGAGGAAAATGTTAGTGTTGCACATGATGTTGCCTATTTAAACAGGAAAGATAGTAACAGTGTTAAGAAAAAAGAGAATTTAAAACAATATTTTCCTTAACAGATCATGACCTACATTTGCAAAATGATTTATAATCAATGTTGTGTCCTCATGATGAGATTGAAAAATGGTCATAAAAACGTCACCTATTTAACCTTCCCTCTTGTGCCTGTTGCATTCCAAGTGAACCCTGAGTGACACATTGACCTTGCGTTTGATCCTCCTCTGTTTGTTTGTGTGAGTTGTGTGCATGATTCATGCCCAACTTGTGCCTCATTCATTTCTTTGTGTGTGTGTGTGTGTGTGTTTCTCTCTCTCTCAGGAAGCGTGCCTGGCATGAGGCCTGCTGAAGCTGGAGAGTTCACACGGAGGGCCTTTCAAGCAGGGAAGCTGGGTTTAACGGAGGTAGGTCAAGACGAGAATGTAAAAACACACTGAGACAGATATGTGCAGATTTACATACAAAGAGCATTTCAGAGCACTTTACAGGGTAAATGTGGAATAAACGGGATCAGAAATGAACAGGGATTTGAAGTTCATGAAATGTCAACAGTGAAGAAAATCTTTGCATATATTGCCCTTTAAACACATCTTTCATTGGGCTGTCAAACGTTTGTGTACGGGTGAAGCTACTGGGCCTCTGTAGATGATTTTCTTCAAAAAGCTGCCAAATATGCAGCCTTCCAATATTGAAAGGGGCTCTTCTGGATATTCTGTTTACAGTCTATTATGATTGAGTAAATTTCAGCAGCATACAGTAAAAGTAAAAATATTTATTTAATAATTGGCAATGCAAATGTTTTTTTTCACAATTTGGTAATATTTATCTTGGAAATTATGAAAAAGCCACTTAAAGTCCCATCAAGGAAACAAAAGACTACCTTTGGTCAAAACAATCTCATCGTAGTGTGATAATGAGATAAGATGTCCCTGAGAAGAATTTGGACGTCAAAGCTGCAGCACCACAACATAATGCAAACGCTGTCTTTAACAGTAGCAGGGTCCTGGGGCAGTATACTGTGCATCTTACACACAGCATCGCATAATAGGGAAACATGTCTGATTCATAGTGTTAACAGAATGAAAACATTGGTGCAAGAAATGGATAAATAAAACATGTGCGGCAATCATAACTTTATAATGCTCCCTGCAGGTGGAGGGGCTCGGGGATCTGATCCATGCTGAGACGGAGGCTCAGAGGAGACAGGCTCTCAGGCAGATGTCAGGAGAGCTGGGACGCCTTTATCAGGACTGGAGCCACAAACTGAAACGGGTAGGTCACTCACTGGTATGGTTTCCAAAATAAGCAGGATGACAAACGGATGTTTCCATCAGGACTAGAGCCCAGGGCTTAAAGGTGTCGGTTTAGTATGTGTGGCAGGAACAGAAAGTATAGTCTGGTCTCAAATCAGTCTTGAACACTTTTCTTACTTTTTGGATTCACCTTAGTCTCCGATGCTACAAGGTGTGAAGTTGAGTTTTTCCTGCTCCTCCTCCTTTCTCCTAATAATAGAAGATTAAAAATGAACTGAATTATTCTGTACTATTAAAAACCTGTTTGTGTAATGGTCCTCTCGTTTATACACAAAGATCAGTTTGGATGTTGGAATAGTGTAATCAGACTTTTTATTTGCTGGGCTTTTCAACTTTGACTTGATCTCAACCACCTTTGGACCTCGACCAACCCAACCAGACCTAGTATTTAAGGTGACAGGTGAACAGGGGGCCTTTAGAAAGTCTGTTGTTCTGTCTAATTCTGAGTAAGCATGGCAGCAAATACAAGCCGAGCTCCTGGAGTTCTTCCCTGGAGAGACATTGTGCATGTTCATGTCTGACATTTCTTGGAAAAAATGTCAGTACTGTGCTGTAGGTCAGGCCTCAATAGTTTCACACCCAAACAAAGCTTTCTTTATTCGTATCACCACAGCTGCTTTTTCAACACACCATTGATGGATTAATGGGAATCTGAGACTTCCTGTTTTCATGTTGATGTAGCACAATACCGAGAATCAAAATACTATCTGTATGGTACATGTCTAAATGTATTTTTTATTGTAAACAGGAATAGAAAAAAACAGAGAACTTGCAAAATAATTAATTGAGTAGATTGTGTTTCATTTGACTTCATGGAAGGGAAAGCCTTCCTGGATTTAAGATAACACATTGCTAAATTATTGACGCAGGTAAATAAATTAGTGGTTTCACAGGGATAATAACTGATGATATTTGTGTATAAAAATCTGATAAACATAAAAAGAAAAGAAAAAAAAGTTTTATTAGTCGTCATATACTCATACATGAAATGTAACTTCTGCATTCAAGCCATTCCTAGCTTATTGGGAGCAGTGGGCTGCTGAGAAGCGCCCGGGGAGCAGTTAGGGGTTCATTGTCTTGCTCAGGGACACTTCGGCACAGGACTCGCAGCAGTCAAGGACCTCGCGGTTGCCGGACGACCTTCCCTACCCATTGAGCCACGACCGCCCCCAATGCAGAAACATAACAATATCAAAATATGATCCTGTGTGAAGTACAATACTCTATTCACTCAACCTAATCATTTAAATTAGTTGGGAAGGTAATGTAATTGATCATATAATTAATAATATTATATAATCCTTCCTTCCAGGAAACCTTAGTAACAGTATATTTCCCAGCAGATAAGAGCATGTTTTTCAACAACCATACAATTTGATTCACAGAACTATTGATCTAATCCTGCACTGTTTGCCACCAGAACTGAGTCGGTACCGCTGAGCGACCTTGTTGAGCTGTTAATTCGTACTATACCACTAGTGACGCTCAAAGGCCCATCTCTATTTTTGATTCTTGACTTTCTAAGAACAAGAAGTTTTTGAAAAGCAGTGCTTTTTTTAATGTTTTCCCATCTCGGCACATCTGGCTTTGTATTGTTTTGGATGGATTAAAGATGAATTATCCCACGCACAGCTGCTGTATGTATTAAGACAGGCACACAATGAAGACATGGATGTATTCTGGGCAGCAGAATTGTTTTTCTTATCTAAACATTATTCTGAACTGTGCACCACATCATACAGATAAGGGTAGAGTAACGGAGGAAGAGTGAATGCAACTGTAAAAACAGGGGTTGGTGACCTTGCTGATGTTGAATGCTACGTATAGCTTGTGTCATATTTCGCCAGGACACATGAACACATATAAATGAGTCTTTGGTTCTGCATTGGGCTCCCTGTTTTGGCTTAGCAAGCTGCCTTGCTAATCCAGGGAGTATCTTCAGAGCAGAGCCATCAGGGCCAAGCATAACTGTATCTCCATGTGTTGCAATAACTGGTTAAATATATGACAGTGTTCCTGACTGAATGATGATACGTGTGAGAGCAGCAGGTCATTGACTGCAGATGAACACTTCAGCTTAATGGATGCAGGCCAAACCCCCCTCTACTGTGAATTGTTTCTAAGAATATAGACAAGGGATCTTTTAATTCTTTGGCACCAGATCTGACCAACCAGGTGATCTCCCTTTAGCAACTCTGTTAAGATGCTTGTCGACAGTTCCTAGAATCAATTCGAACGAGCCTCTAGTTTGGAGTCAGATTTCTGGGAATCCTGTTAATCAGACGTATACCATCTGTATGATGCAAGGGGTCAAACCCTTATTTGACACCAAAACAATGCAGTTTTTCTTCCCACTTTTGTGATTGTATTAAAGTATGGGAATCTGACGCTTCCTGTTTTTGTGCAGCTGTACTACTATTGTGTTAATGTTCCGCTTGTCAATCAAGATACAGATCGGCGCTGCTGTGGAAACACTGAAGCTTTTCCCCCCTCTGTATTCTACGTAGTTTCAAATACATTTCAAATTTGTGGCAATGACGTGAAGTAGCAACATGACTTGCTGCACCTGATGTAAGACTGGTCCTGGAAAAAGACAGAGGAGGCGATTTACATTTTTAATGTTGGTGTCTAATTGTTTCTATACATGCACTGTATCAATGTATGGTTGAACACCGTTACAAAAATCTTTGCATTTGTTGCATCTGTTGTCACCTTGAGCTCTGTGAAAATGTCATTTTCTTTTTCACATTTTCACACAAAATAATTAAACTGTTAAATTAAAATTGTTTCCCTAAATCAACATAGTTATACTACAACACCACACTCATGAAATATGCCATGAGAGAAATTACCAATGTTACTGAAAACGTTTTAAATATGTGGAGAGTGTTTTTAATGTATTTGCTTAGGTATGTAAGAATCGTTTAGATTCTCTCCTTTGGATGAAAATAGCATATTGCACAATAATATATTCATGTAAGCAGCTGCAGCTGCCTGTTTACTGTCACTCACGTTGTCTGTGCCCCCTGCCCAACTTTTAAAACTTCAACATGCAAATAATCATTACATTATAAATGGAAAGAAATTTGCTCAACTTTTGAGCCCCCCCCCCCCAACTGCTGATTTTGATGTTTTCAGGGTATCAAGGTGTTAATTTCACACACTGATTTCAGCCTCTTCCCTTCTCTCCTCTCTCCTTTGTGCGTCGCACAGTATCTGGCTCACGTCGAGGCCTTCATAGACTTCAGTGAGGATGAGCTCATTGAGGATGGGGTCTTAAACCAAGGTATGTCTACACTTTGTCCTGCTCTTTACAGGAGACACATTTCAGAACAGTCACCCCATGGGCTTTCAGAGGGGTCTGTTTCTGTCTGAAGAGAGAGGGGTCTGGCTGGATTTCCTGTTTGGATCGCCAACTGGCCATCAGGTGTGTTTCTGCACTGTAGGGAGAAGTATAGACCTCAAACTGCTTAAAAGACAATTTCCTTTTAGGAAGTGTGGAGAGAAGGCCAGAGGGACAGTAGAGGCATTCGTCTTACCTTCAAAGCCAACCTGACAAGCCAATCTCACAGGAATAGTGCTGTCAGCAGCAATGTACAGTCCGTGTGCGTGTGTGTGTTCAAGGGATGCCCCCCCCCCCTTAGTGTGTCTCCTGCTTTCTGGCACTGGCAAAGCCTCGGATGTTGAGAAGTTCAGACACAATAAAGCCTGGGAACGGTTGTTTGTTTTGGTGGCACGGAATGTGGACTTGCGCCTCAGAGTGGCAAATAATAAGACTAATTTCCAAAAATAGAAAACCTGACATAAGTACTTTAACATCTGAAGACATACAGCAAATGACATGCTTTATATCTGAAGTTCTTTTCTGTTTTTTCTCAAGTCATCCCAAGTTGGATGAATTAATGTGCTTGAGACAATCAAAATAGTTTGAATTATATGTAGGTACTGTAGGTATTGCTTTGGATTGTCAAAACTATTCTGCTTTAGACACATGCGGAAAGAGACATGTCCATGACCCATTTTTCGTCCAGGCGAATGGTGTCAGACACCAGACAGGCCTTTGTCCTTCAACGGACAGAAATTCCCTTCACAAGGCCATGAAAGTGAAGTTGTTTACGAAACCTTTGTGACGTCCCGTTCCTTACTCTGTCTTTATCTCCTCAACTCCCGCAGTGGATAAATGGGTGTGTGATCTGCAAGCAGAGATGGAGCGCCACCTACAGGATGAGAGGAGGGGCGAGCGGCTACGCAGCGGAGTCCAGGTGGTCATCGCAGGAGCCACCAATGCAGGGAAAAGTAGCCTCCTGAACAAACTCTGTAAGAGAACCAAGAAAACCAGCACATACACACAGCGTGAAGGGATTAACACAAAGTATGACTTACTATCATCTATATACAGACCTTACTGTTCAATCATACCGCTGTCAGCCATGGTTTGGGAGGGAAAGAAGGCAACATCTGTCATCCTATAAGCAGCATGGACGCGCAAAGTTTTGAGAAATGTGTTTCATTCATATAAACACATTCTGTGTTCCATGCACAGAAAGTGAGAAGAATCATTTTCCTTGACAAGATGGGATTTTGTGCATTCTGACATTGAAATAAAGCAGCATGAAAGTAGATTTTGGAGTTGGCGTTATAAAAAAAAGTGGCCTTTAACTCCAACAACCAGGGTTCAGTTTCAAATAACGACAAACATTCATAAGTTGTTATTTTCATCACGTCATGCTTGTTTTTCCACGATCTCGCAAAAGTTTGAATAACAGTCTCTTCTTAGTGCAGGAATGTAATCTCATAATCAGCACAATACTCAATCTGTGAACAGTAGCTCCTGCTCCTGGCACACATGAATTACAATAGTCCGACTTTTCCAGATACAGATTTAATTGCTTCCAGACGATTAATAAAGAAATATCTATAAATATATAAAGGTAAACAGTAAAATTGTTGCTTTTCAAGTTTCTCCCTCTAAATTAGTTCTTCCCTTGTTTATCCACACTTGGTGGCAACCTAATGAATCCATTGTTTATGGTCTAAGGTTATGTTTGTTTTGGATATGGTATCCTTAATCATTTACAATCACTCTATATAAACTATCTAAAGAGGGGGCTTGGCAGGGTCTCCTCACAGCTTCCTATCAGAAGAATAGACATATTTATCAAACCAGATAAAATCCTGTTATCATTTCCTCTTGTGATTAGTCTTGTTGGCAGTGTTATTTCACATGGGATACATTGGGGATGTCTGCCAAGTACTTGAAAAGATAATACAGAAATTATGACAAAATATCTTCGGGTTTGTTTGCGTAATGCAGAACTTTAGTAGGTATAGATTTTTCTAATTGAAGCCGATAAATAATGTGACTGTTGCCACATTTGATTAAATATTTGATTACAGAAAAATCCAGTGTGATGCAGAAAAAACATTTACAAATAATGTAATATGTAAATAGTTCATCCTGGATTGTAGACACTACAGCTATACTGTCGGGTATTACAATCTTAAAGCTAGGGTTGGAAATGTTCTTCAACAATTCGTATTATATTTGTGCAAGTTCTCAATATATCCCGGCAGGACAGCAATAAATCAAATGCTCTGAAAAGAAATCTGGTAATTGTTGCAGGACTGTAGTAAGCCTGTCCTATCATTGTATCTATAATCTTTTAGGAGAAACGCATTAGGCTTGGGGCTGACACAGACAGAGTAAGGAAGTCAGAAGGTGTTGAAAGTCAGGCTAACATTGTTAGTTTCGGTCTTTTAATGGGATTTGTAGACAAAAAGAAAATAAACAATAATACCAACCTTATCCCTTAACCTTTTTATCTCCAGGCCAGAGACCTGCAGCCATTGTGTCTCCCATTGCTGGCACCACCAGGGACATAGTAGAGACGGCACTGGACATCGGTGGATTCCCTGTCCTGTTGAGTGACACAGCTGGCCTCAGAGAGAGCCCAGACCCGGTGGAGAGAGAGGGGGTCCGCCGTGCTCGGCAAAGGTAGGGGGAGAAAACCCTTTTAATATTAATATTTAAGAAAAATAAGGAAATTTGCTCAGTTTTCCTGCGTTTAAAATTGTGATGAGGCAGACCAAAGATATTATTATAGTATTAACAATGTTTTAACTACAGTATAGTGACACACATGGAGAACATCATGTGTAGTAGTACTTGTGTCTAATATAACACAAAACTAATTAGCCATGGGACCAATATGTCCTTGAAAACAAAGAAAGGAAGAAATAAGTCATTGCTTTTCCCCTGTACATCGTGCTATATTTTTGTAGTGTGGATGTAGCCTCCAGAGTTTATATTATTGCTCAGCCATAGTTATAAATACATGGGACAAACACTCTCAGGAAGGGTGCGTAATGAAGAGCCTCCTTTCCGTGTTGTAGAGTATTTACCATTAAGAGGTTCTTCATGTGTGGTGTAAAGAATGGACATATATGGCAATTCGTGACAGCTGCTTCCACTATTTACACTAGGGAAGAATAGCAGTACTTGCAGCGTGGGTCATCGCTGTTTTATCATATACAAACTGACAATCAGACGTATGGGCACGCTAGCACATACTAATAGTATTAAATCAGCTCTTATACACAGACACAGACATGTTTTGTGACATGATTTTTGGAGTTAGAGAGCAGGAGGAAAAGAGTGGGCCTAACCCCCAGAAAGACCAATGTTTCCACAAGTACTTGTGTTCTTGGCAGGGGGATAAAGCATCCGACACATCCATTAGATATTACATCACTACATGGGACTAATATCAATTTCATTTGTTTGACATTTAAGGGGACTTGCCACACCTTTTCACTCTGAGAGAGTTCTGTTGAAAGTGTATTTCATTAAGTAAATATATTCACAAAATGACAATCTAAAGATTACTTGTTGGCTCATGCCGCAGGAAATGAGTCACCAAGCACTTCAGTGAAAATACAGATGTAGATGTGACTACAAAAACACTATTTTCAAAAGAAACATTCTGTAATTCCTTTGCTGTTTGTTTAAGTTATTTGGGTGCCCTGTTGGCTCTATAGGAAGGGTGGGCAGTTTGTATTCTACGGGGAACTTTTTGTGCAGGGAGCAGGTCAGAGGCTTGTGACCTGGGTCACTATAGGAAGGATGTGGTCAGTACAAGCATCCGCTGGTGCTGCTAACTGCACAGTGGGACTAAGATACAGGAGTACTTAAAGTCATTATAAATATTGCTGCCATTATTCACAGTATTTGTGGGCCACAACGTGTTGTTTCTGAAACAAAACAACAAAGAGGCTCATGGTTTGCTAACCATGTGAATTTAAGAGTACAAAAAACAAAAACTATATGACAAAATGCTGATGTGATCATATGAATAATTCCAGATCAAAAGTTGAGGCCATTTCCTTTTTTTCCAGAGTGGAACAGGCAGATCTGACCCTGGTGGTTGTGGATTGTGCTCATCTACCTTCTGATGCAAAGCAAGCTGTAACCTTCCTTCAGGGGCACCTCAGCAGTGTCCTGCCCACTCAGGAGCAGCCTGAGCCAGGTATGATATCTTGGCCTCACGCTGCTTCATCTGGACTGTCAGTGATGTTTGGGATCATATTTTCAAGTCACTTCAAGCACAGTGAATGGTATAGTTACAGACTCTGGCAAAGTTACATTTTTCTCCATCAAACAACCTCAGTTCTTTGCTTTTAAGCACAAGTGTTACATTTATTGTGACACCAGTTGTTCACGTATACCTTCAGCTTATCATGCATTATTAAATGGTGCCAGAGAGTAATTCGACGTCTACTTACTTTGGATTACTGCAGGTGGAAATTAAGCAGGATTCTAGAGAGTGTACAGGCTTGAAAGAGAGTTTATAGCCATTGAGACCATTTAAATAGAAATTTCAGTGCCTGAAAGAGTAATAGTTGAATCATTCGTAATTGATCAACTTTTTCTTCATTCCTTTATTACCACAGTATTTCCTGCAGACAGGTTTCTTTTGGTGCTCAATAAAACTGACCTGTTGCCTGAGGAGCAGAGGCTGAAGCTGGACAGGGAGCTGAGACGGGTCTCTGGACTCCCTCCTGTTTGTCAGATTTCTTGCTACACTAATGAGGGACTGCAGGACTTCCTTGCAGTGCTGCACAGCAGTGTCAAGATTCTGTGAGTTTCTACAGTTACTCATGTTTTCTTGTTCCAAAGCAAAGACTGCATATCTCAAAAAAGACATAAAAAGGTAATTGTGTAGTATGTCCTAAAAAAGAAACTTATAGTATGTCATATGTCCTAAAGGGTCATAGTATAGTATGTCATAAAATGTAATCAAAAATGTCATAATACAATGTCATAGTTCCACAGTGTCTTTTAAAGTTGGTTCTATCCTTTCCAAAGGACAAAAAAACAACTCTATTTCAATCATTTTGTTATTTAACTTCCTCTCTAGGTGTGGCGACCCTCTGTGTTGTGCCCCCACCCTGACCCAGGCCCGCCACAGGGCCCACCTGCAGCAGTGTTTTGCGGCCCTGGCTCAGTACCAGCGATATCGTGACATTGACCTCGCTCTGGCAGCCGAGGGTGTCCGGTTGGCTCTCACGAGTCTAGGCCGGATCACTGGACGTGTTGGGGCAGAGGAGATCCTGGATATCATCTTCAAAGACTTTTGCATTGGAAAATAGTCAGTTGAGTATCAGCAAAAACATGAAATACTAATATTAGTCTACTCGCCTGCTCAGAAAGGAAAGGCTGCATTCTTGTATCGGTAAAGAGAGGGCACCGCCCCGTCATTATGCCTGGTTTCGAGGCCCTACAAGAGTGAAAAGAATAAAAATGTGTGTTCTTTGCTGCAGGGTCACTCTGCTCCCAAGACACGTAACTATTTGTTTTCTGTTGATGCTCTTCAGAAGACTGAAATAGTTTTCACAAGAGGACAGGTGCCTCGGAGGCCCCATGTGCTGGACAAGAGTTCTGCAAGTCTTGAGTCATAATTTAAATATAGCTTCGGAAAGCCTTTTTAATAGAGGAGCATTGGGCTCTTGGGTCGCAACATAACAGCCAAGATCATTTCAAATACAGCCAGCTACAGACCTCTGCAAGGTCATGGATGTTTACTTGTACTGCAGGACAATGACGATTGTTTTTATTTGGGAGCAGATATCATTACAGGTGTGTGCGCGTGTGCGTGCGTGTGCGTGCGTGTGCGTGCGTGCGTGCAGGTGAGAGAAATTGTATTATTTTAAACAAGTATTTGTTGTATTATATACGCATTTATGTGTAATAATTGGGACAATGTGTGTTTTCATAACGAATCAAATGTACGTCATGAATCGGAGACCACAGAAGGAATCTGAGAAATAAGGGCTGATTGCCTTTAAACCTACATTATTAATTTATTCTCACAGCTAGTAGGTAGTGCAACAGGCCGTAAACACAACATCAACAGCATCTTAGGGTTGTTACGACTAATGAGTCAGTTGCCTATTTACACATCCACCAGGAAGGGAACAATGTTGTCATCGTGTTTAAGTTGTTACTGTAACTAAAATGAATGTACGGCTTTAATAAAGGCACATCAAGCACCTCATTGCATGCACTTTCGTGATGTACCATACCACATTATGCGCTTCATGTGTTCATAGTACCTTCATCACGTGAAAGAAGTGTACTCTACTTACAAAGACTGAATTGATGAGGTCTAATTTCTTGCTACACTGTAGCTGTTGTCACATTGAGTACAAGTAAGACTATGCTCTGATTTATAGCAATGAAAACTACATGTTAAGTCCATCTCTGGCCATAAAGCAGGTAACATACATACAGTATAGTATGTAGAGAACACCAGAGTTTCCCAGCTCCTGCTCTGTGGGAAAGGGACAGTTTTTGGAGGCAGTGCCCTTTGTTCCCTTGTCAATCTTGCCTCGATCAAATATTTATGTTTCCTTGTTGAACTCCTCACCCTTCTTCCCCAGTTGGTTTCTTCTCGCCCAGTCTCTGACGACAGTTGCCCTGCTGTACACCATCATAACTCCCCGTCTCGCTGCCTTTTTGTCTCTCTCCACTTTGTCTCTGCTACCTGACCTTTCCTCTTTCCGCACTGCCCTGTCAGCCTTTTTTGTCCTCTTTCATGTTCACCCTGATTAATTACCACACAGGCGGAGTTTAAGCTGAAAGCGGGACTTGCTGTCGTACAAATTAGTGGCAATCAATTCTGGAGCTAGGTTCATCTTTGAAGTAGTGTCTGTGTGTGATATGTTTATCTCAACTGTGATGTGTGAAATGCGTTCGAAACCGAATGCTGATTACAAACTTAACCGGATATTCTATGCCAGAAGCAAAGCTTTTCCCAGTGACAGTTTGTGTTACTTGGTGCTATGGATACATCTCAGTCTATATATTTATACTTTTAGCTTTCTGTCCGTCAGTTTCCTGTAGTTGTGATTCATGGCCGTCCTGAGATGCAAGTTTGACGTAGCCAGGTCCAGTACCACCCTGTAGCCATTTGATTAGAAGTCAGGGCGTGTTTAGGTCTATACGTGGGGTTGAAAACACTTCATGTCAAACAAAGGATTTCCTGAGGACAGGAGGCAGACTGTCTTACCTGTAACACTCGCATCCATCAGTGCAGTCAGCCTGGGAGTTTATCCTCATGGGACGTCTTATACGACATTCAGGACTCTTAATTATTTGTTCTGTCTAAATGGTAATATTTCCATGTGCGATGCAAACTTGAAAATTGAGATTCTGATTCATGAACGCTGATTTACGCAGTTTAATGAACAGTTTAATTTACTACTCTAGTTAAGTTAACATTGAAATGAATTGATAGGGAACAGAACAGCCTGTAAGAAGTCGTGTGTGTGTGTAGTTTTTAAAAATATAATCATAAAACAGTTAAAAGAAAACACAGCTGTTTCCAGGTGCAGCCCTGCATACGCTCGACTTGTGCTTATGAAAAGGAAATGGTAAAGCCTGAGAACAGTTAATTCAACAGCTACTGCACTGAACTCGTAAAGGATCTAGTACTTCCAGTCTAATTCGTGCCAAATGTTTTCCTACTGATTTCTGAAACCGTTTTTAGGACTTCTAACGACTGGAGATGTGTTAATGACTTGGTCGTGTACAGTGCATCCGGAAAGTATTCACAGCGCTTCACTTTTTCCACATTTTGTTATGTTACAGCCTTTTTCCAAAATGGATTAAATTCATTATTTTCCTCAACATTCTATACACATCAACCCATAATGACAAAGTGAAAACTGTTTTTTGCAAATTTTTGCAAATCTATTAAAAATAAAGAACGAAAACATAACATGTACATAAGTATTCACAGCCTTTGCTCAATACTTTGTTGAAGCACCTTTGGCAGCAATTACAGCCTCAAGTCTTCTTGGGTATGATTCCACAAGCTTGGCACACCTATTTCTGGGCAGTTTCTCCCATTCTTCTTTGCAGAACCTCTCAAGTTCCATCAGGTTGGATGGGGAGCGTCGGTGCACAGCCATTTTCAGATCTCTCCAGAGATGTTCAATCGGGTTCAAGTCAGGGCTCTGGCTGGGCCACTCAAGGACATTCACAGAGTTGTCCCGAAGCCACTTCTTTGTTATCTTGGCTGTGTGCTTCGGGTCGTTGTCCTGTTGGAAGATGAACCGTCGCCCCAGTCTGAGGTCCAGAGCGCTCTGGAGCATGTTTTCATCGAGGATGTCTCTGTACATTGCTGCATTCATCTTTCCCTCAATCCTGACTAGTCTCCCAGTTCCTCCTGCTGAAAAACATCCCCACAGCATGATGCTGCCACCACCATGCTTCACTGTAGGGATGGTATTGGCCAGGTGATGAGCAGTGCCTGGTTTCCTCCAGACATGACGCTTGGCATTCAGGCCAAAGAGTTCAATCTTTGTTTCATCAGACCAGAGAATTTTGTTTCTCATGGTCTGAGAGTCCTTCAGGTGCCTTTTTGCAAACTCCAGGCGGGCTGTCATGTGCTTTTACTGAGGAGTGGCTTCCGTCTGGCCACTCTACCAAACAGGCCTGATTTGTGGAGTGCTGCAGAGATGGTTGTCCTTCTGGAAGGTTCTCCTCTCTTCATAGAACAACACTGGAGCTCTGTCAGAGTGACCATCGGGTTCCTGGTCACCTCCCTGACTAAGGCCCTTCTCCCCCGATCGCTCAGTCTGGCTGGGCGGCCAACTCTAGGAAGAGTCCTGGTGGTTCCAAACTTCTTCCATTTCCGGATGATGGAGGCCACTGTGCTCATTGGGACTTTCAATGCTGCAGAAATTTTTCTGTACCCTTCGCCAGATCTGTGCCTCGATACAATTCTGTCTCAGAGGTCTACAGATAATTCCTTGGACTTCATGGCTTGGTTTATGCTCTGATATGCACTGTCAACTGTGGTACCTTATATAGACAGGTGTGTGCCTTTCTAAATCATGTCCAATCAACTGAATTTAGCACAAGTGGACTCCAATCAAGTTGTAGAAACATCTCAAGGATGATCAGTGGAAACAGGATGCACCTGAGCTAAATTTTGAGTGTCATGGCAAAGGCTGTGAATACTTATGTACATGTTATGTTTTCGTTCTTTATTTTTAATAGATTTGCAAAAATTTGCAAAAAACAGTTTTCACTTTGTCATTATGGGTTGATGTGTATAGAATGTTGAGGAAAATAATGAATTTAATCCATTTTGGAATAAGGCTGTAACATAACAAAATGTGGAAAAAGTGAAGCGCTGTGAATACTTTCTGGATGCACTGTATGTATTGTCAATACGGCTGTAGTAGAAATTCAATTTGTGAACCACCAGGAAACATAAATGTTGCTATTTTAAGAGTATTCTGTTTATAGCAGACAAGTGAGCAGCTGCTGCCCAAAGTCCTGTCTGAGTTGTTGTACTTTTAATGACGGAGAGGAACAAGACTGAGGACAATACAGTTCAGGAGTGAGTCAGTTTTTGGTTCATTTAATTTGGTTTTGAATTTTCTAACAGCAGAAAGCACAAAGAGTGACACAATAGAAAAATATTTACACCAGTGTCATGGAGATTTGTACATTTACCTTGGAAGTTACCAAGGCTATTCACAGCAATTGTAACTATCAAACAGTAAATGTAAAATACAAATGAATCAGCTATTCCACAGAGAAAAGAAAAAGCATGCACAGACCAACAACAGTAATATGTAATTAATATAAACTTAAAGTATTTACAAGTTGTGTTGAATCAGGAATATATACTGTACATGTCGTCCTTAAAAATGTTTAAAGGCAATATGTTGATCACTGTGGTGCCTGTTGTGTGCCTTCCGCTTCATTTCATCTCCCCTGAAAAGACAAAACATTGATAAGTATAATCAAATATCAATGACAGCAATGAGGTCTTGTTTCAGCACAGTTTCACATGAAGACCACCAAAGAACTAGAATGATGAAAGATCAAACTTTGATTAATCTTCTTTTTAGGCTTAAATGTAATCACATGCTCTGTACAGTTGCCAAAATACTGCACTTACTGTACAGTGTTTACACTTCATATGAATATTATATGATCTATTAATTGTGTTTTATTCACATATAAGATTTACCGTTGGAGTTTTACTGATGCCAGGTGCTCCAATAGAGGCCTGTAGGCTGGCAGCTTTAGGAACACCGGACTGGAAAATAAATGATTATTTCAGTATTTAACATTATAAACACACATACCACATATATTTTACTTTTTCTGAGGGTGCATGGACACCTTCGCTGCACACACATTGCTGTGGGGTTTGAAATGGGGCATTTTGTGAACTTATGACTGCTTAAAAATGTTTTCCGTTGTTATCTTGCCTGTCCATCCTTCCTGCTTCTGCCCTCAGATTCCTCTTTTCTGCTGAGTCCACATATATCCACCACCTTACCTCTGCACTGCTGTCCATGTGATCAGTGAAGTACTTATCTTATCCAAAGGCACGGGGGGTGCATACACTCCAAATACAAGTTATTTAGCCAGATTGTCTTTTGAGAGCAGCTTAGATTATGCTTTACATAAACCGAAAAATGACTATCGTAAATAAATGAATGGAGGTTTGAAATCACTTGTGGGCGCTGCCTTCCCTCTTTTCCTTTCATATGTCTGTACAGAGTAAATAGCTGGTCATCTGTTTTTATTTTACCTTGACATTGGGCTGAGCAGAGAGCATTCGCTGGAGGGTCTGAATCTCTCTGTCTCTCAGGGCCAAACTGTCTTCCTGCAGCTTCTTCTGTTCTCTCAGACGATTCTGCTCAATCAGTAATTTCTCCACCTTCACAAAATATGCATGTTTTATTTTAAATGGAAACAATGTAAAAAAAAATAAAATATATATCCCTTTATTTATTTCATGCTACTGTAAGTTCCTGTTAAACAGTGGAAGAGTATACATTTTACAATGGCAGTCACATTTTTATAACCAATAACTGAGGGAATCAGCTTGTTCCATGGATCCCGCTGGGTTTCCATTTCACTTTATCTCACACACACACACACACACACACACACACACCTGTAAAGAGAGACTTAAGTATGTGTAAATTACTTTTTATTTTCACACACACAATATCTACCTGGTCGTCATGAGACTTTTGCGTGACCTGCAGCTGCTTGGCTGCCTCGGCGACCGTCTCGCTGCGTTTGCGTTCACACTGCTGCTGTTCAGAAGTCAAATGTGAGTTTTGCACCTCCAGACGACTGGACTTTACTTGGATCTCGGCCACCTGAAAGAAGAAAATCATTTTTTTTCTAAATAAATGTGATATAATCATCTGATGCCATGTTTTTCCTTTTAAATGTAATACTTTGATAGGCTGAAAATCACTCTCATATAATGGGCTGTGGTTGAAAAATGTGTCATACTTGACTGCACCAAATGTTTCCAGATGGCGCCGTTACATAATTGTCTAACAATGTGTCTATTTCTATCTATCATTGTGAGTGTTTCTTAATGTACATTTTCCTCAACGTCACAGTACATTCATGAAATTTTTACACGGAATGTCTCCCTGAGGGACTTTGCTATTTAGATGCCTGTGAATGAACGCAAATGATGTTCCATCCATAGAAATAGAATGAACATTGAACTGTTTGCTGTGGTCATTTGACGAGTCTAGAAGAATATGGCAATTAGCACGGTGCATTGACCATAGACATGGAATGAGTTAGCCCACTAGAACGGTCACAGTTCTATCCAATGGCAGTAGTACATTACGTATGAAAATGACATCCACTCTGATCATCCTATGTTCATCTGAATAGGAAGGCTCTTCTAAATTCATTTTATTTCAATTGGCATACTATACAATAACTTTTGATATGCCAAAATATGGCTTTTTGTATTACATTTGTCCTTCATACTCGGAACTTTTTTCCAGTGATGTTAAACTGGACTACATTATACTGAGAGGTGTTTAGAATGTTTTGCCCACCACCCTAGGAAGCAAGTTTTGATCATTTCATAAAATTTGATAACATTAAACTCAACCACAAATGCCTGTAATGCGTGTATACTGAGTATATTTGGGTTTTAGTCTGTTGGTCACAGACAAAACAAGACATTAAAAGAGTGTCACAAGCACTCTTGGTAAATGTGATGGGCATCTTTTATGTCATCTTCTGACCTTCTGAAGACCAACCATCAAGAAATCAAGAACTAATTTGGCAGATTCATTGGTAATGAAAATAATATTTAGAGTTGACACATTTTTTAAAGAGAAATTGGTCATGTAGCTATGAATTGTTTGTTGCCGTTGTCATTAAATTGTATGGTCATTTTACTGTATCATTGTTTGTGTTTCTTCTTGAGTTTTGTGTATAAAGGCCAATGTAGGGACGGGCACTACAAACTGGTGTTGGCTATAGATGCTCTGGTGTGTAATGTTGGTCCGTGTTATAAACTTATCCCTACAAAGATAATCATGAATAGAAATAAATTGGTTTAGAATTTTGCCTATGGGCACAAAATGGTAAAAAATGTGTAAAACAAAAGTTAACAATTACCACCGGTCTTTTGACAAAGGAGACAAAAGTTAAAACAGTAAGTTCATGAAGAAGTGATGATTTATTAAAAAGCTTGCTTAGGGTATGTAGTTGTTTTGCTGCACTGTGCTGCTGTATCAGCAGAGACAAACGCATTTACTTTTTTACTTTGACTCCGAGGTCACCTCAGAGGACGTCTGTCTCTTCAGCTGTAGTTTTAATGTGAATGATTCACTTCCTCCCTTGAGAAACTGGTTTCCCGTTCAATTTGTTACTTGGAATATTCCATCAGAGTTACGGAGTGTAAAAGAAGTACAAATTCGGAAAACTATAATTTTTAGATAATGCTACTTTATACTACTCCACAACATTGAGGAGAGAATTGTTTTTACTTTTTACTGCACTACATTTAATTGACATAAGTCACTATTTACTTTTCCAATCAAGACTTTACATAAGAAAGAAAGGATGGGTTAATAAAATACAACGTATTTTGTATTATATAATCTTGTTACACAAGATTTTCCCACTATACTGATCAGATGCTTTCACTTAAATTACTTTCAGAGGCCTGAAGAGGTAAAATTATCCAATATTTTTTTGAAAAGCAACTATCTATCAGAACTTCTTTTTGTCTGTTCTACCTCATGAATCATCTCATGATCCTTATGATGGACCAGACCCGTAGTTCTGCAGAACAAGCAGTTTTACTTTTGATAATTGAAGTAACTTTAGCTGATAATGCGATGGTGTATATATATATATATATATATATACTATATATATGTGTATCTTTATGTGTTGTAGTAGCTGTGAAATAATTTTTCCCTCTGGGATAATATATCCAAATCTCTCTCTCTGCTAGTTTTGTACTTTTACCCAAACAGGATTTTAACTTGAGGATCTGAGTATGTCGTCCACCACTGCATATAAGTTGATGTATGGGTAAATTCTAGTTCCTATTAATGTAAAAACAAAATGATGTCACTGCCTACTCCCTCTAATTTTAAATATAACATCAAATGAACACATATGTAGAATCACTTAATATCTTGCACATACCGTGTTGCCCACTTTGTCTAAATACAGCTGGAACTTGTTCTCTACTTCTCTGGACAGGTTTGTGCAGCTGTTTCTGATCTTCTCCATCTGCTCCTTCTGGCTGTCACAGGTGAGGTGAAAGGTCAGCTGGTGGGGAAACAGGTTGTTGATCTTGGTCAGGAAATCGCTGGTCACGATTTTGATCCCGTCCAAAGAGTGAGCAAAGTCCTCTTTGCACTTCCTGGTTGAAAAACAATATTAAACAAAAAACTTGAATGTGTTTAATCTTAATATTTTCAGATACAAACACAGAGCATGTGGAGAAACAGTACCTGGTGTAGGTGGTGAGCTGCTCCTTCAGCATGGTGTTCTCCCTGCGCAGGGTGATGGCATCCTGGTGGTGTGTGTCTCGGTCTTTGAGGGCGTTGTCTCTCTGCTGGCTTAGGTACTGAACCGTCTGGGTGAAGTTTGCCTCAATGAGGTTTATCATCGCTTTCTGCTGAGCGTTGAAGGTCTGCAAAGTCTTCATTTCACCTGGAGAGTTCAGTGGAAAGCAGTATTATCACAGGAACTTTTAAATAGGCACTTTTACTTTTAGTCACACTGACATTTTTCTGACATAATATTCTGGTTCCTTTTTCTAAGTCACCCTTTACAAAGTGTAACTAATGGCATTGATGTTTAGTAATTCATGTTTTATAGATCGGTTATTAGACATTAGTTAGATAACCTTTGGATTGCCAGGATGTCAGTTAGTCACCAAAGGTGAGGTCATTAATCAATTAATCACCCAAAAGTTACAAGACATTAAGACATTAATAAAATGTCTTGTAACCGATCTATAAATCCTAAGTAAATTATTTATTAACCATAAATAAAGCCATTAATTAAAACTTAGATACCCTGAATAGAGGGTGCCTTATTAGTACCAATATTATTTTTACTTAAATGCATCCGAAAACAATTTGCTTTACTTGCCAACATCTTGTCTTTTCTGAACCACATGGACTTTAATTTTACTGTACATTTATATATTTATTATTTTACACATACATTCATTATTGCCAAAATTTCTGATGTTCATCAACAGTCATTTTTTTAAAATATTTAAACGGTATTATAGAGTTAGATGAAGTCTCCCAACAGTATAGAATTGGAGTGCATACCGCTAGTAGTGACCAAAGGAGGAAGCTGGATCGGAGGGGAGGGACGACGCGCCATCATGCTGAAGTGTGCACTCATTCTCTCACAGCTAGCCTGTACATCGAAATTAAAAAAATTAAAAACTAAAATGTATTAAATATATATTTATTTATTTACAGGATGATTCATTTTTTGTTTTATTTTATTAAGATAGCGACTAATAGTGGTGGAACTTAACTCAATACATTTACTCAACTAATGTACTTAAGAACAAATCGGAGGTACTTGTACTTTACTTGAGTTTTATACTTCTTAATACATTTTAGGGGAAAATAATAACATTTTTACTCTATTACAATTATCTGACAGCTTTAGTTGATTTACAAATTAACAAAATTACATACAAAAAATATGAAGAGCGTATGTTTGTTACAAATTAAACTATCCAGCAGTTTATACAATAAGAGCTGAAAATATTTGATAAATCGATGAGCTGATTGACGGAAAATCAATCAAGAAATTACTCTGATAATCATTTAAGTAATTTTTCTTGTAAAAATGAAAAACGTTTCATGGTTCCAGCATCACTAATGTGAGTATTTGCTGCTTTTTCTTTGTGATTATTTTAATAAATTCTAGTTTTTCTTTTTCAATAGTTGGTCAAAACGATCAGTGTGGAGGTGTCACTGTGGGTTCTGGGTAATTCTGATTTTCATTTCAAGTTTTACAAACCAATCAATCAATCAATCGATTAATTGGGAAAATATTCTGAAGATTAATCAATGATACAAAATCATTGGTTGCACCTCAACCAACTACAAGTAAAAATCCTGCTTTTACATTAACCCATAAATACTGATATAATATATAGTCACATGGGCCATTTTTTTGCATTGAGTACTTTTAAGACTTTAGCTATATTTTCCTAATTAAAGATAAATACTTTTATTTAAGTGACATTTTCAATGCATGGCTTTTACTTGTAATGGAGTATTTTTACAGAGTGGTATTAGTACCTTAAGTAAAGGATCTAGATTCTTGTTCCACCACTGGTCACCAATAGGAAAACTAGAACAATGCCTAAAGAAATATTCATGTTGTATAATTACTTTAACCTTAATTTGTACTTGTTGTAGAGAAGTTCTTAAAGAAGATCAAGATGTGTTAAAACTACTTGCACAAAACGACCTGCTTCTCTTAGCATTATATTAATCAAGTCATCTACTTACTAACTTCTCCTTTTGCACAAGGTCTGATTTGTTAGCATCAGTCTTCAGCTTTGCCAGCTCTGTCTCCAGAGCAGCTTTCTCAGCTGTGCGAGCTGCCAGCTGAGCTCCCACCTCGCCTTTCTCCTTTCTCAGCTGGATGTTGTTCTCACTCAGCCTGTTGAAGTTCAGCTCGAGATCCTTCAGGATAAGAATCAGAGATCTCTCAGTATCATCATCACTGTATTTTACAGCACTGAACATATTATATACATTCATATTATACTGTGACAGAAACACAACAGGCGAGTGATGATTGATGCTGCACAAACACTAAGTTCGATCAAAAGCATGTGGCAGAAATTATTCCATCTGATTCTTAAAGCCTCAGTAAGTTTCTTAAAGTCCCGCTTTCACTAAAAAAATGTTTTGCTTATTGTTACTACACTTGGGCAGTGTCCGATGGGTGTCTGATATACACCATATCAGCCACAAATTACCATTTAAACCCAAGTACAACGTCTTAAAAAAAGTTTTGAGAGTGACCTTTAATATCTGACAAAACAAACTATTAAATGAAGATTATACTAGAAGAAGTCACTGACCTGGACCCTCTTCTCCTCTGCAGACTTCTCTGGCTGTCCATAGATGAGGAAGAGCACCAGGCTGACGATGATCAGAGACTGGATCAGAGAGGAAAAAAAGAAGACGATCCTCATGTAGTAGCCGCAGCTCTTCCCTTTGGACTTGTGCAGGGGCTCCCTTGTCTCCAGGCCAAACTTGGCCTGGGAGTAGCTGGAGCTATACATGACTGGTGGAGGCGAAATGATGGCAGCTGGTTTCGGAAGAACTAAACAGGAAAAATCCACAAGGCTTCCCGTTCAGATGTGATCTTCTCTGCAGAGCGGGTGCTTCAAGGTGAACACAGTCGAGCAGAAATGGAATTAAAAAACTGTGGTGAGAAGTGTGTCTCTGTCTTCTACAGCTCGGCCTCGCTGCCAGGGTGATACATGTAGAAATGGCATGTATGATGGATGTAAACAGTGACCCGTAGGTGTGTAAAGGGGCCATGTTTATACATGCTGCTGGAGGCACACTTCCGAGTCCATCCTGGCCCAGCCCTCACCTCTCCTCCCCCATTGACCTCCGTCACAGTTACAGCTGCAACACCTCCCAAATTATTACACATTATTCTCGTGGGTGAGACAAAAGGAGATTATTGGGGCAGGAAGATTAACTAAGGATCTCCTCCAGGCATGTAGAAATATCCTGCTTCAACTACTAATTTGGGTCTGATATGATCTTTCCACCATAAGTTTGATAAACTTAATCTTACATCTACTCTTTCTCCTTCATTTAAAACAAAAATTGAAATCAAGTTACTGTCCTTTTAGCCTGAAATTTCCTCTTTGTGTTTCTCCTAAACTGTTTTGGAGAGATAGCAACAATGGGAGTGAATTTCACACTAACAAGACATAACTTAGGAAAATAGTTACTGTCTTCAGCTAAACTTTAGAGGTCATTTTTACACAGGGAGAAGCTTTTGTCCCTTAATTTACATTGAAATCAGAAGAATACTCTTTACAACCAATATAAACAGGAATAAAGATTACAGCAACCAAAAACCTTCAATCCAAATGTGGACATGTGACTGTTGTTTTAAGATAAACTTGAAAAAATGTGAACAAATCTTTTAATGTGCTCCACATGATAAAAAAATCAATACAGGAACCTTTACAGGTTAATCCAGGCAAGCTGTTGGGTATTTTAGCCTAAAATATATATATATTTTTTTTAGATAATTATATGTTTTGTATTTAAAATATTGACCTACAAAGTAAATAGTACAAGTGACAGATAATTGTAGTGGAGTAAAATGTATAATATTACTGTCTGAAATATAGTGGAATAGAAGTATAAAGTAGCATCAAATGCAAATACTCAAGTACCTTGAATACACGCACAGTTATTTTCCACCACTGTCTGCACGTGATATATAAAGAAACCAGAAAAGATCACCCATCAGTGCCACATTTAAATATAGCGACTACTGAATTCCTGATCCTATTCCCCTGGTGGAGGAACAACGTAAGCCATGTGAGGAGTCAAAGTAGAAAATGCCAAACAAACAAAAAGAAAAATCCACCATATCCTGTTCCAGCGAGCACGGAAAGGAGTCATGGCAGTGGAGGAGTGAAAGAATGAAAACAATAGAGACCTGTCATTCTTCAGGGATGAGGGAATAACAAATTCTCCCTGCAGGAGACACACTGGATCCCCCCCGCGCCGTTATCTGCGGCGATGACGTGAGGAACAGCCAGCTCTTTTGGGGAAGTGTGTAAAAGGGGAAAGGTCCTCTGAGGCCGGGGTTTTTCCTGCTCCCCATTGTCTCCCTGAGAACCTGCCTCACCGGAAGAAAAACTAATTTATGAAGGCATGTTAAGAGTGACAGAAAATGAGTGACTAACAGGAGTCGGGACAGACATCGGATCAACAGGAAACCAAACGGTTGAAGGCTGAGATAAAAACACCTCTAAAGATAACCGAGCAGACACATTTAGGGTCAGAGGAAAATATATCTTGACCATTGAAGTAATACTCGTGCCGTTGGTGGATAACGGATAAACAAAAGCTGCGATAACTGCTTAATCATGCTGTAATATATAAAGTGACACCGATGAAGCTCGGCAGTGAAGACGTCTGGAGATTTAAGGCAGAAAGGTTTAGTAAAATCTAAGACAGACGAACACTGATCAAAGCAACGAAAAAACTGACACTTAGAAAATCAGACTACTCTCTATCCTCATGGACCACAGAGAGGCCTTTGGATTCAGTTCAGTCCTCTAGAGACTCTGCTGCCATCTCCTGACAAAAACACAGAAAGCACATGTCAAAATGAAAAATCTGATTCGACATGCCTTTTTTTAATATCCAGAAATGGCTTAAAAAAGCTCATCCGTACAATGTGTTTCAAGTGCAGCTAGACTGGCAGTACGTGGGGCCTTTTTCACAATGTCACAGAGATCATTGTCAAAAGAGGGGCCGCTTCTACATTACTGTACATTCTTTCATTATCTGAGTAACACACAAGGCTGACATATGAACTTAAAATTAAAAAACAACCCATTATAAAACACAAAACACATTAAAACAGGCAACAAAAGGTGAAAATGACGAACTAAATGGGAAGGCAATATCACAGAAGTTGTGACCTCTGTGATACAGTGACATCATATTACAGTTTGAGAGTTTTTGATAGCTGGCCATTTGAGACAAATGCTTGCACCCTTTAAGACTCTGACAGATCAGTGGCGATGATTTGAAATAAAGATGTAATGGTAAGGGAGTAAGTTTAACAAAGCCTGATGCTTTAACCATCTTCCTTTATCTTCTACTTGTGTCCGGTTCCTGGACTTTCTGACATCCACTTCATCACCTCATTCCTCGAAAACCTCCAGCAGTTTTACAGCCAAAAAAACAGATCATTTATTACTTCCGTGGCTCAGAACAATCATGACTTTATGGAAACGCAACAAAAGAGTTAAGCAACCTGCTAAAACGTTTCATTAGAACTACAGCTTGTCACAAATATTCTTACAAATGATTTCTCGTCAGTAATAAGGTGTACTTAGAAAACCCCCAGCTCCTTTTCTAGTAAACTACAGTGTGTGCATTTCACAGGGAAACGGGGCTTCATGAGTGTGCCATGTTCTACACTGTCGCCTCAATGTCCTGGACGTCTTCCCCCTCCAGCAGGCTGTAAGACGCGTGGCTCTGGAAAGGTCTTTGTAAAGGGTGAGCCAGAAGTTTGGCCATGCAGTTGTGCAGCTCGATGGCGGGTCCACTCAGGGAAACCTCGAAGCGATAGCACATGCCCTTTGAGTCCAGGTTGCAGAAAGAGGTGTAGTTCTCCTGGAGGAAGAAAACATGAAAACATGGATGAAATGCAGCACCAGGGCAATATATAGATAACATCATCGTGTGACGTTAAGTTTTTCTTTGCTACTAAAATACACTAATGATACACCACACCAAACAAACGAGGCAAACTACAGCAGACATCCCGGCACACAATCAAATCGATCATTAGCTGATTCACTCACCCTCCAGCTGGTCTCATCCCCCTGCTCCTCCACCCCGTTGTGCAGGTAGACCACATCGAAGAAAAAATACGGAGACTGCAGCATTTTCTGTGGCAAGACACAAGAACAAGCGAGACTTTGACTTCAATGTAAAGTGAATGCACTGTTCAAAGCAGCCAACAACATACTAAGAGAGAGAGAAAAATCACATTCACATTAAAAAGAAACAACTGAAAAAGAGTGGAAGACAGTGGTCATCCTTACACTAACAGCCTCTGAAGGGCTGAACTGAAGCCGTCCTGCATGACGGCTGTAGACGAGCACAGTCCGCACCACATATGGAGGAGGGACGGTCTGAACATTGTCCATCGACGGCAGCTCAATCTTCTGACGACTTTGAAGATGAAAAAAAGAAAAGGAGGACCTTCAGTAAACACCTTTATCTCCGGTTTCATGCATTTTATTTAACAGACCAAAAAAGGTTTATAATCAGACAGCACTTACATTACATTAAGAAGATCTTCAAGGTCTACACAGGGACAGTTAAGGCTAAAATCTCTTTAAAAATGTCCAACTGTATGTACCGCTTCATTGTCTGGAATACGTTTTCATCATTGTTCAGGAGTTAGTTTTGAATACAAGGATACTGAAGGACTCGCACACATTGGTATCAAGGTCGTACAGACAGCTGCACAGCTCCCTGGGGTCAGAAGTGAAGCCTGACAACTGAGGAGCATACACAAGAGGAGGAAGAAGATGGCAATAATCAAGAAAGACATGTTACATTGCACAAACGTTCAGATTAAGACATTGCTTTACTCACCCACAGAGCGTCATCATTGACTACTACCAGGGCAAACTCATGCCGTTTGTCAATCTTGTGTTTAGTTCTGACAAACATCTCAATCATCTTCTGGGATATGTTCAGGGCATTTGTTTTTGACCTATTTGGAAAGACGGCCAAATTAGGCAGTGATGATGGATGAAATACGAGCACTGAGGAATGAAGGTCAACTTCGCTGTAGCTTACCCGTTAAAAGACTCCAACTTTGGCAAAGACATCTCTTCGGAAAGGTCTAAGCAGATGATCTGAAATGAAGAAAACCAGATAGAATAAGCCTCAAGGTGAGAATAAGGCTTCATTTTCACGTGAAACCTAAATCAGAACTGCTATGTGGGCCTACCACTTTCTCTGGACAGTTGACACGGGGAACTCTGAGCTGGTACTCTGCTGGTGGGGGGATGGGGGTTGTCAATGTGGGCTGCTGCGGTGTGGGCTTCGGCCTCTCTTTGGCCGCAGGGGCAGCAGTGGATAGTGGCACCGTGGCACTGGCTGCAGCCGCAATCGCTGCTGCTGCTACTACTACTGCTGCTGCAACAGGGGCTACATTCTGAGCTGCAGCTACTGAAAGGGTTGTGGCAGTTGAACTGGGAGGACTGTCGCTGGTAGAAGCCTCACCCTCACCCTCAACACGACTCCCCACAGCGGGCTGTGCTATGTTAGGGTTGCTGTTTCCTCCGAGGCTGCCCGTGCTGCTGCGACGGTCCTCAGCACCTTCAGGGTTGGAGCGAGTCCGAGGTCGCAGCTCCACCAGATGCTCCTCTCCATCCGCTGGGCCCGGCTCTGGCGTCTCCATGGACTCTCAAGTTGCTGAGGAAGTGGAGATGATGAGTTTGGCTCTGTGGCCATGAAGAGAATCTATAATCATTATTTGTAACCACAATTTACCTTAATACACATTCCTGTGGTTTGCATCTACTGATATTAAAATACAAGTACAACACAAATACACCAAGGCTATGTACCTGACACTCAAAAAAATACCAGGAACAATTGCAAGTACAAAAGAAAAGAAAAGAAAAGAAAACAATAGCTACTTTCACCACAGATCGTACACTGGACACAAGACAGCTGCATGGATCTCAGGATCACCACCACCGTCTCTACTTACTTTAGAATCGTATTTCTACTTTCAAAGTCATGCCAGTAACAATAACACAGCACAGCTGCGATGTGCGGTGGAAACACAAACACTGCGATGTTTAAGCGTCACAGAATAGATAGTTTAGTCAGAAATGCATCAATCAATGCCTCCAGACAGCCCGACAGTGAGTCCATGAAGCTAACACAGGTGACGTTGATGAGCGCGCACGAGCAATGTGAGCCGTTATGTATGTTTTAAAATGTTTAATGTTAAAACGTGCAGGTAGACTTACGTGATCAAAGCAACCGCGAAACGTCTAGGATTCAACAAACGGTAACCTCATTGAAAGTTGCACAAATATTTCAACGACGAGCTAGCATTTGTTTTGATCGGACTACTTCCTTACCGGAAATGATCGAAGCCGGAAGAGCAAAATGTCATAGGATTGTGGGTAATGTAGTTTAATGAAAAGTTACATTTTCTACCCGATTTCTCTTTTTCTTTTCCTTGTGGAGATAGGGAAACAAAAAAAAAACAAAGTCCTCCATGAATGCATATATATTTTGTGAATCAGTCCCATTTACACATAGTTATGCTGTGGCCCAAATATGTTTTGCTCTCTGTAACATCTTCCACTGCAAAATGCAGTCTGCATTACGAGATGCAAAAAGACACCCGGCTGAAAAAATATGGTGTGGTCAATAGATTCAAAACACATCCCTACATTGAAAGGAATCTGGTGTTGAATATATGATCTTGTATCATTCATGTTTGGATCACTTGTTCTGGCTTAATACTTTCAGTCTAGGTATAGTGACACAGCAGAAACTGTCTTTACTGTAAACAGAGATAGAAAAACACCACATAGCATGTCTCTTAAGTCAGAGTCTAAATTGATTGTACTTCATGCATTTTTCGAATTACACAACATCGTAGTATGTATTTCTGTCTACAGTGTATATCCAGAGTTAAGGCTAGTGGACAAGAAAAAGGCATGGGAGCTAATGTGGACAAAACAGGAAAGGACACAAAGTCACAGGGAATGGGTGGGGATAACTGAGTGTTTTCCACTTACTTCACTCATCACACTGAACACTGTTGGGCAGGCGTGCAGAGAGCAGACTGCAGCAGTGACTGACTAACTATTGGAAAATATGATAACACAGGAACAGCAAGACTGAAGGAAACATCCTCTCATTTTATAAAATGTTTAATTGGCAGTGAACAGGAATAACAGGAAGTAGATCACTGCCGCACACTTCAGGATCAAGAAGTATGGAGGTAAGTTATGATGTAGTGTTCCAGTGTTTGTCTTTGAAATATGTCACTTGTCATAGCTGGTGTTGCATGACTAGGAGTATTACATGTTTACTGGGTAAATCTGAGTACTTCAAACCTGTTATCTGCCTGCTACTGTAAGATGAAGCACTTTGTCCTGAAACCTGATCAGACCAGATGGGAGTGCAATGTTTAGTAAAATTGATGACTGAGTGGCATGTTTTATACATATACATTATGTACAGTAAGTGTTATCCTAAAATTAGGAATGTGAGTGTTTAGCTTGCGACCTATCCACGATGTTTCTTATTTTTTGCTCATATGGCATCATTTATTCTAATTTTATTTTGTTAAACATTCTTTGTGCACAACAAAAGATGATTTGGTCCACAAATATTTGCTCAGCAGGAAGTTGGATCTCAGGATGTTTTCGTTTCCTCCTTTTCCGCTGCTCAAAACAAAAGCTGCTAAATAGTGCAGCAACAATGTCTGGTTAACACGGATCATTACGTATTATTCGGCTCAGTTTGATTATGAGCAGCTATTCAATGACGGAAGATTAATAGGCAGCAAGAACATACACATTATGTACAGTATATGCAAACATAGGAGTACAACTGAAGGTAAAAAAAGACATTTGCTTTAATATACAGTAAAATAATGACTTACATACGGCTAATTATTTTTCTTACAATCCAAATACAACTTCATGTGTCTGCAGGATTCCTGCCTGGTTCGATGTGACAGCCTGGATGCTGGTTCAGGGTGTGACAGGGATGTCATGACCCCAATCGACCATATGACCCTTGACCCTGAGGGCTCTGACCCCACAGCAAACCTGGAGCCTTCACCAGCAGAACTGGCTCAGTGTGAGGCTGAAGTGGGGACGCTGCTCAGCATCATTGCTGAACTGAACAAGAAGATGGGGTCATTAAAGGCACCAAGGTAACATTAGTGAAGAGAGTAATCAGGTGTGGATTAATGAAACTGTGGCACTGATACGAGCCATACAATTGATCTGAATGAACGCATTTGGGTTTACTCCAAATACATATTTTGGTGGTTTGTTGTTACATATTTCCCATCAATAAATGATATATTGGTCTGCTTAGCTTGTCTCAAAATAAACAAAGTGGGTATTTACAATCAAAAATGTTAATCCTGCTGGTATTCTGCAGTGAACCAGGGGACCTGAGACCACAAAGACCATCCGGACCTCTGGTTCCAGACCTCCTGTCCCATAGGCTGGCCAGAAGCAGCCCAGAGAGGAGCGCTGCCTCTGCTGCCACATCTAAACCTCCACTGACTAACCGAGGTTGGCACTGAAACAACATTACTCTGTTTTTAATCAGTAGAATGCATCTTTTGGATGCTTTCCACCCGCACTTTATAAGATCTTTCCTCCAACCAGGCCGGAAAACTAATGTATTGTTTTAAACATGTACTCTGTAGTCCGTAAAAGATAGCAAGTTGGAGGAAAGCAGACAACACATACAAAGTATGCTTAAAAAGTTAAAAAGAAACTATTGTATTATTTCTAGTTCTGATGTAAAATTGCCACTCTCTTATTTTAACATGATTAACTGCACCTCTACTTTATATCCACAAGGGGGCGGTGGTGTAGTGTGGACTAAACTACAGGAGGTTTTATCGTCAGTGGAGGACTCCATCAGCTGTAAAAGGTCCTGGGCCGCCCCCATCACAGCTTCTGACCAAGACAAGCACAGAGAGCATCTGCAGGCAGCCCAGGAGAGCTGGGTTAAGGCCACTCAGGTATCAAAACTCTATAAAACTCTCATGATTCCTTGACATTTTTGAATTTCTGTTGTTAAAGCTGCAGACAAAAAAATTATGTTGGATAAAATTTACTGACAAATTTTGCTAAACCGACTTGATTTACACAATGAGAGCTACTCTGAAAAAAACCCTGATTAATTCCAACAGTGACATAAAGAGGTCAATCATTGCTATTGAATGTTAATGGTTCAATTTAGGAATACAATATGTCATTGTGCAGGCTATCTTTAGCATCCCATCAGCCCTTTTAGTAATTTTGACTCACTGGTTTCAGATATTAGAGGAGATGGAAATAGAGTTTGGGATTTCATGCCCATCAGGCCTGCCAAAGGAACAATATCAGGAGGACATCCTGGATCCGGAGAAGCGAGACTCTGCTCTCAGAAGCACCTTGCAAATTCACCAGGTGGAGCTGGAGAGAGCACAAAGCGCCTTCAGCCAGATGGAAGAGGACAACAACAAGGTAGATGAGAGGCTTTTATTTATAACAGGGGTAAGGCAAAATATAACAATTGATAACAATATTGTTTATTGTTTATTGATAACAATAAATACTATAAGAATTTGATAATTAAGCACAATTCATGAGTTAAATAAATAAATAAATGTAGCACCCCTTCTTTTGTCTTTCAGCTGGTTGGTCTTCATAAGTCCTGGAGGTCAGGTGGTCACTCTCCTTCCTACTGGCCCTCTGCAGGGGCTCTCAGTCCTGACTGGGCCTCTCCTCCCTTCCCGGGTTCACCTTTACTCTACAGAAGAACAGCCAGAGCTGTAACACCTCTGTCTGTGGGTGGCGATGGTTCTCCAGTGGGCTCTGTTACCTCATGCAGTCCCTGTCCCAGTCCCATCAGCCTGGAGTCTGAGACAGAACGACTGAACAGGTGAGTCCTTAGGAGGATCTGCTCCGGATGTCTCACAGTAACAAAAATCAGCCTGAGCACACTGGCGACATTACATTTCATGAATAGCTACAATAGATACAGCGTTTTTGCCAACAGGTCTTCTGGCTGAGCATAGGCCTTAATGAATGAGTTGTTTGTGTTAGCTAGTTAGTCCAAGCAACCTTCCCAGATTCATGTTGTGAATGAATGTAAACAAATTACTATCTTTTCTATTTTTTGTTTACATTTAGGCTCAAAGTTATATGAATGACCTTTCAAGATCTTGTAATCAAGCTAGATAATGTAAGTAGGCAGCTAGAAACCAGTGATTATTTAGTTTGAGTCAACCGATATGGTTAAACGGTTTCTTCCTACATAGAAGCTTCATTATTTCTGTAATTAAAACTCTTTATGACACAAAGGTGTTCCCTCCCGTTTTTGCTCTCAACTCTGTCATCCTCTCCCTCATTATTTCAGGTGCATTGAGAGACTGAGGGCCAGAAATGAACGGCTGACTGCAGCTCTGGAGCGAAGGAAGGGAGAGTCAGAACAGATCAGTCTTGCACTAAACAGACTTGAGGCTAACTGCTCTGCCCTGCAGATGACTCTTAGATACTGGTACAAACATCTGACACACAAATACAGAGGCCGTTCAAGGATGTTCAATATAATGAATGTACACATGTCTGCAATCTAACAGTATCAATGTAGGATCTTCTCATGTAGTGACGTCGTATTTTGTCTTTGTGGTTGTGATTGACAGTGAGGAGTGTGAAGAGGCCTACAGCGAGCTGCTGTCACTCTATGACGCCAAGAAGCAGCAAAGCATTCCTCTGCAGACAGACTCAGCAGGTGTTTGAATACCATGTTTGAATACGACAAACGACTATGTATGCATGTCAACCCCCCCCCCCCCCCCCACACCTACACACACAGTAAGGCTCACAGTCTCTCCTCTCATCAGAGGCAGTTGGTGACAGGCTGCAGCCCGACAGTCCATCAGCTCAGCTCATGAGACCTGAAGAGCTGTCCACCTCTTTCTCAACAGCAGGAGTCACAGAGGAGACGGAAACACAGAGTCACACAGGGCAGAGGTGACGTTTTAAAGTGCTCCTTGTACATTCAAGCACAGGAATGAGTAGAAAGGAAAATGTCTGTCTCCCATTATTGCTGGACTGAAATTGCAAATAGAAGGATATAAACCTTTTACAGATATTGCATGTATCCATATATCATTCTGACCCAGCACCAAAGATCTACATGCTATGAACTAAATGTTTTAAAAGCATCATGAATCAATGACGTGTAACAATAATAAAGAACTTTTGAATTGAAAAAAATGGCCATTTCTTGGACCACGTTTTTGCAGGGTCACTCACTACCTTTAACCCCACAGGACACCTGAGCTGGTGGAGCGAGAGGCGGTTCTCCGTCAGCAAATTGAGCGCCTGAAGAGAGACCGGGCAGCCATTTGTCGACCTAAGCTGAGCCCAGGAGTTGAGGGCAAAATGAGCCCCGAAACTGCTCACCCGGCTGGATCAAGAGAGGGACATGTGACTAAACATAACGCCAAACCTCCTGATTCCAAGAAAGAGAAGGCCTCCCTCTTCTGTGAACTCATCTCTGTCAGGGTAGGAGTGGTGTGTCCTATTATATGATTTAGAAATCAAGATCTAAAACTGATAAAAAGCAGTCAAAACCATCCATGCAAAGAGATCATGACATAAAAGTGGCCTTTGTCCTAATGTCATAGTTGTTTTGTCTATATTGTATTACATAACACTACACTTACAAATCCAAAACACAGTGTTTGGAGTGTACACACAGTACAAGGCACTGCTGGCAGTTGTCCATCTGATCTCAGTGAGATCAGGGAGCATTGAGAGGCCTGAAACTGGTGAAAAGGTTGACATTTTGAACACAAAGAGCAGAAACAGGAAAACAACTAGACTGGCTGTGTTAAAAGGTAATCTACCTATCAGCACCTCCAAAACACACTAATTAAGATGTTGCTTCTCATTTGTTCAGATTGTTCAAAACTTGAGGTGTTTGCATTTTGGTAGTCAAATTGTTAAGGCGCATATAATCCCACCTTCCACAGCTGTATTTCAGCTGGGGACCTGGGATAAGACAAATAACCATACATTTTAAAAACTATATAGGGCCATACCAACAAAGGACAATACAAAAATCATATACAAATTCTACATATTGGGGCTTTAACCTCCGACAACAGCCACAGAAGTGGAGGTAAAACCTGCTGATTGTGATAAAATATCTACATCTTGTGCTTCTGCCACTACTACATACACAGCTCTCCTTACTTTGTATCTACTGTGGTTTATGGTTTAACTTTTTCAGGAGGAGATGTCAGATCTGCGAGCTCTAATCCGCCTCAAGGAGAAAGAGTTGAGGTGTCTGGAGTGGGGTTTAATGGCCCAGAAGGCCCAGGAAGCAGCTGGAGCCTTCGAACCAGAAAGCCTGCGAGAGGAGAGGGAGGATTGTAAGACCGAACAACAGGTAGGTCAGACTCTTACAGCAGCAACAGAGACCTTTTTTCAATTAAACAAATAATACAAAGTCAAGGTGAAATGAGCAAGAGGGAGCAGGACGTTGGTCTACTGTGGCAGACCCGATTCAAATCTGGGTGTCCCACATGGGAAATCACACATCTACCAAAGCAGAATCCCTCCAGGCCGAGAGGGATATTTTAGTTCCACAAGGTCTTCTGCTGGGCTGTCCTGTCGCGGCAGCACAGATTCATCACACACCTCTGTCATTGTCAAATGAGAAAGAGCTGAACAGCTACTTTAAGTTAACACAGCATTCGGTCTATCACTGCAGACACAGGGCCTCAGAAACAAAGGCTGCGCAGACTTTGTGCCTCAAGGGTTAAAATTTCCCTCTAAAACTGGTTTCTTTTCTTCCTCAATATACGTATATGTTTAGTGGTTTAGAAGAACAATGGTTTTATCTGGATGCACATGGTCAGCCTCAATAACTGATCTTACAGACTTTATGCAGTTAGCTATTTCACTATTTTGACCAAAACCCTAATGGCTTCTGATTGCAGGATAATAAATGTTACTCTGTCCTGCACGGTTCATTCTCAGTCTTTAGAGCAGTGGTTCCCAGCCTAGGGGTCGGGTCCCTTTAAAGATAGATAAGTCTGAGGAGGAAAAACAAGAAAAAACAAATATTTCTGCTCTAATAAAGTATATTTTTTCTAACTTTTCTCTAATCGTTTTTATTCAAACATACTGGATACGTTTACTGCTTCAGGCCTCTAAAGCCCATTCAAATAAAACAGAAATCCTTCTTTGGTTAAACTGCTCACAACACTAACACTGTTTCAGATAACTGTATGCTGTGTTCATTAGTACAGAATTGAATGGGGAATGGCTTCTGAGCTTTAAAGATAATCACAATTGAATGTTATGTTTCAGAGGCTCTGTGAAGATGCAGCTAAACTGGGAAGTGATGGGGACCTCACTGATCCTCGAACCAGACCCATTCTGAAAGAGCTGCAGGCCGTCCTGCAAAGGTGAGACGCGATCACTTCTCTGTGCACTGCAGTCTAATATTTAGAGCTCTAATTAAATACTTCACTACAACATACCATTGGTAAAGGCACATATTATAATATATTTAAATATTACCCTATTAGAGTGTGTTGACAAGGAAACCTACTAAATAATTGAGTGTAATGTCTCCTGGGAAAATCTGGGTATTCATTGGTAAATGAAAAACGGTAGCTGATGAATGTCGTCAGTGTAGAAAATGAATCATTCAGACATCTGTTGCCTGGTTTTATCTGTTGCTTAGGAACACTGTCCGCAGAAATGCAGACTTTGGACATAAAGGGCTTCTTGTTCTCTGCATCAGATGCTTCAGAGAGCTTCCCATTCTTCTTCTGAGCTCGAGTAGTGAATACTTCTGAACAAAGCTCAGCTGCTAGCACTGTACATCACATTCGCTATGACTCGTCATGAAGATATTTATGATATTTCACATAGGGTTTATAAATGGTTTGTGTAAGGATCTTTAGTGCCTTAAGTCAAATGAACAGACGTACATGATGTTCTCCCTTGTGTTTCATCTGATCTTATTTCTGTTCTCAGGGAACAAGCCCTGAAGAAGAGACTGGCTTTAGTTCAAGACTCACTAAACACAGCTCTGTCAGACACCACCTCGCACAGGAGGGCCAATGGAGAGCAGATTGCCCGGCTTACACAAGCTCACAGGTAAGCATCTCAAGAAAGGTATTTAGACTGCATGTTTTTGTCCTTGTTCGTCATCATCTTTCTGCTTGTACAACTTAAGCTAAAAAAACAAGTAGTTTTGTAGAGTCATTGTTTATGTGAGTGTATTAAATTGTATCTTGCTTGGTGGGTTTCTTCCGTTCCAGTAAAGCCTTGAGTTCATACCGGCAGATTCGCCGGAAATATCGGGAGCAGGTGTGGAGGCTGGAGCAGAAAGTGGCGACCGTGATGGAGAGTCACCATCTCCAGAGTGGAGCACCGAAAGCTGCAACGGACGCCTTGGAGTGGAGGAGGGAAGAGACGGTTCTGTGATCCTACGATTCTCCAGTCAGAGAATCAGCTGTACTGTAGTAGTCAAATGCATCATTAACTTAAGTCGCTTATATGTGTTTTTTTTATAATTTGTGGAGTTATTGACATTGTGAGCATGTTAGCATTTCGCTCAAAGCTGTGCCTACAGCCTCACAGAGCTGCTAGCATGCTGTAGACTCTTATTGTTCTTATTAGGATGTTATATTGTTACTTAGTTTGCTTGTATAAGATATATGTACCTTTTTATCTATGTATCTGTCAACCCATCAAGGACATCTACAGCAGTTTGTTCAGGCATCCATTGGCTGAGAGAGGTAAATATAGCGTATGTAGGGCAGTAGAACATGGAAAGCAGTTTAAGTTCCACCTTTTCACTCCTTGTGTGAGTCACCAATAAACAGAAAAAGGAATCCAGAGCTTAACTTGTCTAACGGGACTCACACATCACAAGACACATTCCCTATTTCAGAGAAACAGCTGTCATGCAGTCATGAATGTTTTAGGCTGATTCAAGGACTGAGTCATCTGAGGAGCTCGGGACTGACCTCGAGAGTGCACATGTTCTTTTTCCCATACAAGCCGACTGACTGTAAAAAAGCCCCTCCCCGGCCGGCCATGCTGTCGTCACAGAGCTCAGAGAAGGGGGATGGGGGCCAGGACAATGGCCAGCCCATTTGTCTTCTTAGCACTTTCATAGTTCTCTCTGCCTTTCACTATTACCCCTTCTCTTCAATGGTTTGCTAGTAGCTCAAAAAAAAGAGGCTATGACGAGACATTGGTGTAAAACTGATCCTCTTGGAATAGGGCAATTGCTTAAATTAGTTGTTTTTTTTGAGAGCTAAATGAGTAGTTCACTCCATTAACACATTTTTGGTTTTGGTTATTTCATTGTAGCCTATATGTTGCCAATGCAAAAGACCAATATTTCAAAATCTGTACAAATAAATAAACAGACACAACTGACAATAATTGAGAAACAAAATGAAATGTGGGTGAACCACCTCTTCAAAAACCCAGCTAACTGTGGCCATCTTTTTATACCAACCCTTCCCTCTTTACCTCACTCATACCTCCATTTCCTCTCCCTCCATCTTCTTTCCTCACTCATCTCTCAATCATCTCCATCCCCTCTCCCCCCTCCCCGCTCCAGCCGCGACCCTACCCGAGCCGGTCAGCTGCAGCTGTGACCGGCGGTCAGGAGGTTAAGGCAAAGGTTGAGTGTCACGCCCACAGGGTCACAGCGATGCAGCGCTGTTGTGTTAGACCGTGAATGGAGGGTTCAGAGTGCCAGACGAGGTGGCGAGCCCCTGACGCCCTGACGCCCTGACTCTTGACTGAGCTTGCCCTTTCCCGAGCAGAGGTCACCACAGAGGGCCGGTCCTCGCTGCTCCCCCCCATACCTCCATGTCACCATCTTTATTGTTGTAATAGCTGCCATTAGAGCAGATGATACAATTATCGTTCCATTTTGTGTTCTGTCTCTCTAAGATCTATGTTAAGCTTCTGAGTTCATCAAAGGTTTTTTAGAAGACATGATTGTTGTAACCTTTGGGTGACTCTTATATCAAAGAGGCCACATTATGCCAAACTGTCGAACAATGTCGAAGTACCGCATTACAAGTCCTGCATTCAGAATCTTACTTAAGTAAAAGAACAGATATTACCAGAGAATGTACTTCAATTATCAAAGTAAAAGTACTCGTTCTGCAATAAAATGGCCCTGGCTACTGATTCATACGCTATACTAGAATATAAATTTGGTAAATCATGCTGGAGCTCAACTTGACCACTTTATATATTGTTATAGTAGTTAATTTATACCACTGTATTGTGTTTTATAAGTTCATCATATGGTTTCCTAAATGTAAAATCACAATATGCAAAGTAACCAGTAACGATGTCAAATAAATGGAGTGAAAAGTACAATATTTGCCTCTGAAATGTAGCAGAGTAGAAGTACAAAGTAGCATAGCTTGAAAATAGTCCAGCAAATTTTAAAGTACTAGCAATTGTACTTGAGCATCTACAGTATCTCAGTATTACAGCCTCAGGACTGTTGTCATGTATGATTACTTCTCATTCTCTTGATTTAAAAAGAAAAAATACAGTTCAATTTAAATATATACGTATATGGCTGCCAGTGGACTACTAGTGTATTTCTCTCAGACATGTAGTGGAGTGTATGAATCAAAAGGAAATACTGAAGGTAAACTATGTAACATTGCACTTCAATACAGTATTTGAGTGTATGTGACATTCTCCCACTGGAACTCATTGAACTGCTGGAGGTTTTAAATAAATGTTATTCAAACGTACCTTAACATTTCTATGTTGAATGACTAAAACCTTGTTTTGACCTTGACCCACCATGAAAGCATGAAAGGTCTCCTGTAATCTTGCTTGATAAAATGATTGTAGTTTTATGCGTGTGATAAAATATGCATTGAAATACAGTTTTGCAAAAGTGCACCAAAGAACAAGTGAGATAAGAAAGGCAAACAAAGCTCATGAGAATGGACTGATTAGGTATTTAAATAGTAATTTATTTTCGGACGGTATAGAGGCTGTGACACTCTCATCTGGTAACTTTAAAGCTCTACATCTCTGGACACATTTTAAAACCCCCACATGTAACAGCCACCATTCAAGCCTGGAGATAGGGGAGTTTTTCAGTGCCTGGGAAAAATACTCAAACCATTATTAGACAACGACAGAGGCTGTCAATCAGTGTGGGGGGTGGACGCAATCTCAAACACACACACACACACACACACACACACACACACACACACACACACACACACACACACACCACCACAAGAAGGGAGGGGCAGTGACCTAGGGGTTTTAGGTCAACCCATTTACTCTTTGCATCCGTTCCTCATTTTAATAAGTTGTCCCTCTGTAAGCTGTATAAAGAGATCACAGCCTGCGGCTTCATCCCCTTACCCTCTCTTTCTCAAAGCCATTAGCTCACCTGTCACAACCACTCCATATCCCCTCTCATCTCCTCCTCGTCTCTATATCTCTCTGGTCTGTGCTACGCTGACCTGACACCGCTCTCCTGATTTTTCTGACACCAGTCAGCCCGTGGAGACGTCAGGAGGATGGGGGTGCAATTGGCACGGAGAAGCACGAAAGAGATTTGACCTCAATCAAATGGCCGATCACATCCGTGTTGTGCTCTCACCCACTCAGATAATGACATTAAATAGCTCAGACCAACCACCAAAACCAGCAGATAAAGAGTGAAATCTTGATGCCGGTGAAGCTGAGACGAATAATGGGGACTTACATGCTCAAGCTCAAAGGATTGCATGCTTGTCTAGAGGTTAAAAGAGTTGTTTGACGCCTGAAATTCATCCTGGAGCACCTGGCACACTTACTGCAGGAAGGCTTTGTTTCATTTAGTCCTTTATTTAGTAAAGTGAAAAACGATGTAATTTCTTTTGGAAAATGGTAAAACAATGTAAAGATTATTTTAATTTGGAATAAGTACTACTTCAATACAATACAAGTGGCAATGAACAAATTATCTTTTAAACTAATCATTTATCACGAAATTCCTGAAGGAGATTACTTTTTAAAAAACAGCTTAAGAGATTTCTTTACATAATCATTTTCATTATTGTCACAGTATTCTTTTAGATGTAACATCTGATGTGAATAACGGTCACCAGATCTCAACCCAGTTGATCAGCTGTCGGAGGTTTTGGACCAACATGTTCTCAGCCACCATCAACAAAACACCAAATGGACAAATACCTTACAGAGGAATGTTGTTTCATCCCTCAAGATCCAGATGCTTGTAGACTCAAACTGTGTAGAAGGACAAACAAGCAAATGAGACGTGGGTAACCAAAGTTAAAGAACAAAAGTGTTCAGTTAGTCAGTCAAAATGTATCCCCTTCAGCTTCTTTCGGTTGCCTTCTAGTGTAAAATAGTCCTTTAACTATTATCAACTTATTACCAACATCTGCTTACCTGCAGTCAGAGGCATCCGCAGATCTGCCTCACTGAAAACCTTCCCTCACTGCGAGGGAAGTGTGCAACTATGCAAACTCTTTTTGTACTTTTTAGAATCAAACTGTGGAAATAATTGTTACCCATAAAAATAAAACAGCCTAACCTGAAATACATTTTGCAGAATGCATCACAAGATTTCTTCAAAGGACCTTGCCAGTCTTTACAGGTCTTATTATGTTATTTTCTTTAGATTTATTTTGACATTTTGCTCCGTTGGCATTGAGTTTGAGTTGAGAGATGACAGAAAATGAGGGGAGAGAGTTTCAGAAAGAAATATGTTTTTCCGCCTTACATGCTCCCGCTGGTTTTCTTTTTCCTTTCCATGGATTGCATTGTGACGCTTACTCGAGATAGGAAATCCATGAATTCTCATCTGAACAGAGCTTGTCATGTTTTTGTGATGTAGGCCTAATTTACATAGTAAGTCATTACAGGTCAGGCACAGTCGAGTTGAGCACAGTTCAGTGTCCAGACCAATACCAGAGCAGATGATCGTAGAAGAGGTCAATTAGCTCGCCAGCTTGTGGGCAGTAGATTAGAGCAATAAGGTGTTTTCAGGGAAAACATTGGCCGAGGGAGTGGCCTCGTCGTAATCCCGTTAAAGCATTTGAGTCATCTTCATTGAGCTGATTAGGTAAATTTCCTGCCATCCCAAGCACCGTATTTGACCTGTAGGGCACAAACAAGGAGAAACAGATTGGACTCAGATATACAAGAGATTGAACCTGGTGATTGAGAACACGATCAAATTGTTGTGGCTAGAGAGAGTGTTACTTGTCTCTCCTCATTGAAATAGTTGTTTGAGTAAAGCTAGTTGGTACACATCAGCCTCTTCAACACCATCATTACAAACTTCTGTTGTCTGAGTTGAAACCATCAGTTATATTTTAAAATCAAGTCAACTATACGTCGTATTGAATATACTGAAAGCTATGTTGATCAAGGGTGTAATTACTTTGATGCTTTGTTCACGACATTTCATTATGGCAAGAAGACAAAGAATAAAAGCAATTACGACCATAATGGCGTTTCATACAAATCAATGAAAATGTGAATACATAAGTGACCCCAAAGCCAGCCATAAAAAAGAATCTGCATTTGAATATTTAAAACTTCATATGATTGTAATCAGTTACAACAACTACAATTTCTAGCTGCACAATTATTTTTTTAACACTGGGTCAAACGAGTAGAGATAATGTGAAAGGTGTTGCTGCAGAGAATTATCTTTAAGATCATTGTTTTGGTTAGAGGTGTAGTTCCCTATCATCACTCATTTCCAGCTAAAGCAGCGAAAAAGCTCTAAAATAACCTTGTTCACTTCCTGCCCAGCACCAAACAGCAGACTGACACAGAGAATAGTGAACATGGTTGAGCATTTACACGACTTGAAACACGACTCCAAATGAACGCTAATGTTAATGTGTGTAACAACGTCATGCAATCTATTGGTTCCATGCTGAGTGACACAAAATGTCCATTTCTTTTGTGTCGCTCGGCACAACTTCTTTTTAGGGATGGCACAAAATGAATGTTAGATTTAGGCAAAAGAAACCACTTAGTTAGGTTTAGGAAAACCATTACAAGCGTACGCCACTTCACACACTTTGGGACAAGCAGCGTCAAACACCAGTCTTGTGGTTGAAAGTCCTGTGTTCATTCCCTTCCTCCCAACATAAGTGGTCTTTCTCGATATTCCATACTAAGTCTCTAGCTCTGACTGTAGAGTCCTGTGTATGCACGTGAATTTGTGTATCAACCATGAAAAAGGATCCTAATTGACTATCCTTTGGCATTGAAGTGTCAGTTCAGGTAGAAAATGTCTGCACTAGGCTCCAACAGCGGCTACACTTCCTTCGTAGGCTGAGGGTCTTTGATGTCAACCAGAAAGTGTTGCTCCTCTTCTACCACACCGTAGTTGAGAGCATCCTGTGGTTTGGCATCTCAGCCTGGTTTGGTAACCTCAGTGTACAGCTACAAACCCAGATTACCCAGCTAACACAAAGAGCCATGAAAATCATGGGAGTCAGACAGCATCCCACACTCCAGGCTGTCTTTGATGAAACTATCATCAGACAGGCCCAGAAGATTATTTCTGACCCCGCCCTAAATACCAGCTTCTTCCCTCAGGCAGACGCTTCAGAGTCCTCCAGTGCAGGCTCAACCGCTTCAAGAACTCCTTTGTCCCCCTGTCCATCAAAGCCCTAAATGGCAAGCTAGCCAGAGCCTAACCCCTGTAACGCTGATTTGTATCTTAACTGTACACATGTACTTTCTATGATCATTCTATGTTGATGAGGCTGCTCTACTCCTACTGTACATATTATGTGCACTATTACGATGGCTACAGGTGTGTTGTACGATGGGCAGTGTGCAATTTATGTGTTGGCTGGTGGTAGTCTGTGCATGTACTGTAGGTACAGTGTGTGCATGCATGTGGACTGGCGACAGTCTGTGTATGTATACACTACGTTATTTTTGTATTTTTTAACAGCAGATACTGTATGTGTACAAGACAAATTTCCTTTGGGACAATAAAGTCTATCTTATCTTATTGTTTTTGTGCTGAGTGACACGTAAAAATAGACGATTCATGTCACCACTTGCCACAATACTGGGCTGGGTGGACATACAAATTAAAGGTATCAATGTGAATATGCAACGACCAGAGCTGGTGACGTAGTATAAACATAAACACAAGACTTTCTACCAGGAGGCCGGGTTTTGAGACCGCTGATTGTGTCCTAAAGTGAGTTATTTTGAAGTTGCGTATTTTCCGTACTTATGTCACGTGTTTACATATTTTACTTTTGTTTATGTATTTATTTTAAGCCCAACCATGATGTTTTTCCTTAACCTAACTTAGTGTTTGTGTAGCTTAAATATTAAATTGTTTCCATGGTCATTACTTGCCACCACAATGCAATGTGCCGTTAAGAGGTTGTGGTCATGTCATGTATTTCTGTGAGATGATTTTGTGTTTTCCCCCTGCTTCTAGTATTAATGCTAAGCTAAGCTAATTGCCTTCTGGCTCTAACTCCATACTCTTAGTACACAAACATTAAAGCGGGTTTAATCGC